TGATTCACTTATATGTGTTTTTTTTCCAACAAACACTTTAAATGTATTTTTCATATGATTTTCTTTTTTCTCTAACTTACTTTATTGTAAGAATACAATATAAATATATATAACATACAAACTATGCATTATCGACTGCTTATGTTTTCGATAAGGCGTCCAGTTAACAGCAGTCTATTAATAATTAAGTTTTGGGAGAGTCAGAAGTTATACACGAATTTTCAACTATGCAGGGGATTAGCACCCCTAACCCTGGCATTGTTCAAGATTCAACTGTACAGTGTTTGGCTTTGCATGAGTATATTTATATTTTTAACTTACACAAGTGAAATTTTGATTTATATATCTCCTTCCATTTTGTGTGTGTGTGACTCACTGCTGTTTCTGAGGTCTATCCAGAATACCTTGTTGCTCTTTGAATACCTGGCTCATTACCTCTACCTGCATAGTTTTCCAGGCTGTGTACATCCTTTATTCTCTTAGCCAGTCTACTAGTGATAGACACAAGGGATGCTGCCAATTCCCCACTGCCCTAAGAAATGCTACCGTGAACACCCTACCGTGTGTCTACTTACAAATCCCGGCAAGAGAATCTCTAAGCGATATCACAGCACGTTAATTTCATAGGTCCTACCAGGTCGCTTTCCAGGATCCTGCATAAGTTACATTTCCCACAGTTCATTCTGTGACAAGTGCTGCTTCTTGCCAATACACAAATTGCAAATCTGTGATGCACCAATACTTGATACAATCAGACTTTCTTATGTTTGCTAATCTGATGGATGTAAAATGTTGTCTCATTGTGGTTTCCCCTAGTATCTCTCTTGGTATTGATAAGGTTGCTTCTCTTTTCATATACTTACTAAAAAGGAATTATTTCCTAAGTGTCTATAAATCAATTAAAAGTGTCTAATTTTTAGAGGAAACAAAGTATCAGTACAATTTTGTGAATGCAACTTACAGTATGACCAGTATTTCTCATGATTATTGAAATATTTATTTTAAATGGCTGGGAGTACTATATATTTCATATGTCAGAATTGCAGTTAGCAGCCTTTAATTAATTTCCAAAGTCCAATCTTGTTTTCTCCTTCTTTGTGTGGAACCTTGACTCTTCAGTGCCATAAGGGGTGCCGAGCTTATCTCCGACTAGTCAGATCCTCTGAGGACTCAGCAGGAGGCTTGGCAATAGGAGGCATTTATTAAAAATAATGTGGCTTGCTACTTTCTTCTGGGTTGATGAAAAATAGAAAACACTTTTAATGGAATGATGTCCTCTTTTTTTTTAAATCCTCACCCAAGGATATCTTTCCATTTATCTTCAGACAGAGTGGGAGGGACAGAGAGAGACAAACATCAATGTGAGAGAGACACATCGACAGGTTGGCTCCTGCATGACCCAAACCAGGGCCGAAGCCAAACCACAACCGAAGCACGTGCCCTTGACCAGAATCGAACCTGCAACTCTTTGGTCCTCAGGCCAACGCTTTAAACGCTGAGACAAATGGACTAGGGTATGATGTCCTCTCTTTTGCTGTTGCTCAGTGCTACCATCTCAGGTAGCTTTCTCTTCAGTTATCTCTAATCTTGCGACTATACCCAGCAAGATACTGCTTGGCCAGGGAGGGCAGGTCGTTTCTACCTCATGAGCCTGCTTTGACCCAGCAGTAACAGCCTGGATGCAATGTGAGAGGCAGAGCCGTGATTTGTGCTCCCTCTGCTCTTCCTTCCCTCCTGGCACCTCCATTTCACTGGGGGAAGGACGGAGAAGACAGGGGTGATCTCATAACTCCCGTAGAAACCTTCCCTGGCTAACCTGTTTTGTGACTTCTATAGCCACATTGATCTTGAGTCAATTTTGGAACCTGTGCATCTGTTTTCCCAGATAATTCTAAGGAAAAACATTCCAGGATGTATAATTGTCATATATATTAGAAAATTCAGAGGCATTGAAATAATGCTCCATAATTTTTTCAAAATTCTGGTTCCAAGTATTAGGTTTCCTTTGTTATTTTTTTTTCCTGTGAAGTCATCACCTATCAAGAACGTGCCTCTAAAGTTCTCAACCTGTGGATCGCGACCCCTTTGGGGGTTGAACAACCCTTTGACAGGGGTCACCTAAGACATAACAGTAGAAAAATCACAGTAATAAAGTAGCAACAAAAATAATTTTATGGTTGGGGGTCACCACAACATAAGGGACTGTGTTAAAGGGTCGCAGCGTACTTCCAGTCAAGATGGCAGCGTAGGTAAATGCAGTCCTCCCACAAGGACATCAAATTTACAACTAAACTACAAAACAACCATCATTCAGAAAAACCTGACATCAAGCTGAATGGAAGTCCTACAACTATGGAATTAAAGAAGCAGCTGCATGGAGACTGGTAGGAGGGGCAGAGGCAGACGGGCTGGTCCCACACCCACGTGCGGCAGATAGAAATCAGGAGGACACCTCAACAGGAAAGGTCCTCCCTGAGGACTGAGGGGTCCCCGTCCCACACGAGGCTCCCAGCTCAGGGTTCCAGTGCCAGGAAGAGAAATCCCCATAACTTCTGGCTGGAAAAACCAGCGGGAACTGAGACTCAGGGAGGCTGAGGCGGCTAGAGCCCCAGGCAGCTCCTCTTAAAGGGCCCGCACAAGGACTTACTTGGACTCACACTCTCCAGGCTTCAGCATGGGGCAGGCAGCTTGAAAGGCACCAGAGACATATGGGGAAGAACTGAGTTGTTTGGCATTGGAGTTAGGGCTGGAGACAGGGCTTTCTCCAGGACAGACGTGCTATCAGAGGCCTTTGTTCCTTTGGTGACCCCTTCCCTAGGGCGCCAGACAGAAGCCATATCTGGGACTCCAGCAACCTGGCTCACACTGGTTGCCCGGCCCTGGTGACTCCCTGAGGCCCCGCCCCACCCAACTTTCAGAAGCACTCAAGCTGTTGCCAGTTGCTTTACCATAGGATTGGCCTGTCTTGGATCCTGCTTCAGGTTTTCCTAAATTCTTTCAAACAAGCAGCACCTGGTCTCAGCTAGGCCCATACCTCTCGTTAAGTAATACATAGAAACAAACACAGGGAGGCAGCCAAAATGAGGAGACAAAGAAACAGGTCTCAAATGAGAGAACATAACAAAACTCCAGGAAAAAAACTAAGCGAAATGGAGATAAGCAACCTAACAGATGCAGAGTTCAAAACACTCCTGATAAGGATGCTCAATGGACTTAGTGAGAACCTCAGTGAACTTAGTGAGGGCCTCTAGAGCATGAAAAAGGACCAGTCAGAAATGAAGGAGGCATTGACTGAAATAAAGAATAATTTACACAGATTCAGTGAGTAGGTATAGCCTAGGTACCTACTCTTTACACAGAGAAGGTATAGCCAAGAAACAAACCAAAAAACACCCAATCAGAACAGCAAAAAGAGAAAAGAATCCAAAACAATGAGGAGAGTGTAAGGAGCCTCTGGGACAACTTCAAGCGTGCCAACATTCGCCATCTTGGGGGTGCCAAAAGGAGAAGACAGAGAACAAGAAATCGAAAACCTATTCAAAAGAATAATGACAGAAAACTTCCATAACCTGGTGAAAGAAACAGACATATAAGTCCAGGAAGCACAGAGAGTCCCAAACAAGATGAACCCCAAGAGGCCCACACCAAGACACATCATCATCAAAATGCAAAAGGTTCAAGACAAAGAGAGAATCTTAAAAGCAGCAAGAGAAAAGCAGTTAGTTACCTACAAGGAGTTCCCATAAGACTGTCAGCTGATTTCTCAAAAGAAACTTTGCAGGCCAGAAGGGAGTAGAAAGAAATATTCAGCCCTGGCTGGTTTGGCTCAGCGGTTAGAGCGTCGGCCTGCGGTCCTGAGAGACCCGGGTTCGGTTCCCGCTAAGGGCGCGTACCTCTGTTGCAGTTTGTCCCCGGCCCTGGTCGATTGTGCGGGTGGCAGCCACTCGATGTGTCCCTTTCACATCGATGTTTCTCTCTCTCTCTCTCCCCCCCCCACTCTACCTGAACAAAAAATGGGTGAGGATAAAAAAAAAAAAAAAAGAAATATTCAGAGTGATGAAAAGCAAGAACCCACAACCAAGATTACTCTACCCTGCAAAGCTGTCATTTAGAATTGATGGCCATATAAAGAGTTTCCCAGACAAGGAAAAGCTAAAGGAGTGCATAACCACCGAACCATTATTATATAAAATGTTGAAGGGTATTCTTGAAGAAAAAGATAAAAAATATGAACACACAAAATGGCAATGAATACATATCTATCAACAATTGAATCTACAAATAAAATGAACAGGCAGAACAAAAGCATTCTCATAGATACAGAGAACATTTTGTTGGTTGCCAGATTGGGGGAGAAGGGGTTGGGGGAATGGGTGAAAAAGGTGAAGGGATTAAGAAATACAAATTGGTTGCTAGACTGACAAACCTCAAAGGGAAGGAGGGTGGGGAGTGAGAAGAGATAAACCAAAGAACTTATATGTATATATGCATAACCAATGGACTCAGACAACAATGTGGGGAAAGCAGGAGCGGGGCGGGAGTGGGAAGGAGGGGGTCAATAGGGGGAAAATGAGGAACATCTGAAATACATTCAACAATAAAGATAAATTTTTTTTTAAAAAAAAGTCGCGGCATTAGGAGGGTTGAGAACCAATGTGTAGAATCACCCTGGCTGGTTTTGCTCAGTGGTTTGAGCATCAGCCCACAGTCCAGAGAGACCTGGGTTTGGTTCCCACTAAGGGCATATAACTCCGTGGCAGTTTGTCCCCAGCCCTGGTTGGGGACATGTGGGTGGCAGCCAGTCGATGTGTCTCTCTCATGTCGATGTTTCTTTCTCTCTCTCTTCCTTCCTCTCTCCTTCTTGCTCTATCTGAAGATGAATACAAAAGTGTCCTCAGGTGAGGATTAAAAAAATTTTTTTAATAAAATAAAATAAACAATGGGTAGAATCGCCATAACATTTTGATGTTATCTGTCTAACGTCCTTCTCTCATTTCGCAATGCAGGTCATAGAGAAGAGTGCTGATCCCGAAGTGAACCTGCTCTTCTACCTGAGGGAAGTCCATATCCTATGTTTTACTGTAATCAACCAGGATTGGGTGGTAGAAAGTGACTATGCTAAGACTTCTAAAAAAAGTCACCCCATGTTTGTTCTGGGTAGATGACCTGGTGTTCAATTTGCAGAGTTTAGTTGGAGTTCAGAGAATGTATCTTGAAGTGATAGATTTGTATTTTACTTGTTGTATTTTTCACAACCGAAAGAACCCTCCAATGAACCATGAGGGTCATTGACTTTGGAGGCCCACAGTCATCCTGATGGTGGTTTCATATTCAGGAGCATAAATATTAAAATATCTGGTCAATTGCTCCGGCATGCCTGTCACTGACACTAGTTTCCCACAAGGGTGTTTCATTGACATGTCATGTATACCTTTCCTAACTCTTACTGAAGAAAACAAGGTTTTATAAACATTTCAAAATTCCAAAGTACAACTAATACACTCCCAGATCTCCACCTGGGTCTAGACCTTCTTTTCCCTCTTACCCCCCAAGACCTCCAGCAGACCTTCAATAAATACTCAAAAAGCATGTTTTGGCTTTGGATGCAGCTACAAAGGGCTGGCACGAGGGAGTGGTTGTGGCCATGGTCCCACAGCTCTACCTGGGATAAAACTGCACACGTGATGTGAGTGCATGTGTATGTGGGGAAATAGGCGTAAGCTCTGTTCTGGTTGTCAGTGTACTGCCGAGGCCATTTCCTGGCTCTGATGTTGTACTGTAGCTATGTGGGATGTCATCACTGGGGGAAGCTGGGGGACAGCTATTTTTGCAACTTCCTATGAGATAAAAATTACTTCAAAATAGTAAGTTAAAAATATTTATTGATATTCTCTACTAAGAACCAGGCTCTGTGTTAGGCTCCGGATATTCAGTGGTGTACGAGATAATATCATCTCCTCTTTCTCCAGGATATTTACCTTCTTCCCTCCATCTCTCTTCTTGCCTCCCAGTATACACCCCAACACACTATTTCTCCCTGTTCTTCTCTTGCCAAATGTATCTAATAAATTATGTGTACTTGATGCCTGCTTTTCTACTGAACCCCTTGCTGTGTGGTTTCCTACCCCATCATTTTACTGCTCTAGCTAATATATCTGCCCCTATTCCACTCACTATTCCAGGAGCTGGGCTTGTATCTGGAAAACAAACCAACAACAGGCCAAATCCTCTCTCACTGGCTCTGCCATCTCCCATTTACCCAATTTCAAAAATGTCACTGTTGCCCTGACCGGTTTTGCTCAGCGGTTGAGCATCAGCCCAAGGACTAAAGAGTCATGGATTCATTTCCAGCCAAGGGCACATACCTTGGTTGCAGTTCCTCCTCAGCCCTGGTCTGGGACCTGTGGGAGGCAGCCCGCCTTCCCAATTCTATCTGAAGATATTTGAAAAAGTATCCGCAGGTGAGGATTAAAATATATACATATAGATATATCTCACTGTAGGTCTGCACACCCTATCACTTCCCTTTATATCACTTCTAAATCCACTACATACTTCACCATGCTTTCTCTAGACTTCCTAAAATGAAGAAATTCATCTATATTAGGAATATGCTGAAAATGCATGGGCTCCCAAGTGAGCATGGCCAGAAGCAGCTCTAGGCAGAATTACCCCCACTCCCACTTCCCTATCTCCCTGGTGTCCTCCTCTGTTCATTCTTTGTGGCGCCCCATGCTATCAAGAAGTCATTCTAAGTAAATATGACTCACCTGAGACTTCTAGGCCCCAACCTCTAATTACAGAGCCAACAGTCCTGTAATAGAGCCAGAGGCTTTATTTTTAACTTGTTCCTCGGGTGAATGATTCACATGAATATTTGTGGATAACCACACAGAGGTGTCTGCCAGAGTCAGCCCCATGTGCACACACCACCGTCGGCCTGCTTCACTTTTCTCGAACACCACGGCCCCTTCCAAGGCCCTGTACCTAATTTATATTGTTTTTTAATTATTATTATTATTATTAATTTGTTTTTGTTACAGATGTTTCTCCTTTTTCCCCCATTGACACCATCCCTCCCATCCCTCCCACCCCATCCCCAGCTTTGTTGTCTATGCCATTGGTATGCATACATGCATATAAGTTCTGTAGTTTATCTCTTCCTCCCCATCTCCCCATCTTGTGAGGTTTGTCAGTCTGTACCCTACCTCTATGTCTCTGGGTCAATTTTGTTCATCAGTTTGTTTAGTTCATTATATTCCACAAATAAGAGATCATGTGATATTTGTCTTTCTCTGCTTGGCTTGTTTCGCTTAGCATAATACTCTCCAGGTCTCTCCATGTCATCTCAAAGGATAAGAGATCTTTCTTTCTTACAGCTGCATAGTACTCCATTGTGTATGTATCACAGCTTTTTTATCCATTCATCTACTGATGACACTTGGGTTGTTTCCAGATCTTAGCTATTGTATATTATTGGTTTTATATTTTTTCCCTGAAGACAGGTCCCCAATATGATAAAAACTTCAGGCTCCCACAAAACCCCAACTTGCCACTGACTTGGGGTCTGGCTTAGGTGCCATTCCCAGAAAGAGACACAGTCACACAGGAAACCAAATTTTGATGGGATATTCCCACCTTTTTTTCACCATTTCACTCCTTCCCAAGGTCGCAGCCTCCCACGGAGTCACCCGACCCATGCCAGCTGCCCTGCCCAGATCTGCCAGGGTGAACCCCTGGATCTCTTCCCCGTCTTCTTCCTCCATCCCTCCCGGCCTGGTATGAAGCAATCCAATCTGCAGAACCAGGAAACGCACTACTAAGAGTGAATGGCTCACAGCTACTCGGAGCAAGGACAGTGCGTCCTTTTAAAGCTGCTTGATGTCCGTGAGATCCTGGCTCCAGGACAGAACAGGAAATGAGATGTCTCAGAGGCTCCTGAACATGTTCTGGTTTGCCCACACCCATCACGTGCCCACCGCTGAAACCCTAACCCTGCCGTTCTTGCAGCACCAGGTGTTCAGATGTGAGCTAGAAAACAGCCTCTGCCCTCGGTCTCGTGAGGGAGACAGTCAGTGAAGGGCGACAGCAAGAGTCATAGGGCACTCGCCTCGGGCTTCGGAGAGAAGGGCATGGGTTGAGTAGGAGTTTTCTGGGAAAGTGGATGGCGTGGGGGCGAGAGGATAGTCCAGTCACTCCCACAGGGGTTGGAGTGGGGACAGAGGCACGATAATAGAGTGTTTTTGAGGAACTGAAAATTTTATTCTGGTGGATGTAAAGAGTGGTCACTGGGAGGATGGGGCAAGAGATGAAGGAGGCGTAAGATCCTTGAGGCAAAGGATCAGGTCAGGGCCTGATGACCATTTGATAAATGTCCAGATCCCAACGGAAATTCCAGGGTCAACTGCACACATTGGCCACCAGCATTAGTCTCAGGGCAACTTCTGGGTATGCTGTAAGGCTGTGTATCTTGGGGAAACTGAGAAAACTTTTCTACTTAAAGGACCCCAAAATAAACTGATATATTACTGTTTGTGTTTTACCTAAGTAGTGTTGTCAGCTTTAACATATAAAAATAGAGTATATCCAGTTATATTTAAATTTTAATGCATAGGATATACTTATTCTAAAATATTACTTATTGTTTATCTGGAATTCAGATTTAATTGGGCATCCTATACAAGGATAGACAAATGTAGGTTTACCGTTGTTCATATGGAAAATAATACAATAATTAGTAAATAATAATACAAGAATAAACTCTGTGTTTCACATACTCACAACTGTAAACCTACTGTATTTTATCTGGCAACCTACTTAATGGTGAACTTCAGGAAGAGCCGACAAACTACCAAAGTAACTGTTTGAAGCAGGTACATCTGGCGGGGCTGGAAGGAGGCATCAAACTAGCTGTTCGGTGACCAGAGGACAAAACAGCTGGACGCATCAATTTCTTACTTTTAATTCAAGGCTACGTTACACGTGCCTCAGAGGTGTTTTACTCCAGGGGTGTCCTGACCCAAAGTTCCATCTCTTTGTGCAGCAGTTTCTGAGATGAAGTTAGTCTTAACCTCCACCCGAGCCAGTAATGACCTGCACCCATGAAATCCTTTTTAAACCTCAACCAGAAAAGGTCTCAAGCAAATCTCAGCAGATTCTTACAGAACCTAAAGCAGGGATTGACATAGATTATTTGTTCTCCCTCTGTGAAAATATGCAAATGTCTTACAGGGAAAAAGTACACAGTGTTGACATTACTGGCTCAGGGACCATGGTTATTAAATTAATACTATCTAATCCCATAAGAAGGTAAAAGCATTGCATCACTGAGCCAGAGAAAGGTAAGTTGCCCAGGGGGTTCTTCTGAGTTTTGCACACGTGCCACCTCCACAGCAATACAACACGAGTCCAGAGTCCATTGTCCACAACTCTGAATTCAACAGGCTTTTTCCTTCCTCACTTGGATGCAAACCCTGATCTAACTGGCACGAGGTTCTCTGTAGTCCTCACAGATCCCTCATAGTGGGAGTATCCAGATGGTGCCCTGTAGAAATGGTCATGTGTTGAGTTACAAGGTGCTGCCCTAGTCCCTTTGGGAGTACCATCTTATTACCTTTCCAAAACGCGGGAAATTTTGCATTCAGAAGTGCATCTGGCCCCGAGGGTTTCAGATGAGGCTGTGCGGATCTGTAAGAATTTCTTCTCACCTTTATCAATGAGCTCTTTTACACGCAAAAGTGGAACTTGAGCAAGAAACCTTGGTATTTGCCACTCAGGAGAACATGTTACATGTTGTCAGTATTGAAGAAAGAAAAGTGTAAAAAGTAAAGGAGCCTGGGCCCCTCTTTTCCTTGACTCCCTTCTTTCCAGTCCACCTCACAGGCACGAAGTATAGCTGTGGGACAGGAGGCTGTGGTGCCTGCACCGTCATGGTGTCGAGATATGACCCCAAGGCCAAGAAGATCCAGTATCCTTCGCTTGCCTAGGGAGCTGCCTGGGCGCCCCTAGGAAGGATGTGGAGCCCCCCACTTTCTGTCCACATGCACTCCTCCCCTCTCTCCTGGTGTCTACGGCACTCCCACAGCCTCCAGGCCTGCCCTCCCTGCAGATTCCTAAGCTCCAGATCTTTCCCATGGACTTTCTTCCCATCCGAATATATTTAACTGGAATAGCGTGCAACCAGAGTATCGGTATTTTTAAAAGCTTTACACGGTTGGGAATCACTGGGCTTAACTAATCCATAGAGGTTTACGTTAAAATCAATATATCATCTTAGGATCAGTAAAAAGTGTCCTTTCCCTAGAATGAGGAAAAAAAGTAGAGCATAAGGATCTCTTGGAGGCTCTGCACAAAACTTGATTATTCTATTTTTCCATTTCTCTCTAATATCCTACACTAGCCACATATAAGTCCTTTCTTGAACACCTGCAGAAATTTATGGTTTTATATCTAGTGTTCTCTGTATTCTCAAGAAAATACAGTCTCATGTTTCTCCTGGACTGAAATTACTCCCTAAATTATGTTACCCATTCCCTGTGATTCCAATGTATTCTCTTTACTTAATTCTATCACAGTCATTATTCAGTTACAGCATGCCTGGTGCCCATCTGTTCTCTGTATGGGGCTGCTGTCACCACGATAGAAGGTATAGGAAGCATCAAAACCAGGATTCACCCTGTGCAGGTAAGTGTACTCTGATTGGGACCAGGTGTTGGTATAGGTATCCCACATAATTTCCAAATAGGTCACCAATTGTGAAATCCTCTGTGCTTTTAATTGTTGTGAGAGTCCATGCTTCATAGCTAGGGATTTTTTTTTCAAAGATTGGTATATAAAACAAGATTTCTTCATTAATTTTAATATATCTTAACTTCTCAGCCCATCTTTGCCCTAAACTAAAATAAGGACGGTTCAGTCTTATGAGAAAAAAAAAAAATGAGATAGGAAACCAGAAGTTTATAGAAAATACTGGCTGTCTACCACATTCAAAATACCGAACTCTGAACAAGAGGCTAATTATGTGTACAAACACTCCCCGCTGCTCCCCAAATGTCTTATGAGGAACTGAGAACTGTGTGCAATAAAACACAGCTAAAATAACAAAGTGTTTACTAAAGTTGACAGGACTTTTTGAAGAAATGGAAATGTTATTTTTATATGCTAGAATAGGGACTGCTGCCAACGTTAAGTTTTAAAAACAGTGTATAGAAAGAAAATTATAAATAGCTATATTTTTTCTTGACATTCCTTCCCTTAGAAAATTGTGTTTGGAACAATGGGAGCTAAAAGCTTTCTCTGACAATGTGTTCCCATTGATGGGTACTTGTTTATAGTGCATGTCTTCCAGCCATAGACTCAATGACTTTGATTTTACTAAGATCTTACCCCATACCTGTCTCATCACCTTAAGTTATAAAAGCACCTAATGCTGCAGCTCATCAGATTTCTTTCTCTCCAATCATTTGTTAAATTACACTTGACATTCAATATTATATTAGTTTCAGGTGTAAAACATAATGGTTAGACATTAATATAACTTATGAAGTGATCCCCCCGAGAAGTTCTAGAACACAGATGACACAATATAAAGTTAAAATACTATTGACTATATTCTCTATGATGTACTTTACATCCCCATGACTATTTTCTATCTGCCAATTTGTACTTTTTCTTTTTAACTTTTTATTGTTGAATGTATTACAGATGTTCCTCATTTTTCCCCCATTGACCCCTTCCTCCACACTCCCGCCCCCCTCCTGCCTTTCCCCACACTGTTGTCTCTGTCCATTGGTTATGCATATATGCATATAAGTTCCTTGGTTTATTTCTTTCCACCCTCCCAACCCCCCTTCCCTTTGATGTTTGTCAGTCTAGCAACCAATTTGTACTTCTTAATTCCTTCACCATTTTCACTCATTCCGCCAGCCCACCTCTCATCTGGCAACCAACAAAATGTTCTCTGTATCTATGAGAATGTTTCTGTTCTGCTTGTTGGTTTTGTTTGTAGATTCAATTGTGGATAGATATGTATTCATTGCCATTTTGTGTGTTCGTATTTTTTATCTTTTTCTTCAAGAATACCCTTCAACATTTTATATAATAAAGATTTGGTGGTGATGAACTCCTTTAGCTTTTCCTTGTCTGGGAAACTCTTTATATGGCCATTGATTCTAAATGACAGCTTTGCAGAGTAGAGTAATCTTGGTTGTAGGTTCTTGCTTTTCATCACTCTGAATACTTCTTGCCATTCCCTTCTGGCCTGCAAAGTTTCTTTTGAGAAATCAGCTGACAGTCTTATGGGGGCTCCCTTATAATTAACTAACTGCTTTTCTCTTGCTGCTTTTAAGATTCTCTCTTTGTCTTGAACCTTTTGCATTTTGATGATGATGTGTCTTGGTGTGGGCCTCTTGGGGTTCATCTTGTTTGGGACTCTCTGTGCTTCCTGGACTTGTATGTCTGTTTCCTTTACCAAGTTAGGGAAGTTTTCTGCCATTATTGTTTCAAATAGGTTTTCAATTTCTTGTTCTCTCTCTCTTCTCCTTTTGGTACCCCCAAGATGGCGAATGTTGCCATGCTTGAAGTTGTCCCAGAGGCTCCTTACACTCTCCTCATTGTTTTGGATTCTTTTTTCTTTTTGCTGTTCTGATTGGATGTTTTTTGCTTCCTTATATTCCAAATCAATGGTTTGCTCCTTGGCTTTACCTACTCTACTATTGAATCTGTGTAAATTATTCTTTATTTCAGTCAGTGCCTCCTTCATTTCTGACTGGTCCTTTTTTATGCTCTTGAGGCCCTCACTAAGTTTGCTGAGGTTCTCACTAAGTTCATTGAGCATCCTTATAAGCAGTGTTTTGAACTCAGCATCTGTTAGGTTGCTTACCTCCATTTCACTTAGTTCTTTTCCTGGAGTTTTGTTCTGTTCTTTTATTTGGGACCTGTTTCTTTGTCTCCTCATTTTGGCTGCCTCCCTGTGTTTGTTTCTATGTATTCCTTAACAAGAGGTATGGGCCTAGCTGAGACCAGGTGCTGCTTGTTTGAAAGAATTTAGGAAAACCTGAAGCAGGATCCAAGACAGGTCAATCCTATGGTAAAGCAACTGGCAACAGCTTGGGTGCGTCTGAAAGTTGGGTGGGGCGAGGCCTCAGGGAGTCACCAAGGCGGGGCAAACAGTGTGAGCCAGGTTGCTGGAGTCCCAGATATGGTGGCTGTCTGCCACCCCAGGGAAGGGCTCACCAAAGGAACAAAGGCCTCTGATTGCACATCTGTCCCGGACAAAGCCGCCTCTCCAGTCCTTGCTCCAATGCCAAACAGCTCACTTCTTCCCTGTAGGCCTCTGGTGCCTCTCAGGTTGCCTCCCCTCTGAGCTTAGAGGGATCAAATCCGAGTAAGTCTGTGCGCGGGCCCTTTAAGGGGAGCTGCCTGGGGCTCCAGCCGCCTCAGCCTCCCTGAGCCTCAGTTCCTGCTGGTTTTTCAGCCAGAAGTAATGGGGACTCCTCTTCCTGGCACTGGAACCCTGAACGGGGCACCTGGTGTGGGATGGGGACCAGCCCGTTGCACCTCCGCCCCTCCTACCAAGCCTCAATGCGGCTTCTTCTTTAATTTCGTTCGTAGTTGTAGAACTTCCATTCAGCTTGATTTCAGGTGGTTTTGAATGATGGTTGTTCTGTAGTTTAGTTGTAACTTTGATGTGGTTGTGGGAGGATGCGATACCACGTTTACCTATGCCACCGTCTTCCAATTTGTACTTTTTAATCCCTTCACTTTTTCACCCAGTCCCACAACACCCCTTCCATCTGGTAACCATGTGTTTGTTCTCTTTATCTATGAGTTTGTTTCTATTTTGTTTATTTGCTTATTTTGTTTTTTAAATTCCACATACAAGTGAAATCATATGGTATCTGTCTTTCTTTGTCTGACTTATTTCATTTAGCATAATACCCTCTAGATTTTAATAGGGATTGAATCTATAGATTGCTTTGGGTAGTGTGGACATTTTAATGAGGTTGATACTTCCTATCCATAAGCATGATAAATACTTACATTTATTTCTATCTTCTTCAATTTCTTTAATTTCTTATCATTTTCTGAGTATGGGCCTTTTTACTTCTTTGGTTAAATTTATTTCTCTATATTTTTGATGCAATTATAAATGAGACTGTTAAATTAATTTCTCTTTCTGATAGTTTGTCATTGATGTACTAAAAATGCAACCAATTTCTAAATATTTATTTTGTATCCTGATACTTTACTGAATTCATTTATCAGTTCTAATAGTATTTTGGTGAAATCATAAGAGTTCTCTATCTATATCATATCATTTGCAAATAATGATTGTTTATTCTTTTCTTTTCAATTTGGATGCCTTATATTTCTTTTTATAGTCTATTGTGTCATTTAAGGCCACTGTTTCCTTGTTGATTTTCTGCCTGTTTGATCTATCCATTAATGTCAATGGGGGGAGATAAACTCCCCTCTAATTACTGTACTACTGTGGATCTCTCCTTTTATGTCTGTCAATATTTGCTTTATATATTTAGGAGCTCCTATGATGGGTGCATGAATGTTTACAAGTGTTATATCCTCTTGTTAGATTGGTCCCTTTATTATTATGAAATGCCCTTCTTTGTCTCTTGTTATAGCCTTTGCATTAAAGTCTATTTTGTCTGATATAAGTAATGCTACCCCAGCTTTTTTGTTTGCTTATTTTCATTTACATGAAATATCTTTTTTAATCCCTTTACTTTCAGTCTGTGTGTGTTTCAATCTGAAGTAGGCCTCTTGTGGGCAGCATATGCATGGATTTTGTTTTCTTATCCAGTTAGCCATCCTATGTCTTTTGATTGGAGCATTTAATCCATTTACATTTAAAGCAATTATTGCTGGTTGTAGTTATTGCCATTTTATTTTTTATATTTTTCTTTTTTCTTTTCTTTTTCTTTTTCTTACAGAGGTCTCTTTAACAGTTCTTGTAATACTGGTTGGGGGGTGATGAACTCCTTTAGCTTTTTCTTGTCTTGGAAGCTCTTTATCTTTCCTTTGATTCTAAATGATAGCCTTGCTGGAGAGAGTAATTTGGGTTGTAGTTCCCTGCTTTTTATCACTTTGAATATTCTTTGCCAATCCCTTTTGACCTGTACAGTTTTTGTTGTGGAATCAGATGATAGCATTATAAGACCTCCCTTGTACATAAATAATTGCTTTTACTTCGGTTGCTTTCAAGATTCTTTGTCTTAAACCTTTGGCATTTTAATTACAGTGTGCCTTGTTGTGGGACTCAGGCTTGGCACCACCTGTGCCAGCAGGCTGGGTGGGAAAAGGGCTCCACCTAGGAACAGTCATGCCCACCAGCTGGCTATGTGGAAAAGCTCAACAAAGGAACAATGGTGTGCACTCCAGAACTTCTGCCCAGGAGTGAGCTGCCCCCCAGCCCTCACCTGAAGCCAAACATTTCAATTACTCCTGTACGTCTCTGGCACTTTTCAAGCTGCTGTCCCTTTGCTGGAACTTAGGGAAAATGTTTGTGAGTGAGTAAATCTGTACTCAGTCACTTTAAGAGGATGCCTGAGTCTCCAGCACTTCTCCATCTCACTTGGACAGAAAGCCTGCTGATTTTCACAGTCAGATATTGTAGGGACTCCTCTTCCTGGCAACTGGTACTCTGAGTATGAGGCTGGAATCCCTTGCTCCTTAGGGGGGACCTCCCCAGCCAAGATATCCCACCTTATTTTTAACCAGAACATGTGGGTATGGGACCAGCCCATTCTGAGTCTTTGCCCTTCCTACCAGTCATTATGTGGCTTCTTCTTTATATCCTTAGTTATAGAACTTCTGTTCAACTAGTCTTCAGGTGGTTCTCAGTGATGGTTGTTTTACAATTTAGTTGTAATTTTGATATGGTCATGGGAGAAGTCAAGCACAGTATTTACCTACTCCACCATCTTGACTGGAAGTCTCTCTCAAATCTTGATAGAACACATGCTAGATTTGTTCAGTAGTGCCCTGGAACCAGCTCATACTGGCTTGTGAGAGTTGATTGTTAAATTTTCAAGGATCTTGTGAGCTATTGACTAAATACAGCTATTATTAACATTTAAACTATACAAACTTTAAATTAAATAAGTAATGTTAAAAACAAAGTTAATAAATATCACCATTCATTATCTCCTAATTATTTTACTACATTTTACTATTATTTATGCTCTTGAGATCATTTGTCTATTATATCTGCTTGGTGGAAATGACATAGAACGGTATGCCACTGTACATCTCTTCCCAGATCCACGTTCAATGACATCACATTGGAAGGCTGACATCAGCCCTATTGGAAATATTTGCACAACTATAATTGGTAGGAACCACAAATCAGGGTTTGTTCCCCCAGATATCCATTTGTTAAATATTTACCACCACATTTACAACCAGTTTATATGCCACATCTGAAACAACTTGCCATCTAGCAATAAATCCAACACAGCCACATTTCCCTTTAACATTAGAACAATGTCTGTCCTTTCTTTTCTTTTTAAATATAATCTACATTATTTTTAATGGTTACATATATGCCATTGTTGCATTAGCATAATTAATTCTTTTTTTCCAGTTATAGTTGATGTTCAATATTATATTAGTTTTCGTTGTACAGCATAGTGGTTAGACATTTATTTAACTTCCAAAGTGATCCCTCCAATAAGTCTGATACCATAAAGAGTTATTACAATATTATCAAATATCTGTTGCTTCACTTGAGCCATAGATGATGTACTTGGCTTTCATCTCAGGGGAAAGGCTATTTGAAAAATGTTGAGGCACCCTGCAAGAGAAATTCGGGACAGATACACACACAGGAACCCAGAGTCATGTCACCCATCTACATCTTCATTGCATAGGTTCTTTGTATAGACTGGACAAAGTAAATTGCTATTTCTCACTCTATCTCCTGTCTGGTGTCCAGGATAAGGAAACAAAGGCTTAAAGCATAAATAATGTATCATTTCCTCCCAGGAAAGACTTGCCAAGTGTCACGGCACGCAATGTGGCTTCTGCAGCCCAGGGATGGCGATGTCCATCTACACGTTGCTGAGGAACCACCCAGAGCCAACTCCTGATCAAATAATGGAAGCCCTTGGAGGTGAGCGTTCTTGGCCTTCTGTAGGAAAGACCTAAGGTAGAAATTGCCCAAGTGACTAGAGAAGAAGGTCCCAGCCCATGGAGAGAATTTGTGGCACAATTTTGGGGTTCTTCTTTAGTACCTCTCTTTACCCAGGTCCTTTCCAGAAAGTGATGCCTTCATTTTGTCAATAGAGATGCCAAGAATTGGGGCCATATTGGTTTCATCACAAAACCTTCTCCCTTAATAAAGCCTATTGTCACTGCAAAGGCATCCACATGGGCTCTTTATAACACTTTTATTAATTTGTTTTTGTTACAGATGTTTTTCATTTTTCCCCCATTAATACCCTCCTCCTCTCCCCCCCCCCCACCCTATTCCCAGCTTTGTTGTTCATGTTCATTGGTCATGCATACATGCATTCTTTATAACACTTTTAATAGGATCTTTTCAAAAAGTGGAAATTTGAGTAGTATTAAAGAACAAGATTTTTGTTGTTTATTTTTAAATAGATCTGTTAGAATCATTCATTAACTCTACTTAAGTTAATTTTACAAAAAGAATAGACTTTCAGATACTTTATAGTTTTGTTTCTGGTTGGGTTCATTATAAGATTTAAGAGATCATAGATAGCAATTAGTTATCACAAATAAGGTTGGTGGACAAGGCAATTTTCTATAACAAATAGTTATCAAGTTTAAATAAAGAAACACAATTTTCTACCCCCCATTCCCCAAAGCATGTCATGTTAACAATTGTGGTCTTCTGTAATAAACGTACCTAGTTTCAAGGTAATTGGTCACTAGTTCTTGGAGAAAGCTGTAACAAAAATTCAATTATATGATGAAAATACATAGACTAAAACAAAGTAAAAACTCAACATAAATTTTATGGTAACTGATATATAAATATTCTCTATTAATTTCCCTTATCTCTCAACAACTCTTTTATTCAAAATTTTTCAGTTTCTCATTAAGTACTACTAAAACTTTGGCCTATGGTTTCAATTATAATTTTAACCAAACTTGAATAGAGTTTAACAATAGGCAATCTTTGTTCAATAAAATAATCCACACTAAAGAGGTGTATAGGGCTTTGAAAAATCAGGTATCTTGTGATTTGCCTTACTTTTTGTTTATTTCTTTGAATATACACAGTCTTAAAGAGATGGGTTATTTCTTCCCAGATTCTATGCCTATAATTCACATAACAATGACTATGAGACAGTGTTTTAAAGTCTGGCTAAATTAATAAAGTAGATAACCTTAGTCTAAGTGTGGATAACTTGGAGAGTCTATTTGGTTCACAATCTATTTACTTGAGCTCTTTATATAATTATAATCTTAATATAACCTCACTGATAACCTTCAGGTTCATATTTTAAGAAAAACAATAATATAAAATTCAAAGAAATGCAATTAGGTATGGCACCTACCTTCTGAAATGGTCAACTGATACAAATCACTGTTTTATTTAATCTTGTCTTTACCTTCAAGACTAAGGAAATACAACTTTTGAATTTTTATCTTTTTTTTCCTCCCTCAGAATCAGAAGAATTTCTGCAATGGGTGCTATTAGTTTCCCTTGGGGGGCTTTAGTAGGATTTCTAGACTTAGCATTGTTTATGTGGCCAAGAACAAAAAACAAACAACAACTCTGATGCTAGTTTTCTCCAGTCTTTAATGTTTTCTTAGAGTTTATCAGAGAGAAAGTGTCCATTGCCACCTAAACACTCTATTCCATGCTATATAGCTATGTTCTAGACATTGCCGTTCCTTTTCTCTATTCCCAAGAGAGATTCCTAAGTCACACATCTTCTATATTCTTTCTTCTTAGCAAAAGGAAAGATAGATTATGAAATCTGAATCCATTCTTGTACATGTAGTTTCTCCCTAAACTATCCTCATTCTAAAAGGAGTACACCCATCAATCAAATTTCCACCCGACTCACTGGCATCAAATTCCCACACAACACTTTACTTCTAGGTGTTTAAACCTGCCCAATTCACAGGTACATTGCTTCTGAAATTTTAAAATTGTATTTAAACATAATTTTAATAATGCATTCCTATTTTGAAAAATTAAAAGGCAAGAAAAAAAACCTCATTCTATTTCTGCCACCAAGAGACAACCATAATCAGATACTTCTGTTTTCTTTCAGCCTTTTCTACATATAGTTTTTGTTTGCTTATTTTAAATATTTGTGACTACTATATGTACAGTTTTACACTGTATATATAATTTTAACAGTATAACATAAAATTTTTTTCATGCTAATAAAACATCTTCATAAAGATTATTTATACTGGCTGCAAAATTTGAATGTAGTTTCTAAGAAGATAATGATTTCCTCACCTTTTACACTATGCTTTGGAAATGTTGATTGATTTAAAAATATCAGGTCCTTATTGAACACCTACTGTGCTATATCATTCATGTATCATTCAAGAACATCGAAGAAAACGCTTGCTTTCTCCAGGAGCTTAAGAGCCAGTGAGGAAGATAAGGCATGTGCTCCAGCACAGTAGATGATAAGCCTGCAGAAGAATCCAGACAGTGAGTTGGTACAGCTCTGCTGGGGTGTTAGAGCTTGGAGAGAGGGGGCTGGGCCCTGACAAATGGATACAATTTCCATATGAGGACATTTGAAGAAGAGACTGCGTGAGAAAAGCTTAGCAAAGGACCACATCTGAGATGTTAGGGGAGGCAGCAGATTACATGAGTTAGTTCAGGGGTAGGAAATAAAACAGGAAAACTTCACTGGGGAAAACTATAGAGACCTTTGTGATATTTCAGGAAGAAAATGTGATCACAAGATCTGTTTTTGAAGAACATCTCTGTTCCAATGACCCATTTTGCTGGTTTGGGAAACAAAAAAGGAATTTAATTACTAATATAGCTTTCCCCTGAAAGTAAGAAGCACAAATATGCAATATATTTCTATATCATTCATTAAAAATTAATCTCTTCTTAATCAGGTAATTTGTGTCGCTGTACTGGATACCGACCAATTGCAGAAAGTGGAAAAACTTTCTGTGTGGTAAGTTAGAATAAAAAATATGTATATAAAATTTTCAGTTGATTTAATACATAATAAACCTTGGTATAATCATCTATTATATTCAGTTATCTCTAAAATAACCCCTTGTTGAGCTTTGTAACCCTGAAAGTTGTTAAATGCCACTGTTGGTATTTTTTTTTTTTTTAATAAACCTTTTACATCTACTTAATAGTCCTAAATTAGGCACTTTCCTCAGAAATATATGGTCCATAACTTCAATAGATGTAAACTCTACTGAAAATGAAATACAGACAGAGAAACAATTAAACCATAATTGAAAAGCAAGATTATTAAAAGCTCAATATATCCTCTATACCATGTATAGAAGTTTTGAAAGAATGTGTATTAAAGAGAATTAATGAGCCGGAAGGGAAAACACAGAGGAGACTTAGGAAGAACAAGCCTGAAAAGACACGATGGAAATGAGTGCATGGACTAGTGCAGCAGCCTACGCATGAGTAAATGAGGACCTACACCTGCGTGGAAAGATAACTTTCAGGAATAAGATTGCAGGATCATAACCTCCAGATGACGAAAGATGCAGTGAAAAAGAAATCCACAAATTCTAAATGTTTTTTAAAAAGAAACTATTTTAGGCCAGTAATGAAGAATTCAAATGCTTTCACAAACTATAGGCTAGTTTATTTTAAATCCTGAGTAAGATATTATTTAAGTCGAACCATATGAATTGCCAGTATTCTACCTTCTTTTTTTAAGAGCTGCATTCTCATCTTTCTTTTTTCTTTATTGATTTTTTAGAGAGAAAGGAAGGGAAAGGGAGAGAGAGGTAGAAACATCGATGACAGAGAACATCTATTGGCCTCCTCCTGCATGCCCCACACTGGGGATTGGGCCCACAACCTGGGCATGTGCCCTGACCTGGAACTGAACCAGCAACCTCTTGGTGAATGGGTCAATGCTCAACCACTGAGCCACACCTGCCGGGCTCTACCATTTCTGACCCATGAAAACAATAACTTCATATGATTCAGCCTAATACTATGTAATTATTTTCCTGGAGACAAAATCTGTACAGATAAGTATTTTTGACTCACTCACTCTTGGGTTGCCACATTCAGACATTTACAGTTAGTTTCTTTATTATGCTTAACATTGTAACAAAATCCAAATCTCTTCTTAACTAAATTACCTTACATGTAAAAATATAAGCGACCACTTTAGCGCTTCCTAGTGTCAAATACCGTGTGTATCTATCCCATATTTAATCTAACAAGCATGTTAAGAAGTATTTTACTTTCCTAATTTAACAAACTCAACCCAGCCAGTATGTGTTAAAGTAGGAACTAGAACCCAGGTCTCCTTGTTTCCATGTATGAAGTCAAACTATTGGTCTGTGAGCACCACAGACTCTTAAGCTGTGTCTGTACCTGAGATGGGCAGACAAGAATGAAATGATTCATCTGAGAGTTACAGAAACTGACCAGTGAGTTGAGACCCAAAACACCATTTTGAGGCTGCGTGAAATATTCTGAAAATTAAAATCGTTCGGGACTTAAATTATCCCAATAATTCAGGATAGCTACAATAACATCCAAATAAACTCAAGTTTTCAGTTTCTTTATACATGTGTGTAGAAAGTCGTAAAGGCAGTTTGTCTTCCCAAAGCTTTATTAAAGGTACACACTGTATGATCCTTACAATGAAGGAGAGCCATCTTTTTTTGGTTTTTAAATTACCACCTTTTGACTACACTCCATTGACCTCATTTTTAGTAGAAAGCCTTAGCTGCTGGCCACACATTCCTCTCTCTTCATTCTCCCCTGAGATTTGAGTGAGACCATTAACAAGGCCCTATTGTGAGCTTGGTGCACATTCTCTGCCATTTTCTCCAGCTGTTCAGTGATATAATACCTTGCTCTCCGCCCAGCCCCTTACAGAGTCCTCGAGGGCAAGGACGTTCTCTACCTCCTCCTGTGGGGCCTGGGCACTGCCAGGTACTTGGGTTAGTATTTAAAGAATCAACCAATAAATTTGTTTAAAACTACATTGCTTCCTAAGGAATCCACTGTTTGTCAAATGAAAGGATCAGGAAAATGTTGCATGGATCAAGAAAAAGTGTCTTTTGTGAATAGACAGGAGAGGGTAAGTATCTGGTGTTTCACTACAGTTGGAATTGACTGAAAAAGTAGCCACAGAAACCTAATTTATTCAAGTTTTCTATTCTTTTCAGTAAATTCAGGGCATAAACCACCTTGAAAAGTCCTCAAAATGAGCAAGCCCATGCCTTTCATGAGGCCAGTCACCACAAAAGGTTGTTTTCCTTCAGAACCCTTACAACTTTCAGTGACTTATCTGGGCTTACCTACCCCCTTAACCCCCAATCAAGCAACGTAAGCAGTGATACATCTTTATGCTCATGGCAAATAAATATCTGCAGTTAATACCTGAAACTCAACACAGAAGTTTAAAACCCAATTCCTGGCACCAAAAGAGCCAGTCCAGAGTTTAGTACATCTGCCAGGGAAACCATCATGGTCCTCCGAAGGTGGGAGGGGTTCCACTCAGGGACACCTCGTGGCTCCAATACCTACCTTTTATGTCTGAGGTGTCAGAGGTATGGGCCCTAACTCTGACATCTGCAGTTAGAGATTCCTGTCATCTCTCAGTAACTCTGAAGTTCCAGTTCTATTTTATTTTGTTTTGTCAAGATATGTACCAAACTGTATAATGAAGACGAATTCCAGCCCTTGGATCCATCCCAGGAACCTATATTTCCTCCTGAACTGATAGTAAGACTCTTTTCTTTTGTTATTTCATAATATAACATAGTATAAGCTTTTTTGTATTCCACTGTGGAATTACTGGGTTTTAGACATTAAAAGTTGAAACTGCCCAATACAATAACCCATTCTTAGGAACTTGTTCAGTACCATTGCAAATAATCTGAAGTGGACAGCTTAGAAGGGCGGGGCTGCCAGGACCTCAGAGATGCTTTGGTTCATCCCCTCAGTTGAAGATTCTAAGCTCAGAGCATGTAGGTGACTTAACCAGCGTCACAAAGCTACACTGTGAGAAATGTTTAAGGCACTTTGAAAAACTGGTGAAGTAAAAATCAAATGATACTTATTATAATAGAATTATGTTATTATAATTAACCTCTGTGATTTCAACTCAACTGGGAGAGAGAGAATAATATAAATAGTGTGATAATCTCATTATTCCATTCCATGACTATGCGCTGGAGAGAGCATGAAATGAGGGATATGATTTTATGGGCTATTCAGAAGGTCTCAGTCCTGCACACCCCTCAGAGTGTGAGAACTTGGACACACCTAGTATTTAAAGATTATATGTATGCATATATGTGTGTGTGTGTGTGTGTGTGTGTGTGTGTGCGTGTGTGTGTATTTTCAGAGTTGTAATAAAATCCACATACAGTATACCTGATGGATGATTTTAGAGGTCTTTTGCAAGGGTAATTTTGCTATGAGCAATTTTTGTCCTACCCAAAATCCTCGTCCCAAAGATGAGGACCCTCTAACTCACTCTTGGGACAGAATTAGAACAAGAAGCCTGGCCCTTTAGACACTTTCACTATATCATGCTACCTCTTCTTCATCACTTGCTTCACAAATATAGAGTTTGCTCTACTCTGTACACAGGAATTGATGAGCAGACACCTATTATGATGTGTATTCAATGGTGTCCAAACAAAACTTAAAAATCTAGTTTCAAACAAGGCCACACTTTCCTATTCCCTAGAAGTTAGGTCACCTCAGAAAACTAAAATGACCAGCAGTTCTTTTGGACACCCAGAGCAGTGCATATACTCATGGTATGTAGTCCAACAGCCTTACTTGAAAGTCTATTGGCTTTGCTTCTCTGCAGAGAATGGCAGAAGATCCAAACAAGAAAAGGCTGCTGTTCCAAGGGGAGAAGACTACCTGGATTACTCCTGTGACTCTCAACGACCTTCTGGAGCTGAAAACCAATTACCCCAAAGCCCCCCTTGTCATGGGGAACACTGCAGTGGGTGAGTGATTTTAAAGTATATTCTTTAGGTAACCCAAACACCTGTGTCTCATTTTAAACTTCATGAATGCAATTCATTTTTTTAAAATATATTTTTAGTACAGCCGGTGTGGCTCAGTGGTTGAGCGTTGACCCATGCACCAAGAGGTCGCCAGTTCGATTCCTGGTCAGGACACATGCCCAAGTTGTGGGCCTAATCCCCAGTGGTGGGGCGGGGGGCATGCAGGATGTGGCCAATCGATGTTCTCTCTCATTGATGTTTCTATCTCTCTCTCCCTCTCCCTTCCTCTCTCTCAAAATCAATAAAGAAAAAAATATATATGTTTTTATTGATTTTTTTAGAGAGAGGCAAAGCAAGAGAGAGAGAGAGAAATATCAATCAGCTGCCTCCTGTACGCACCCTACTGGGGATCAAGCCCACAACCTGGGCATGTGCCCTGATTGGGAATCAAACCAGGACCTTTCAGTCCATGGGACAATGCTCAATCCACTGAGCCACACCAGCTGGGCTGCAATTCATTCTTATTCATGGATACCCCTGGCCTAAAAATGCTTTGCTGTTTTCTTTTGCAACTGTCATTTGTGTCACAATTTTCACTTTGGATTATCAGGAAGCAACCTCTATTAGCATCCATTGACTTCCGTTTCTAATTGCTTTAAATGCTTTTCTCCTTAAGGACCCAGCATTAAATTCAAAGATGAATTCTATCCAGTTTTCATATCTCCACTTGGGCTTCCAGAACTGTGTTCTATGGACAGCACAGATGATGGTATGCACCTTCTTTTTCAAATAAGATGTAATGATTGGCTGTTGGTGGGCTGTTAATTATATACACGGGGCTGATTTGAGCACTTCAGAGAATACCTAACCTCATTTATTCATTCAAAAATATTTATAGAGTATCTACTATGTGTTTTCTATGAGCTTTTTCAAACTAACCCATCAACTGTGTCACTGAGTACTACATTGTCGTAGGAGCCATCTGGTGGGAAGATGCCACATAGTTCAGCCAAGTGTGGAAAGATTGGCTGAACAAGAAAACTTAAAACATAGAATGGCTGGTAGGAAAGGGTCTCGACAGACATTACTTTCTAATTCACACATTTATTGAAGGCTCATCTACACCCACACACATTCACACACACACACACACACACACACACACAATCTGAGCTACAAAATTTGAAAGTTTAACCATGAACAACAACCTTATTTATTTTACACTCTTTTCACAATTTGCCAAGTGCTTTCATATCTCTTGTTTCTTTTGATCCTCACCACAACCCTGGGAGGTACACATAGCAGGTAGCCTTGGCATCTCCATTCTCCTAATGAAGATATAAACTCCAAGGGCTTAAGTGACTTCCCACCTTCAGACAGCTACACAGTTAAGTCAGGACTAGATCCTGTGTCTTCTTCCTCTTCGTCAAGTACTCCTTCTACATAATGCACTGAGGAAGGCTATCGGAGAAATAGATCCCAACACCCACTACCATAACCCAACATTTGAGTGAATAATAGGTTATAGGAGCTAAAAATGCTACATAATACAGGGTTCTCTCCAGCAATCAAATAAAAAATGGTCTGCTTCCTCTCCGACCTTCTAATCTTAAGTCAGTCTGCCCATTAATTTTTTTTCACCTGTAGAAGTCACAGGAGGAGATGAAGCAGGAGGAAGGAAGCCAGGCTGGTACAGGATAGGGTTGGAAAAAAGATGTGGAGGTACTTGGTTAGGTAGGGGGTCAGGGGTTGGGGACATAGAGCCTGTAGAATTGAAACCAATGTTTCTCAATCCTTTTATTGTTGCCTCTCTAAGGGGCAACAGAAGTTTGTTCTCTAATCATCCCTCTATGAAATTTTAAAACCACAGATAGACAATATATTTATGTACAGTATGTAAATCAGAGCTTTATACATGAACTGGAAAAGATTTTTTTTATCCCCTTGAGGGCAGTATTGCCCTCCTTAAGAATTCATAAACCAGATGACATCACTACTCAAAGCAATCGGTCCGTGCACCTGCAGTGAAACTGACCCAGGCACAGATGGTGTCTGTTCTCGTTCTGATAAAGAAACAACAGGAAGAGATGGCTCTGGAAGAGGCAAACAGGCAGTGTGAATTTGTAGGTTGATGCCACGTAAGCTTACTGATCTTCTAAAAGTCTTACAAAATCTTGGCTGAAATATTAATATTTGATCAATATTTTCAGGAAAACACTAAATCTAAAATTAACTAATAAATTTCAGATATCCATGATTTATATATACTAAAGTATATGACTATACATGACAGAAAAAGAATTTGGTACCTAATATCTGGGAATAACGCAAATTGCTAGAAATAATCTTTATCTTTGGTTTTTGTCATTCTAAGTTAATATAAAAAGAGAAGATATATTTGAAAGGTTGCTTCCATGCAGCCCATTTTTTTTACAGTTTTTTACAGTTCACTTTAAGGTTTTATTCTAATATCTTATTTTCAGGGGTGACAATAGGTGCAGGCTACAGCCTCACCCAGTTGAATGATGCCTTACACTTCATTGTTTCGAAGCAACCAAAGGAGAAGACTAAGACCTACTATGCCCTCCTGAAGCATCTGAGGACACTTGCCGGAACCCAGATCAGAAATATGGCCGTACGGTCTCTAGTGTTATATAAATTAAGCCATAGTTATACACAATCACACAGTTCTGTTCAGTTTAGCAAACATTACTCTGAAGAGGAAACCCAACAAGTCAGTGTTGAATAAATAGCTACAACATCAGTGTGAGTGTGAGAGTGTGTGTGTGTGCCCAAAGTGAGAGGTGTCACATTGTGTGTAAGTGTGTACTAAGAGAGAGAAACAGCATATAACAAGATTATGGTTCTGGAATCTGAAGATACCCAAATTCCAATCTCAGCCTGTCACCTATGGGTGGTGTGATCCTGGAGAAGCCACTTGACCTCTTTAAGTCACTATTTCTTAATTTTAAAAATATAGTTTCACCCAGCCAATATGGCTCAGTGGTTGAGCATTAACCGGTGTACCACAAGGTCTCTGGTTTGATTCCTGGTCAGGGCACATGCCTAGGTTGCAGGCTTGACCCCCACTAGGGGGCATGCAGGAGGCAGCCCATCAATGTTTCTTCTATCTCTTCCTCTCCCTTCCTCTCTCTCTAAAAAATACATCAATAAAAAAGTAAAATAAAATACATTTTAAAAAAACACTATTATTAAAAATTAAAGTTCAACCAAGTGTCTCTAAGATCCTGCCCAGTTCTAATAGTCCATGAAATACATCTTATCCAAGGTTTAATAAATAAGAGCATACATTTCCTAAATATTCTTTTATGGATGGTTCTCTTCTTAGAACTTAGCAGTGAGGTCAGTTTCTAAACATGTGTATCCCGGATGTCAATTCTTGGACGTCCCCCAGTTATCTAGCTTATTGAGGTTTTCTTATTATTTAAGATTTAAGAGAAATTGGTTCGAACTACTGTCCATTCAGAGGAGAGCGCATTTTCCCTAATAGTTTCTGATCCTACTTCTGTTGATTCTCAAAATCCACCATATGTTTTCACCTTTGGCATCTACTATCCCTTTTTCTGGACCATGTTTTCCTCTCATTATCTCACCTTCTTAGCTCCTTTCAAAAGTCCTCATTATTGACAGTTTGGGCAAGAGAGAAGAGTTCTATTGCATAGCAGCTCAGCAAACATTTTAAAAATGAATGTCACATATCCTGGTTCTTTAGAGTTTACTCAGCCTCTACCTTCCCCTGTGTTATTGAACACTCGTTCTAGGGTCAGTTCTTAAAGAGATGTTTCTCCTCTTTACACATGGGAAAGGAATATTTTCTCAAGCAAAGAGTTTGAACTGGAGTCAGGGGTAGGAATCTTGCCCCATGTGTTGTCTGAATCTAGCTGCCCCAAAGTTCTGCCAGATCTTTCTGTGAAGCAGAGAAGAGAATTAAAAGCTTACATAAGATCCCTGTGTACATGATGCTTATTTGTTAAATAACTAAGTGTAGCTTTTTTAAAGTGTCATCTTTATTTAGACTTTAGGAGGACATGTGGTGAGCAGGCCGAATTTTTCTGACCTAAATCCGATTTTAGCAGCAGGAAATGCCATCATCAATGTGATATCTAAAGGTAAGAGACCAATTTTTTGGCATATCGTTTTATAGTTACCACTGTCAGGTAGCTCCTTCCATAAACCATAAACTAGGAACCCAAGAATATCTAACTTAGACTTACCAAAAATATATAGGCTCTATCTACATTCCCTCAAACACCAGGATGAAACTGAGATAAATTATTCTGTTCTCCAAATGCTCTATATCTTATAGATCAGATAAATTACTGCACAAGACAATTTTTCTTAACTATTTGGCCACATTCACGCACAGTATAGAAGCAGTTATCAAAAAATATATGAGCTGTATCTCTGTGGTTTTAAAGTTTTGTGGCATATTTGATTGCAGAGTTTCATAAAAGTGGAATTTTTTTTATAGGACTTTTCACTTTAAACAAAATCAAGTTTGTGGGGCATATTATCCATTGCTTCTCTATTCCTAACAGCTTGATCCTTGCCAAGGGAAAATATTTTAAACTCAAGGAAATAAAAACAATGCATATTATTCATAGAGCTATTGTTGTAAGACACCCTTTCTTTGATTAAAATCACATTTAAAAATATGGTGGATCAAATAAGAGAGCAGAGTAAATTGCTTAAAGAAAAAAAGCTATATATCAGGTATCTCACCTCTACCACTTTGGACATATCATTTAACCTCTCTCGGCCTCTGAACCTCAGTTTTCCCATTTGTGAAATACATTCTACCCATTTCCTATTTGTGAAACTGGGTTGTTTCCATATATCTTTAAAGTTCTTTAAGGCCAACATTTGTGAGTGATGTATAATGAGCTCTACGAACCAGAAAAGACTTTTTAGCTTATCTGGTCCAACCCTTTCATTCTGCAGATGAGGAACCGGAAGCCCCAAAGGTTCTGTGACCTGTCTAAGGTGACACAGCTTGGAACCTAGAACTAGAACCCACATCTTCTGGTTCCCAGCCTTCACTCTCTCTCTCTTCACCAGATACATCACATCTACCCCTTGCTGGATATTCTCCAATTTGATAAGTTCATTCTAATCAAGGTCATTTCTCTAATAGAAGGAGAACGGCAGATTCCCTTAGATGGCCAGTTCCTTGAGAGATCACCTGAAGCCAACCTTAAATCAGAAGAGATTGTGTTATCTGTTTATATTCCCCACTCTACTCAGGTAAGGGCCCCCTGACCAGCTGCCCGCCCCAAGGGAGCCCTGCTCACCCTGTGCAACCACAGACAGGCTTCCAAGGATGGTGCCATCTCCATTTCCAACCAACAGCTGCGGGGAGACTATTGGGCTGCTCTTAGGAAGGGGCAGATTCTCAGATGGCCATTTCATTTGCTTTCATATCAGGTCCACATTAGACTTTTGTGGACCTTAGGCACTTTTGCCTTCATGGGTCCCTTTCTCCATAAAATTAAAATAAAATCAATGGCCATATTAATATAAAGATGAATGTAAGGAATCGGGGCGCCGCCAAAAAGATGAGAAGAGACTAGAGAGCCAAACAGCCGAATAACCAGATCAGGCTTTATTGGGTACACTCCGGGCGGGTTCACAGACTCCGGGGGTCGAGTCCTAGAAGCCGTGCCGATGCTGGGGTCTGCGATTTTTATATCTGCCTGATGCAATATCATCTACAATAAGTTCCTGCTAAACTGAAAGTTTATTATCATTAAAATACTTCCAAGTGAACCAACATTTATAGGGTGTGGGTCTATAAGCCCGGGGCAAACAGTTCCTGGAACAGGACAGGGGTTAAGGTTGGGTAAGCGTGGTAATGGTCGAGCAAGTTGCCTGGTGCCAGTCACCAGGCTATCGGACAATGAACATAACCTGGTTTTATATAGTCATTTTTACTGTATTTTTTCTTTTGTTTTTAAAATAAATTAAAGATTTTCTATGGGCCTTATCTCTGCAAAAGAAGAGCCTTTTATGTGAGAAGCTGAATTTTGGGTTTCAGATAAATATGCATCTTAACCAAGATTGAGACAAACTATTGTCAATATCATCTACAATAAGTTCCTGCTAAACTGAAAGTTTATTATCATTAAAATACTTCCAAGTGAACCAACATTTATTAACCAAATACTTTAAGTAAAAGTATTTGTTTATTAACTACCTACCACTCTGCAAGTCAGGCACAGGGCTAATCCCAGAAGACAATACACAAATTTATAAAACAGTGTCCTAACTTCCCAGGTCTCTAAACCTAAGAGGAAGGGCTTGAAATAGGAAACACCCAATCATCTTAGAGAGAAATGAGTGGACAAATAGCTACAGTGGGTCCTGCGATGGGGAGAGCCCTCCCCTGGTGTTGTTCAAAAGGGAAGGAAAACAGTTGGGATCAAGCATAGATCAGTGGAGAGAAGCGGGTGGTCATTCCAGGAGGCAGAAGAGCATGAGGATTAGGGTTGGGTGAATGGCAGCTTGGAGGCCAGGCAGCAGGGCAAGGTGGCTGGAGGAGCCCCAGGAAACAAGGCTGGGTGGTAGGCTGGGGCTCCATATCTATTGCTTCATCAAGGAGTCTCTACATGTTCTGGCAGACAACCACCTCTAAAGACTTTAAAGCAAGGTAAAATCTTAATGAAAGTGGTATTTTAAGAATATTGATCCACTGGAAAGATGGAGGAAAAATTGGTTGGAGTAGGTTGAAAGGTTAGGAGTCTAATGCAATCATTCAGGCAGGAGGTCATGAGGGTGGTGGCAGCAGGAATGGAGAGGAAAGTCCCACCAACCAGTACAGTAGAGGAAATGTGATGTGTGTCTCAAACACTTCTTGATCACCTTTGCTTTCTGTACCAAAAATGTTTCATCCTTGACAGGGTCCATGGTAGTAGGGTTAACCTCTCCCCCACCCCCACCAAGATACTGGCCACACAAAGAGGTTTTCCCCCATTTTGTCCCTCCAGTATTTAACACCAATAATAAGATTTCACCTAAAAGAACAAATTTAAACCTGGACAACACTTTGGAAACCATTTGGTGCATTAGTTTCAAGCTTTTTCTTTTTAACAGTAGAACTCTTTATTCAAATGAAATTCACATAGAACACCAAACTAGTTAAAAGTGAAAGCTTGGTAGTTTGCTCTGAGACACACTCCGCCTCCTTATCTTCCCCTCATTCCCTGAGGCACCATCTGATCAAACCCAACCTTCTTTTAAAGACAGTTAAGACCCAAACAATTTAAGTCATTTGCCTGAGGCCAAGTGTGGTGATTTGGAGTTGAGAGTAGATAAGCATCAACTCTGAAGCCAGATTGCTTGGATTTGAACCCAGCTCTGCCACTTACTGTGTGACTTTGTGTAAGTTATTTAACCTCTCAGTTTCCTCATCAGTAAATTGGAAATGAGTAGAGTTGGAGTGAGGATTAAATATTAATATATATAAAACACATAAGCCTGTACTCATGTACCATCAGCACTACAGTTAATAACAGTGAGAATTTAAATCTATTCACAGGATCCTTTTCATTATTAATAATCATCTAAGTTGTTTCTGTTTCTTCCACAGTAGAGATAAGCACTAAACTTTTTGAGTGTTTTTCTATTGCCAGTGGCACTTTGTGTCAGGACTGCGGGTGGCCCAACGTCAGGAGAATGCCTTTGCCATCGTCAATGCCGGGATGAGTGTGAAGTTTGAAGAAAACACAGATACAATCAAGGACCTTAAAATATTCTATGGAAGTGTTGGCCCCACTGTGGTCTCTGCAAACCAAACTTGCAAGCAGCTCATTGGGAGGTAGGTCATAGCTCATCTGGAACATAAAACTCAGGCCTTTCTATTTTAATATTTCAATGAAAATAGTACTTCAAGAATTTTTCTGATTATAAAATATATATATTCATTTAAAATTTTTAAGCACTGGAAAAAAGTATAAAGAAAATAGAAGTCACACAAAAACCAACATATTTCAAGGTACAATAATTCTGTTATTGCAGTTTCTGTAATAAGATTAGTGCACAAATATAAGTAAATATAACCTTCACATTTTCACTTTTAATTAACCTGCAAAGTAAGTCAATATTTCCAATGCTGTGTCCTAAGACATCTGAAAATTTTCTTAAACCATATAAAGAAGATTAAATATTCCAAAAGGTTAAATGGTCTTCTTCTTGTCATTCTCATTACTTCTAGCATGTGGAAAGTAATTTTTTAAATTCTTCCAACTAGTGTTTTTACAATAATTTTTGTCTACCCACCATATTTATTGTCAATAATAAGAACTTAATACAAGTTTTTTCTGTTACTAAAATAACTTGATGCTTTCAAAGCATTTATACAGACACTTTCATTTGTGAAAAATTTTAGAACTATAATCAATAATTTGGTAATTTACCAGTCATTACCTGTATAGTATGCTTGCCAGGCATGGTCTAGTTGCTGGAGATACAACAATGAACAAGACAAAGTCTCATATTCTGGGAATTTTTATTTTAGTACTTTTTATTACCCAAGTTATTTGAGGTAAACCAATATTCAATATCCAAGAAGTTAAAAAATGCCCTGGCCGGTTTGGCTCAGCGGTTAGAGCGTCGACCTGTGGTCCTGAGAGACCCGGGTTCGGTTCCCGCTAAGGGCACGTACCTCGGTTGCAGTTTGTCCCCGGCCCTGGTCGGTCGTGCGGGTGGCAGCCACTCGATGTGTTCCTTTCACGTCGATGTTTCTCTCTCTCTCTCTCTCTCCCTCCCACTCTACCTGAGCAAAAAAATGGGAAAAGGTCCTCGGGTGAGGATAAAAAAAAAAAAAAAAGAAGTTAAAAAATAATAATAAAAACAGGCAATCCAATTAAAAATCAGCAGAGGAGGGACTTCTGGTCAAGATGGCAGCATAGGTAAATGTGATATCGCGTCCTCCCACAACCACATCAAAGTTACAACTAAACTATTGAACAACCATCATTCAAAACTGCCTGCAATCAAGCTGAGTGGAAGTCCTACAACTACGGAATTAAAGAAGCAGCCACATGGAGACTGGTAGGAGGGGCGGAGGTGGATGGACTGGTCCCACACCCACGTGTGGTGGATAAAAATCAGGAGGACACCTCAGCTGGAAAGGTCCTCCCTGAGGACTGTGGGGGTCCGCCTCCCACACCAGGAGCCCAGCTCAGGGTTCCAGTGCCAGGAGAGCAGTCCCCATCACTTCTTGCTGGAAAAACCACCGGGAACTGAGGCTCAGGGAGGCTGAGGCAGCTGGAGCCCCAGGAAGCTCCTCTTAAACGGTCCGTGCATAGACTTATTGGACTCACTCCCTCTAAGCTTGAAAGGGAGGCAGCTTGAGAAGACGCCAGAGATAGGAAAAAACTGAGCTGTTTGGCATTGGAGCGAAAGCTGGAGAGGGGGCTCTCTCTGGAACAAAAAAAAACTAACATGCTGTCCAACACCTTTGTTCCTTTGGTGAGCCCTTCCCTGGGGCAGCAGACAGCTGCCATATCTGGGACTCTAGCACCTGACTGGTTGCCCCGCCCTGGAGATTCCCTGAGGCCCTGCCACACCCAACTTTCAGGCCCATCCAAGCTGTTGCCAGTTGCTTAACCATAGGATTGGCCTGTCTTGGATCCTGCTTCAGGTTTTCCTAAATTCTTTCAAACAAGCAGTTTCTGGTCTCAGCTAGCCCCATAGCTCTCATTAATTAATACATAGAAACAAACACAGGGAGGCAGCCAAAACAAGGAGACAAAAAAACAGGTCCAAAATGAAAGAACAGAACAAAACTCCAGGAAAAGAACTAAGTGAAATGAAGATAAGCAACCTAACAGATGCTGAGTTCAAAATACTGCTTATAAGGATACTCAATGAACTTAATGAGAAGAACCTCAGCAAACTTACTAAGGGCCTGAAGAACATAAAAAAGGACCAGTCAGAAATGAAGGATGCACAGTCAGAAATGAAGGAGGCACTAACTGAAATCAAGAATAATTTACACAGATTCAATAGTAGAGTAGGTAAAGCCAAGAAGCAAACCATTGATTTGGAATATAAGGAAGCAAAAAACACCCAATCAGAACAGCAAAAAGAAAAAAGAATCCAAAACAATGAGGAGAGTGTAAGGAGCCTCTGGGACAACTTCAAGCATGCCAACATTCACCATCTTGGGGTGCCAGAAGGAGAAGAGAGAGAACAAGAAATGGAAAACCTATTTAAACAATAATGGCAGAAAACTTCCCTAACTTGGTGAAGGAAACAGACATACAAGTCCAGGAAGCACAGAGAGTCCCAAACAAGATGAACCCCAAGAGGCCCACACCAAGACACATCATCATCAAAATGCAAAACGTTCAAGACAAAGAGAGAGTCTTAAAAGCAGCAAGAGAAAAGCAGTTAGTTACCTACAAGGGCGTTCCCATTAGACTGTCAGCTGATTTCTCAAAAGAAACTTTGCAGGCCAGAAGGGAGTGGCAAGAAATACTCAGAGTGATGAAAAGAAAGAACCTACAACCAAGATTACTCCATCCTGCAAAGCTGTCATTTAGAATTGATGGCCATATAAAGAGTTTCCCAGACAAGAAAAAGCTAAAGGAGTTTATCACCACTAAACCGTCATTATATGAAATGTTAAAGGGTCTTTTTGAAGAAAAAGATAAAATATATGAACAAACAAAATGATAATGAATACATATCTATTGGCAATGGAATCTACAAACAAAATAAACAGGCAGAACAGAAACATTTTCATAGATACAGAGAACATTTTGTTGGTTGCCATATGGGAGGTGGGTTGGGGGAATGGGTGAAAAGGGTGAAGGGATTAAGAAGTACAAATTGGTTGCTAGACTGATAAACCTCAAAAGGAAGGGGGGTTTGGGAGTAGGAAGAAATAAACCAAAGAACTTATATGCATAACCAATGGACACAGACAACAGTGTGGGAAAAGGCAGGAAGGGGGTAGGAGTGGAGAGGAGGGGATCAATGGGGGGAAAATGAGGAACATCTGCAATACATTCAACAAAGATTTTTAAAAAATAAAAATAAATAAAATATAAATAAATAAATAAATCAGCAGAGGATCCAAATAGACATTTTCCAAAGAAAACATACAGATGACTAACAGGCACATGAAAAAGTGCTTAACATCACTAATCATCAGGGAAGTACAAATCAAAACCACAATGGAGTAAAGACAGCCTCTTCAATAAATAGTGTTGGGAAAGTTGGACAGCTACATGCAAAATAATGAAACTAGACCACTAACTTTATACCATACACAAGAATAAACTCAAAATGGATAAAAGACTTAAATGTGACATGTGAATTCATAAAATCCTAGAAGAAAATGTAGGCAACAAAATTTCAGACATCACACGCAGCAGAATTTTCACTGATACAATGCCTAAGGCAAGAGAAACAAAGGAAAAGAAGGAATACATGGGACTACATCAAACTAAATAGCTTCTGCACATCAAAAGAAACAAGCATCAAAATGGAAAGGGAACCTACCATATGGGAGTATAATTGCCAGTAATACATCACATCAGATAAGGGGTTAATTTCCAAAATATATAGTATGCTCATACAACTCAACAAAAGGAAGGTAAAGAATCCAATTTAAAAATGGGCAGATGACCTAAATATACACCTCTCCAAACAGAACATACAAATGGCCAAAAGACATATGAAAAATGCTCAACATCACTAATCATCAGAGAGATGCAAATTCAAATGACTATGAGGTATCACCTCACACCTGCCAGAATGGCTGCCATCAACAAATCCTCAAACAAGTGCTGGTGAGGGTGTGGAGAAAATGGGACTCTAGTACCCTGCTGGGGGGAATGCAGACTGGTGCAGTCACTATGGAAAACACCATGGTGTTACCTCAAAAAGTTAAAAAAGGAATTGCCATTTGACCCAGTGTTTCCACTTCTAGGAATATATCCTAAGAAGCCTGAAACACCAATCAGAAAGAATATATGTACCCCTATGTTCATAGCAGCACTATTAATAATTGCTAAGATCTGGAAACAGCCCAAGTGTCCATCAATAAATGAGTAGATAAAAAAGATGTGGTACATGTACACAATGGAGTACTATGCAGCTGTAAGAAAGAAAGATCTCTTATCCTTTGAGATGACATGGAGGGACCTGAACAGTATTATGCTAAGTGAAATAAACCAATCAGAGGAAGACAAATATCACATGATCCCACTTATTTGTGGAATATAATGAAAAAAATAATCTGATGAACAAAATAGACCCAGTGACATAGAAAGGAGTATGGTTTATACTGACAAGCCTCAGAGGAGGTGGGTGGGCTGGAGGGAAAAGATAAACCAAAGAACTTATATGCATATATGCATAACCAATGGACATAGACATCAATGCTGGTGGTGGGGATCAGGAGGAGGGTGTCATTGGGGTAAAAAGGAGAAACATTCGTATCAAAAATAAATTAATTATTATTTTTCTAAACACACAATGAGATATAACCTCACAACTTTTAGAATGGCTATCATAAAAAAGACAAGAACTAACAGGTGCTGGTGAGGATGTGTGGAAAAGGGAAACTTTATGAACTGTTGGTTGGAATGTAAATTGATGCAGCCACTATGGAAAACAGTATAGCAGTTCCTAAAATAATTAAAAATATTACTACCATATGATCCAGTGATTTCATTTCTGGCTATTTATCCAAGAATAAAAATTAAAGCACTACTCAAAAAGATATATAGCCCCGGCTCTATATATAGTTTGGCTCAAAAGTGGAGTGTCAGCCCATGGACCAATGAGTCCTGGGTTTGATTCCGGCCAAGGGCATGTACCTTGGTTGCAGTTCGACACCAGCCCTAGTCAGGGTCATGCGGGAGGCAACTAGTTGATGTATCCCTCTCACATCGATGTTTCTCTCTCTCTCTCCCTTTCTCTCTTTCTCCCTCCCACTCTGTCTGAAGATAAATAGAAAAGTATCCTCAGGTGAAGATAAAAAAAAAAAGACATATGACCCAGCTGGTGTGGCTCAGTGGTTGAGCATCAACCCATGCACCAAGAGGTTGCCAGTTTCACTCCTGGTCAGGGCACATGCCCAGGTTGTGGGCCAAATCCCCTGTCGGGGGCATGCAGGGGGCAATCAATCAATGTTCTCTCTCACTGATGTTTCTATCTCTCTTTCCCTCTCTCTCTCTAAAATTAATAAAGAAAAACAATTTTTTTAATAAAAAAGATATATGGACTCCAATGTTCATTACATCATTGTTTAGAATAACCAAGATATGAAAGCAATCTAAGTGTCCATTGATGGATTACTGGATAAAGAAAACATGGTACATAGATACAATGGAATATTATTCAGCCACAAAAAAAGAAGGAAATCTTGCCATTTGCAACAACATGGATTGACCTTGAGGGAATTATACTAAGTGAAATAAGTCATACAGAGAAGGACAAGTATCACATTGCTGCTGGAGGAATGAGTGGGCATGAGGTTCTTGGGGTACCACTGAAATAAGAATTTTCAGAAGTCCCCACAGGAGAATGAATGTTCTTTATTGGCGTTGAGTTACATTTCTGTGGTTGTAGCATCCCAGTTCCCTTGATCCAGTCCTGGAAGAGAGGCAGCTGTGGGTTTAGTAAGGCTAGTAACAGGGCCAGAGTTCAGACTGTCTGTTCCATGATGTAGCTGGGTCCAGATCAAAATTAGGCTGAATTTTGTCCATCAATCCACTGAATGGGGTCCACATGGCTGTGGGCCATGTGGGCAAATACAGGGTATGAGAGCCCTGCAAGCTGGGGATCTGGCATAGGCAGAGAGAGAGAGAGAGAGAGAGAGAGAGAGAGAGAGAGCGAGCACTTTCCTTCATCTAGGAGATTAAATATTCAGTTTTCATGGGCCTGCAGTGGCCATGCTTATTCTGGCCACTGACTCGCTCCCAGGTGTGACAGAAAGGTAGACACCTTTTCATGTCACTCAGAACTCACTGGGCATGCATCTAAACTGCCTTTGTCCAGTCCCTTCCCCCACAGATCAGCAGAGAATGGACCTGGAATGTGTTAAACTATTTTTTTGGCAAAGCTGTATAAATGGCATGCCTATATTATTTGGTGTTTCCTTCACTCCTTTCCTGTTAAATGATAACCAGCTTATTGTAATCGCATCGGTATGACCTCACTCACATGTGGAATACAAAACAAAACAAAAACCAAGCTCATGGATACAGAGAACAGACTGGTGGTTGCAGCTGTGGGTGGGGGGAAAATGGGTAAAGGGGATTAAAAAATACAAACTTCGAGCTATAAAATAAATAATTCATGGGAATTTAATGTATGGTGACTGTAGTTAATAGTACTGTATTATGTATTTAAAAGTTGTTAAGAGAGTAGATCTTAAAAGTCCTCATCATGCCCTGGCCAGTGGCTCGGTTGGTTGAAGCATCATCCGGTACACCAAAAGGCTGCAGGCTCAATTCCCAGTCAGGGCACATACCTAGGTTATGGGTTCAATTCCCAGTTGGCATGTACAGAAGGCAACCAATCAATGTTTCTCTCTCTCTAAAATCAATAAACATATCCTTGGGTGAGGATAAAAAAAAAAAGTTCTCATTTTGTACTATGTGTAATGATGGATGTTAACTAGACTTACTAAAGTGATCATTTCAAGGTATAGAATCCAAATATCGAATCATTATATTGTATACCTGAAGTTAATATAATGTCATATGTCAATTATAGCCCAATTAAAAAGTAAAACTAATAAAAAGATTTAAAGTAATAATAAAGGAGGACTTGGTAAGGAAAATTTGGAAATCACTGCATCAGATTCTAAAGAAAGCCAGTGAAATGTTTGAGGATATTTTGTGTTGACTTCAAATATGGATACAGATTGCTCTCCATCTTCCCTTGTTCTATCAGTTTAGTCTGTCTTTGCCTCTTCTGTGAAATGTTGACATTCTTTCCTACTAGGCAATGGGATGACCAAATGCTGAGTGATGCGTGCCGGTTGGTCCTGGATGAGATTCACATTCCACCAGAAGCTGAGGGTGGCATGGTGGAATATAGGCGAACCCTCATCATCAGCCTACTCTTCAAATTCTACCTCAAAGTGAAGCGAGGACTGAATAAAATGGTAAATGACTTGTCTGAGTCTTTGGGTGCCTTGACATTCTGAGCATGAGTCTGCACATGAAGGACTTCCCTGCCTGGTTTTGATAGTGCATCAAGGGTACCGGAGATGGGGCCTTCAGTGTAGTGATCAGCATCTTCCTTGCCCTTCTTTGTTCCTCTCCTTCCCTTCTCCTTCAGTCCTGGGCTGACAAGGGGACAACCTTGTTATCCCATTTGCCCTATAGTTTATAGGACAAATACTAACATGCATGCAAGTTGACCTACAATACCAAAAATCCTTCAGTAAGCAAGTTATAACATTATTTTCTATCTTAAAGAAAAATCATTGTAATAATACCAACTTTAATATTTAGAAAATGTAAAATGTGAATAAGTAAAAAAAGAGAACATTTTTAATCCTATCACCATAGAGAGTTAGCCACTATTAATATTTTGGTGTGTATCCTTCTAACCCCTTTAAAGATGTGTATGTCTATATGTCACACATGTACACCAATAGAACTGTTTAGTATAGCTTGCTTTTTTCCCTTCATAACATAAATATCTTTCAATATTCAGTCTTTTTCAGTGACATTATGACATATCGTTGCATGGCATATTTATGGAAACGTGTACAATTACTTGGTCCATTCCTTGTTTTTAGACATTTAGATTGCTTCTAGTTTTTTGGTAACTATTTTTCTTTTCTAGCCTAGTTTAAAATGACTTCCACAGCAGTTCTCAAAATCTGGCCAATGACTGAGTGTCCCCTTGATAACTCATGAACTAACTCAAAAATTGCAGACAAATGACTATACCCACATTTCCTTTATGCCTGAGAATTTTACCTCTTAGTTCAGCCAATCCTTTATTATTTTACTAACAATATTTATTATTAGTATTATCATATTCTATTTTATTACATACTCTATTATGTGTTACATAATATCTTGTATATTAATATGTAATCATTATATATCTAATATAGTGTTGAATATAATCTATTAAATATGTTTTTATTTTATATTTACTATATATGATCATATATTCTCTAACATATTACATATTCTATTATGTTATATATTCCATCATTATAGAAGAATTCAAAATACAGAGAAGCAAATTTTTTTAATCAACTCTAATCCAGTAGTCTTATGATTAACATTTGAGTACATACTTTTATATGTTTTTTATTTATTTATTTATTTATTTATTTATTTATTTATTTATTTTTAATTTAATTTAATTTTTTTTTTTTATCCTCACCGGAGGACATTTTTCCATTCTTTGTTCAGATATAGCAGGAGGGAAAGAGAGGAAGAGAGAGAGAGAAACATTGACGTGAAAGGGACACATCGAGTGGTCGCCACCCACATGACCAGTCAGGGATGGGAACAAACTGCAACCAAGGTACGCGCCCTTAGTGGGAACCAAACCCTGTTCTCTCTGGACCACAGGCCAACGCTCTAACCGCTGAGCCAAACCAGCTAGGGCTTATATGTTTTAAATAAGAAATGGGATCATGCTGTACACAGTTTTGTAACCAGTTTTTTTCATTTAACTGTATTTCATGAACATTTTTCAATGTCCATAAATACACTTCTACAAAATTATTTTTAATGGCTACAGAATATTGTATCTTATGGGTATACCATAATTTGTTTAGCTATTTCCTTGTTGTTGGATGTTCAGTTTAATTCTACTTTCTTCACTATCACAAATAATCTGTAATTTGGACATCCTTGTAGATAACTTACAAGTCATCATTGCTCACTCCTTCAGTTGTTTCTTTGAGATATATGCCAAGAAGAAAGCACAGAGTATTTAGAAGTATATACATACTTCCACTCGTTCAAAAAGGAGACCTGGTCATGAAGGCAAATCTTTACTTTCTGGAAATAACATTCACTTCTCTGTGTACATAAGTAGATGCAGTTATTCTTCAAGCAACTACTACGAGCCCAGAGAACTTGAAGTTCAGGGCTTTCCCTGCAGAACTGGTGTCTAATATCTAGAATAACTATTTCTACATGTTTTTCCAAGCTACTTATTCAGATTGTAAAATTAAATATGAAATAATCTTCTTTTTAGGATCCCCAGGAGTTTCCTGATATCCCAGAAAAGTTCATGAGTGCTCTAGACAATTTCCCGCTCGTAATGCCCCAAGGAATTCAGTTTTTCCAGGTTGGTGTGTAGGATTTTTGTTTTTCAATCTTAGGTGTATATATTATGCAAGTATTTTTCTCTTTTCAACTGCTATATTTTGTATTACATGTAAAGGTAAAGTCTACTAAAACCAGCTGATGTTACCCATTGTCACCCACACACAACTTGCTTGGTTTAGTTTTTCTGTTTTTACTCAAGACTACACAAAGAATTTGATTTTGAATCTTTTTTCTTCACTGTTTTCAGCTTTTTTTTGTTTGGTTGGTTTTGGGGGGGTTTTTTTGTTTTTTTTTTTTCTTTATTGATTTTAGAGAGAGGGAGAGAGAGATAGAAACATCGATGAGAGAGAACATCGACTGGCCACCTCCTGCACGCCCCCTACTGGGAATCAGGCCCACAACCTGGGCATGGGCCCTGACCAGGAATCAAACTGGCGACCTCTTGGTGCATGGGTCAAGGGTCAACCACTGGGCCACACCAGCCAGGGCAGTTTTGTTTTGTTGCTTAAAATGTCCTCCTTTTCTTGGCCAATGTTGGTCCTTTCTTTAAAACCTGTTTCAACATTTACTGCTTCTAGAAAGTCCTCCCTAAATCTCCCAAGAAACTGTGTATTTTCCTTGCACCACTCTAGTTGTGTAAATTATTCTTTAATACTCTGTGAAATTGACCACATTATTTTAATGTATATCTTCTGATTCCTCAACAAGGTTGTAGAATTCTTGAAGGCAGGAACAATGCCTTCTTGTGTGTGTATATGGGGGGGTGGGGGAGGGGTTAGAACCTATAACCAAAAATACATTCCTTACCATAACACTCAAGGGATATTTATTAAGTCTGACTCTTAGATACAGATACCCAGTTACCTATAGTTTTTCTTGCTTATGAGTTAAGATATAACAGATCCAATTTTCAGTGTATAAAAATGTCTTGCAGTGAAATGACACACTCTTTTAATTAACAGTGTGTGGATCCCCGCCAATCTCCTCAAGATCCAGTCGGTCGCCCAGTCATGCACCAGTCAGCCATTAAACATGCCACCGGGGAAGCTGTGTACATTGATGACTTACCTCACATCAGCCAAGAACTCTTTCTGGCTCCAGTTACCAGCACTAGAGCTCATGCAAAGATCATGTAAGGAAATAAAAGATGCCTCTATAAGTTACTAAAATGCATTAACAATTTTATATTTAAATTGAGAGCTTATTGTATAGTTAAGTCAATTGAGAGTATTTATTTCCTCTTCTGGATGGAAATCAATCATTTTTTTTTTGAGGAGGAGGAGGACAATTTTCAATATTTTGTTGAGATAGAGTGAGAGGAAGAGAGAGAGAGAGAAGCATGGACGTGAAAGGGACACATCGAGTGGCTGCCACCCGCACGACCCAACCAGGGCCGGGGACAAACTGCAACCGAGGTACATGCCCTTAGCGGGAACCGAACCTGGGTCTCTCCGGACCGCAGGCCAATGCTCTAACCGCTGAGCCAAACCGGCCAGGGTGGGAATCAATCATTTTTAAAGCATAGTTATGAAAAAAATTTTATGGCCAAGAGTCAGAACACTAACGTAGAATATTGGCCCATGATATAGTTATGAGGATCATTATAGTTGTTCCCTCTGTTTGAAGAATAATTTATATTGTACCCTGAACTTACCCTGGCAACTTTAATGTGTACTTTTACATTTTCTCTCTAGATCAATTGATGTTTCAGAAGCTCTGGCACATCCAGGTGTCATTGATGTGATAACAGCTGAGGATGTTCCAGGAGATAACAATCATGAAGGAGAGGTTATCTATGCTCAGAATGAGGTGTGTGATTTGTACGTGGCTTGTTATTCAAATACTTTACTGAAAATGCCACATCACAAAGACTTCCAGAGAACCAGTGACTCCACCTCAGTGATGCTCAAAGTTATTTGAATTGTGTACCCTTTTGAGAGTCTAATAGAAACCATAAGCCCTCTCAAGGAAGACTTCGAAAAAAGTCGTAAGTCCTAGAAGCAATATAGAGTATAGGACATTAAAAGAACCAACAGAACTTCAGGAATTTCAGGATGACGGGATCACCATGAGTGATTTGGGAATGGTGGGGAATGCTGCTGAAGACAGCCATAGGCCAGATATAATCAAGTTCTGCATCCAGCTTCTGTACCCCCTAAAACCTACTCAAGCCACTGTTTTAAATGTATTCTCATAGGTAGAAAATAATCTTTTTTTGGTCACAAGAACTCAGTGGATAAATGTAAGGATTTGTAAACAGTAAATCCCTTTTAGTGATTCCATGTTTTTTAGCTAATTACATACATGTGACGCTTCTGCAGGTAATTTGCGTGGGTCAGATCATCTGTACTGTGGCTGCTGACACCAATGCTCATGCGAAAGATGCCGCTAAAAAAGTGAAGATTGCTTATGAAGACATAGAACCTAGGATTATCACTATAGAGGTATTCAGACCACTTTGTGTCTTCAAGAATAACCAGGGTGATGTACTTTTGGCAGAATTCAATCCATGGAGTCACACAATAGTATAAACTGGGCTTCGTCTATGCTTTGTTCAGTGTCATCTATAGTTTTAGAGAGAAGGCGCCAGCAATCTGCACCGAGACACAATACTGAGAATTCCTGCCTGGAGCTCCTTTCTTTCCTGTACCCACTCGTCCTGGAAGGGCCTCCTGCCAGGCACGGCCTGAGAATACAGATGAACACCAGAGGAAGGTCCTTGTGGCCTCACATACAAAACTAGTCAGTGAGAAAATCCAGAGCCCTAGGAAATTCAGAACAGGTTAACATTGACTGAATGACAGCTTGGGTCCCCTCTGTCTCCGTGCCCACTTCCTACCTAGGCACACATTCTGAAGGTAGAATACTCAGATTCATGTTCTGACTCTGCCATTGACTAGACTATTAAATGAAAGCTTTGACAAGTTACTTAGTTCTTCATATCTCAACCTCCTTATCTGTAAAATGGGAACTAAGAAAGTCCCTACATCAAAAGGTCATTGTGAGGTTTGGATGAGAGAATCCAGATAAAATGCTTAAAACGGCACCTGGGGACATGGTATGCTTTGAGTAAATGTTAGCTGCTGTTGTTTTAGTTGTTGTTATCAGTGATGTCAAGAACTCTTCATGATGCTTATTATCCCTGGTGCCTAGCCAGGCACTAAACCCATAGTAGGTAAGTGTGTGTGATGGAAGGGCAGGTATATGCATAAGCACTGTGAAACCTGGCCAAGCAGGATACCGTCTTATTCATCCTCTTTGATTCTCCCCAGTTTTTCCCAACAGTTGCCAAGTTCAAGTCTTTTTCAGTTATTTTTTAAATGCGCCCCTTTCTTTCTATTCTCACTTTTACCTCTTCCCACCCACCAGCCCAGTCCTCACCACCTTATTGTCAGATTTACTACAATAATCACTTAAAAAGGCTCTTGGGCTGTATCTCAAAATATCTACCTACCATATTAACTTTCGAAGTCACAAAGTTCATCAGATCACTTTTCCTTGGGAAAAAAAAAAGTCCCCTTAGATAAGGTTCTTAGTATGGAACTTAAGGTTTTTCATAGTCTAAGCTCACTCCAACTGCTTTTTTTTTTTTTTTAGAGAAACATTGATTTGTTGTTACACTTATTTATGCATTCATTGGTTGGTTTTTGTATGTGCCCTTAATAGGGATTGAACCTTGGCATATGAGGCTGATGCTCTAATTGAAAGGAACAGGAGAGAATAATGAAGAACTGATCATAGTGAAGTGCTAGCCACAGGTTATAAGAAATGTTGAACACCGTGGCTCTGTTAATCATGATTGCTTTGTTCTGATTAAAGAAAACCCCTTCTGACCTGGCTAGGAGCTGTACACCCTGGGCGTTTACTCCGAGAATGCTGTCCATTGTCCTTACCCGAAATCGCCCCCCCCTTATCATGGAAAGACTAAAACCTTGGAGTCTTGCTGCACTGGAGACGGCCCACATTCTCCAGCTCCCATTATTTCTCCATGCCTGGAATCTATAACTGTTTTACCCACTGGCATTCCCTTTGCCTACTTCCCCATGTAATACCCAATATGAGCGACTGCCTATGGAGGGGGTGGAAAGCAGATTTTTGCAGGATGACTTGGTTGCTCTCCCATACTGCCAACATTATTGGAATAAACACTCATATATGATTCAAGCTTGTCTCTGCTTAATTGGCTCAAGTAGTGACAGGCAGCCCAGACCCAGTTTTTGTCCAATTTCATAACCAACTGAGCTATCCAGCCAGTGCTCAACAACTTCTTCTTCTTCTCCTCCTCCTCCTCCTCCTCCTCCTCCTCCTCCTCCTCCTCCTCCTCCTCCTCCTCCTCCTCCTTTTAAATATGTTATATTGACATTTTAGAGAGAGAGGAAGGGAGAGGGGAGAGGGAAAGAGAGATAGAAAAATTGTTGAGAGATCGGTTGGCTGTCTCCTACACAGCCCCTACTGGTAATCAAGCCCAACCGGGGCATGTGCTCAGACCAGGAATCAAACTAACGACCTCCTGGTTCATGGGTCGATGCTTAACCACTGAGCCACATGGGCTGGACTCAACTGCTTTTTTTTTTTTTAAATATTTATTTTTTTTATCCTTACCTGAGGACATTTTTGCATTTTTTGTTCAGAGAGTGAGAGGGAGGGAGGGAGGGAGGAAGGGAGAGAGAGAGAGAAACATCGACGCGAAAAGGACACATCCAGTGGCTGCCACCCACATGACCAACCAGGGCCAGGGACAAACTGCAACCGAGGTACGCGCCCTTAGCAGGAACCGAACCCGGGTCTCTCTGGACCGCAGGCTGACGCTCTAACCGCTGAGCCAAACCGGCCTGGGCCTCAACTGCTTCTTGATAGAAAACCTCTCCCCAGCCAGCCTAGCCATGTTCTCATTTTGGCCCCTCACCTGGGTTTTAACTTCTAACTATTGCTTTATGCCCTTGACTTCAAACGATTTCCTGTCTCTTCTCTAACTGCCCTAATCCTATACAATTCAGTACCTAATTTAGGTCACCTACACAGGTATCCCTGAGCACCTCCAGCCCACCAGTCTCCTCCTCCTTGGCCTCTCTTTGATCTATCATCTGCTCCCTCACCACAAAGTTGTCATACCAAACTGCCTAAAATCATCACTCAGCAAGCCAGAGGATAGGATTGTGTTTTATATATCTTTGTTCCTCCACCCAGTTCTTGCTCCAAGCCCAGAACAAAACTAAGTAGTCACCAATACCTGTAATCCTTTGTAAACTAATCTGTGACTCTCCAAATTGCTCAGATTGTCTTGGTGTATGAAGATCTGATAGAGCAGGAGCATCGGTTTGAATGGTTTATTAGAATATATATACATCACTATTTTGTTTGTTTGTTTTGGTTTCTTTTTCCCCTGCAGCAAGCCCTACAGCACAATTCATTTCTTACTGAAGAGAAAAAAATCCATCGAGGAAATGTAGAGCAAGCCTTTAAATATGTTGATCAAACCATTGAAGGTAAGTGGGCCAGAAAAGTGAAACTTCTGAAGCTGAAGACTAAATCAATCAATTAGTTTCAGAAATACTGAAACTCTAAAGCAGAGCCTCTCAACTCTAGTGTGATTTTTAAACAGCAATTTAAAATGCACAAATAATAAGTTTACAGTTTGATGAAATTTTGCATATTTAGAGATCTATGTAAATATTACCCACATCGAGATATAGAACATTTCCTGTACCCCAGAAAGCTTTCTTGTGCCTCCTCTAGGTCAGTTACCTTCCGAAAGTTCTATTCTTTTTTTAAATTTATCTTTATTGTTGAAAGTATTATAAATGTTGCTCCTTTTTGCCGTTCTGACATACTCCTCCTGACTCCCCTACCCTTCACCACACTGTTGTCTGTGTCCATTGATTAGGAATATATGCACAGAAGTTCTTCGGTTTATCTCCTCCTCACCCCACCCCCACCCTCTGAGGTTCTTATTCTTTTTTTTTAATCTTCATTGTTGAATGTATTACAGATGTTCCTCATTTTTCTTCCATTGCCCCCCGTCCTCCCCACTCCCGCCCCCCTTCTGCCTTTTTCCACACTGTTGTCTGTGTCCATTGGTTATGCATATAAGTTCTTTGGTTTATTTCTTCCCACCCCCAAACCCCCTTCTCTTTGAGGTTTGTCAGTCTAGCAACCAATTTGTACTTCTTAATCCCTTCACCATTTTCACCCATTCCCCCAATCCCCCTCCCATCTGGCAACCAACAAAATGTTCTCTGTATCTATGAGAATGTTTCTGTTCTGCCTGTTCATTTTGTAGACTCCATTGCCGATAGATATGTATTCATTGCCATTTTTGTTTGTTCATATATTTTATCTTTTTCTTCAAAAAGACCCTTCAACATTTCATATAATAACGGTTTGGTGGTGATGAAGTCCTTTAACTTTTTCTTGTCTGGGAAACTCTTTATATGGCCATCAATTCTAAATGACAGCTTTGCAGGATAGAGTAATCTTGGTTGTAGGTTCTTGCTTTTCATCACTCTGAACATTTCTTTCCACTCCCTTCTGGCCTGCAAAATTTCTTTTGAGAAATCAGCTGACAGTCTTATGGGAACGCCCTTGTAGGTAACTAACTGCTTTTCTCTTGCTGCTTTTAAGATTCTCTCTTTGTCTTGAACCTTTTGCATTTTGATGATGATGTGTCTTGGTGTGGGCCTCTTGGGGTTCATCTTGTTTGGGAGAGGTTTTTTTTTTTTTTTATCCTCACCCGAGGACATTTTTCCATTTTTTGTTCAGGTAGAGTGGGAGGGAGAGAGAGGAACAGAGAGAGAGAGAAACATCGATGTGAAAGGAACACATCGAGTGGCTGCCACCCGCACAACCGACCAGGGCCAGGGACAAACTGCAACTGAGGTACGTGCCCTTAGCGGGAACCGAACCCGGGTCTCTCAGGACCGCAGGCCGATGCTCTAACCGCTGAGCCAAACCGGCCAGGGCATCTTGTTTGGGAGAGGTTCTTATTCTTGCTGTTGTCAATGTAGATTAGTTTTACCTGTTTTGAACTTCATATAAATGGAAACAAGAGTATAACCTCTTTTGTGACTACTTCTTTTATTCAACATTATGTATGAAAGATTCATCCATGTTGTTGCAGAGATCAATAGTTCTTTTCATTGTTCAGGAGTATTCCTTTGTATAAATATTCCAGAATTTATTTATCTATTTTATTGTTGATTAACATTTTAGTTGATTTCAACTTGGGATTATTATGAATAAAGTTTCTAAAAACACTATTGTGGTAAAAAAAAAAAAGGGGGGGGGGCGAGCGGAGGGTCTCATAATAAACATAACAAAAAGTAATGTCAGCCCTGGCCGGTTTGGCTCAGCGGTTGGAGCGTCGGCCTGCGGTACAGAGAGACCCGGGTTCGGTTCCCGCTAAGGGCATGTACCTCGGTTGCAGTTTGTCCCCGGCCCTGGTTGGTCGTGCGGGTGGCAGCCACTCGATGTGTCCCTTCACATCAATGTTTCTCTCTCTCTCTCTCTTCCTCTCTCTCCCTCCCTCTCTATCTGAACAAAAAATGGAAAAATATCCTCGAGTGAGGATAAAAAAAAAAAAAAAAGTAATGTCACAGGGTGATCTGATCATAACTTCCTAACAAAGTGAGTAGTATTAGACCAGATATATAATTTCCTTCGTAAAAGTTTTACCTTAAGCAAGCCCTATCCTTTGTTTTTGTGCATCTAGATTAACATGCCTTCCAAATGCCTCTTTTACAGATCCTTCCAAAATTTAACCGCCCCCAAGAGAGCACATAATCTTGTTAACTGTCCTGTAATCCATCCCCTCCTTGCTTTCTCCCACCTTTATGTAGTATTCTTTACGTTCCCTCCTTAATTCCAAATATATTTTTTAAAAAACTGCAAAACTGTCATTTCTGGAGTATTTGAGATCTTGCTTCCTGGCAATATCATCAGTTTCGCTCAAATAAACTCATAAACATTCTCTACAGGTTTGGACATCTTTAAGCCAACACTGTTATGCATGTCTTTTGGTGAAAATAACTATTTTCCAATGGAATATACCCAGGAATAGAATTGCAAAACATTAGTATTTTTATACATTTACCTTTAGTAGTTAATGTCAAGCATTAAAAAAATTGTTTCGATTTTAATCCTGCTAACAGTTATGAAACTTCCATTGTTCTGTTGTTATTGTCATTCTTTTTAATTTTCTGTAATTGATGGGTGCACAGTAGTGTCTTATTGTGGCTTCGGTTGATTTCTTTAGTGACTAATGATGCTGAACCCTTTTCATACGTATGTTGGCCATTTTTTTAATGCTCTTTGGTGAGATTTTTGTTCAAAACTATTGCCAGTTTTTTAATTAACCAAATTAAAAGAGATCATTAATTATAATTATATATTATTATTTGTTGTTGTTGTTAATTCCCACCTGAGGATATTTCCCCATTGATTTTTAGATAGAGTGGAAGGGAGGGAGAGAGAGAGAGTGAAAGAGAAAAAAAAACATTGATGTGAGAGAGTCACATCAATTGGTTGCCTCCTGCACAACCATGACCAGGGCCAGGCATTGAACCTGCAACTGCAACCCAGGTACATGCCTTTGAACAGGAATTGAACCTACAACCCCGCAGTCCACAGGCCAATGCTCTAACCACTGAGCTAAACCAGCCAGGGTATAATTATATATTATTGATTTTTATATAATTAATACAATAATGTATTTACTTACTGATTTATAGGAGGTTTTTATGTTTTTGATATGAGTTCTTTGTTAGCTATGGGTATTGCAAATAACTTCTCCTACCCTGCAGATCATGTTATCACTGTCTTCATTATTCTTTTTCATTAACAAAAGCTTTTGATTTTAATAAAGTCCATTTTATCAGTCTTCTTTACAGTTAGTACTTTTGTGCCTTGAAAAAAAATTTGCCCATCCAATGGCTTCTGGAAGGTTGATAAAATGTTTAGCTTTCACACGTAGATCTATGATCCATCGCAAATTAATTTTTCTGTATTGTGTTGACAGAGGTCAAGGTTCAATTTTTTTCAAATGGATATCTAATTAACCTATCACCATGTTTGTTTTTTGTTTTGTTTTTTTTATCCTCACCTGAGGACATTTTTCCATTTTTTGTTCAGATAGAGCGGGAGGGAGAGAGAGAAACATCGATGTGAAGGGACACATCGAGTGGCTGCCACCCACACGACCAACCAGGGCTGGGGACAAACTGCAACCGAGGTACGTGCCCTTAGCGGGAACTGAACCGAGGTCTCTCTGTACCGCAGGCTGACGCTCTAACCACTGTGCCAAACCGGCCAGGGCCTATCACCATGTTTTAAAGACCATTTTTTCCCTTATTGAATTGTAATGCAGTTTTTATTGTTTTCCAGGTATTTACATATGTGTTGTTCTATTTCTGAACTCTCTATTACATTCCACTCATCTCTTTATCTATCTTTGTGCTAATACCACACTATCTTACTTCCTATAACTCTATATTAAGTCTTGAAGTTTAATAGTTTAAGGTCCCTTTGCTGTGTCTTCTTCAATATGACCTCAGCTATCACAGGTTATTGGCATTTTTATATGCATTTATCATCAGTTCATGAATTTCCAAGAATGATAATTAACTGGACTCTTTTTTCTGGAATTGCATTGAAACAATATCAATTTGAGAATCTATGAACATGGTGGACACTGCCTTTTACTTTCATTTCTCTTGGTAATTTTGTAGTTTTCACTAAAAAGCAATCTTGCACATCCTAATATTCATTCCTAGTATTTGATGTTTTATGAGTTTTCTGTAAATTATATTTATATTTAATTTTCTTCTTTTTTTTTTAATCCTCACCCAAGGCCTTTTTTTTTTTTTTTTGCATTTATCTTCAGATAGAGCGGGAGGGAGAGAGGGAGGAAGAGAAAGAGGGAAACATTGATGTGAGAGAGAGACATCGACTAGTTGCCACCCACACAACCCCAGTCAGGGCCGGGGACAGACTGCAACCAAGGTACATGCCTTTAGCAGGAACCAAACCCGGTCTCTCTGGTCCATGGGCCAACACTCTAACTGCTGAGCCAAATCGGCCAGGGCTTTTTATTTAATTTTCTACTTATTTGTGTCTAGTATATAAAAGCACAATTGGTTTTTGTATATTTACTATGTATCCAGGAATTGTGCTAAATTTACACTTACTATTTTATTTTATTTTTTAATTAATTAATTTTTTTTATCTTTATTGTTGAATGTATTACAGATATTCCTCATTTTTCCCTCATTGACCCCCCTCCTCCCCACTCCCACCTCCCTCCTGCTTTTTCCCACACTGCTGTCTGTGTCCATTGGTCATGCATATAAGTTCTTTGGTTTATTTCTTCCCACCCCCAAACCCCCTTCTCTTTGAGGTTTGTCAGTCTAGCAACCAATTTGTATTTCTTAATCCCTTCACCTTTTTCACCCATTCCCCCAATCCCCTTCCCATCTGGCAACCAACAAAATGTTCTCTGTATCTATGAGAATGTTTCTGTTCTGCCTGTTCATTTTGTAGACTCCATTGCCGATAGATATGTATTCATTGCCATTTTTGTTTGTTCATATATTTTATCTTTTTCTTCAAAAAGACCCTTCAACATTTCATATAATAACGGTTTGGTGGTGATGAAGTCCTTTAACTTTTTCTTGTCTGGGAAACTCTTTATATGGCCATCAATTCTAAATGACAGCTTTGCAGGGTAGAGTAATCTTGGTTGTAAATTCTTACTTTTCATTACTCTAAATATTTCTTGCCACTCTCTTCTGGCCTGCAAAGTTTCTTTTGAGAAATCAGCTGACAGTCTTATGGGAACTTCCTTGTAAGTGACTAACTGCTTTTCTCTTGCTGCTTTTAAGATTCTCTCTGTCTTGAACTTTTTGCATTTTGATGATGATGTGTCTTGGTGTGGGCCTCTTGGGGTTCATCTTGTTTGGGACTCTCTGTGCTTCCTGGACTTGTATGTCTGTTTCCTTTACCAAGTTAGAGAAGTTTTCTGCCATTATTGTTTCAAATAGGTTTTCAATTTCTTGTTCTTTCTCTTCTTCTTCTGCGAGAAGAAGAAGATGCGATTGTTGGCATGCTTGAAGTTGTCCCAGAGGCTCCTTACACTCTCCTCATTGTTTTGGATTCTGTTTTCCTTTTGCTGTTCTGATTGGGTGTTTCTTGCTTCCTTGTGTTCCAAATCAATGGTTTGCTTCTTGGCTTTACCTACTCTACTATTGAATCTGTGTAAATAATTCTTTATTTCAGCCGGTGCCTCCTTCATTTCTGACTGTGCCTCCTTCATTTCTGACTGGTCTTTTTTAATGCTCTTGAGGCCCTCACTAAGTTCATTGAGCATCCTTATAAGCAGTATTTTGAACTCAGCATCTGTTAGGTTGCTTATCTCCATTTCACTTAGTTCTTTTCCTGGAGTTTTGTTCTTTCATTTGGGACCTGTTTCTTTGTCTCTTCATTTTGGCTGCCTCTCTGTGTTTGAGAGAGGTATGTGGCTAGCTGAGACCAGATGCTGCTTGTTTGAAAGAATTTAGGAAAACCTGAAGCAGGATCCAAGACAGGCCAATCCTATGGTTAAACAACTGGCAACAGCTTGGGTGGGCCTCAAAGTTGGTGGGGTAGGGCCTCAGGGAATCACAATTGCGGGCTACCAGTGTGAGCCAGGTTGTTGGAGTCCCAGATATGGAGGCTGTCTGCAGCCCCAGGGAAGGGCTCACCAAAGGAACAAAGGCCTCCAACAGTAAATCTGTCCTGGAGAAAGCCGCTTCTCCAGCCCTTGCTCCAATGCCAAACAGCTCAGTTCTTCCCTGTATGTCTCCAGCGCCCTTCGAGCTGCCTCCCCTTCAAGCCTAGAGGGAGCAAGTCCAAGTAAATCTGTGCGCAGGCCCTTTAAGAGGAGCTGCCTGGGGCTCCAGCCACTTCAGCCTCCCTGAGCCTCAGTTCCCGCTGGTGTTTCCAGCCAGAAGTTATCGGGATTCTCTTCCTGGCACTGGAACCCTGAGCGGAGCACCTGGTGTGGGACAGGGACCCCTCAGTCCTCAGGGAGGACCTTCCCAGCGGAGGTGTCCTCCTGATTTTTATCCGCCACATGTGGGTGTGGGACCAGCCCGTCCACCTCCGCCCCTCCTACCAGTCTGGATGTGGCTGCTGCTTTAATTCCGTAGTTGTAGGACTTCCATTCAGCTTGATTTCAGGTGGTTTTGAATGATGGTTGTTCTGTAGTTTAGTTGTAACTTTGATGTGGTTGTGGGAGGACGCGAAACCGCATTTACCTACCCGCCATCTTGACCGAAGTCCTACACTTACTATTTTAAATACTATTATGGATTCTCTTGCATTTTCTATCTATAAATCATATCATAACAGTTTTATTTATCTTTTTAACCCTGATACTTTGTTTGTTTGTTTGTTTGTTTTGACTTACTGCACTGGCTAAAACCTAGTTAATATGATTTTTAAAAAATACCAATATCCAAATCTCACACCAGACCAATGAAATCAGGACATTGGAGTATAGGGTCAGAAAATCAGTATGTTTTTTAAGTCCCCCACGTGGGTGATTTTACGTTGTGGACAGGGTTGAGAGCCATAACTGCCTTTATTATGAGTATCACCACTGGTTGGTCTTAGGTAAGAGAAAATAATGATTCTCACAGGATCTATTACCTAATTCTAAATAATTAAAATGGCAAGTGCCATAAGTTTTTGTCTTTTGGTGTAACCTGGGAAAGATCTTTAGAACACCTGTTTCCACAACAGCATTCTGTTTAAGCAGACAATGTAGACTGCCTCTCAATTATAAAAATAATTCACTACCTCAGAATAATAGTTAGATACAACCAGGAAAGTCAGAGAGATGCTCAGAGGTTTGACAGTATCCATAACTTATGCCAAACATTCATTACTTCATAAAAGAAAGTAAGTGAGATTTTATAAAACCTATAAATTGGGCTAAAGGTTACTTAGTAATAATAATACTATCAGGTAATGTTTATCAAGTGCTTACTATGCCAGACACCATGCTAAGCATTTTACATGTATTACATTATTTAATCATGACAACAACTCTAAGAAATGAGTATTATTAAATCTATTTTAAGCTCCTAAGTGTTTACTGCCTACTGCTTAATATGCAAGCAGAACAACTCTGAGAAGAAATGCGTATCAGTAGCTCCATTTTAACAGAGGAAGAAACTGAGGCTTAGAAAAGTTAGATAATTGACTGAGGTCTCATATTCAGTTTACAGTAGAGCCAGAACTGAAGCCCAAGAATAGATGACCCAAAGTCTCTTATTCTTAACCACAATAATATTTTTTCTTTTGATTTTTATGCTCACCCTAAGAGCATTAGAGTCACAAGATGCTAGCTCTTTGTCATTTAGGACTTGGGGAGTTTAAAATTTTAGCACAAGTGGAAAATTTGAAATGTGGAGGGAATTTGGAATTTGGGCAGAAATGACAAAGAATTAGAGTATGCCGACACAGAGAAACAGTGTAGTTAAGAGCATGGATCCTGGAGTCAGATCGCCTGGGCTTGAATCCCAGCTCTGTTATTTACTAGCTGTGTGGCCTTGGGTAGCTTACTTAACTTCTCCATATCTCAGTCTCCTAATAATACCTGCTTCATAGGATTGGTGTGAGGACTAAATGAATGATTTGTAAAGTGCTATGCCTCAGAGCAATACTTAACCTATTGTAAAAACTATGTAAGTGTTAAATAAATTTGAGTTTAGATGAAAGTCAGTATATACATGCTAAACACAAAGTTATTTGGGGGAGGACTCATGTTCTCTTGACCCAAGAAATAATTTCAAGAAATCCTTTGACTCATGGCAAAACAATTTACTTATTTTAACTATACAGGCATCTTTGGGCTAGTTTTAAAGTAAAAATACCACCCTCCAAATATTTAAACTAGAGCCAGATGCCTCTCTTGGTGCAGCCTGCAAAATAATAAGGATATTTTAATCAAGCCAAAAAATCTCAGATAAACCAATAAGAACAGGTAGTAAAAGAGGTAGGAAACATTTTAAACCTTTGTGTCCTTTAGCAAGCTATTTCTCCAGGGTATGACTCAATAATTCTAATGTTACCTAACTGAGTTATATATTATTATTGCCCACACTTTATAGACAAGGAAACAAGGCTTTAATAACTTGGCCAAACTCACTGATCAAGGGGGTGACAAAGCCTGGCTATGTGACCAGGTGAGTCTGTGTACTCAAATCTAGCACATCATGGATCGCACCACCTACTAGACAGGTGAGGAAACTGAGCCCAAGAGAAAGGGAGTGAATTATGCATGGTCACACAGATGGTTGGGCACAGTGAGGATTAATTAGAAAAAGTAGTTTAACCAAATAATATAAAGTCCAGTTCTTCATAAGCTGGAGCAACTTGCTTTTTATAAAACACCAAACACCACTGAAAGCCTCCGATAGTGGTGGGACTTTCAAGTAAACATTGGCCTGTATTTTTTATTTACAGGTGAGGTCCACATGGAAGGACAGGAACATTTTTACATGGAAACACAAACTATCCTGGCTATCCCAAAACACGAAGATAAAGAAATGGTATTATACCTTGGAACACAGTATCCAACCCAAGTGCAGGTAACGGTATTTGTGGTAAATGAGACTCCAGATGACTCTAGAGCATGAGGCCCTTACAACCAGGCATTCTTCTCCAGGGGCCTTTCACTTGCTCCCACTCCCCCATCTCAAGCTCCCTGCATACTCGACACTAGCTAAAGTCCAGAAAGGAGAAAGTATGCAAATATTTCCCTAAATGGTCAGACTTTTTAAAGACATCTGAAATTTTTGCTCCCTTCCAAAATACTGGGCAAAGTTCATCTTTCCCATATGACAATTGATAGTGTAAAACGTAATCTTAGTATGACATTTTACATTTTCCTTTGCATTGCATCTGCATTGCTTTTCTATATGAATTGGTAGTGCATGTGTACTTAAATATTTTTTTGTGGTTAATTTGAGTTGCTTCTCTATATGAATGTGTTCATGTATTTGTTGTGCACATGTAAATTGATTGCATTTCCAAGACATTTCAGCCCAGCACAGTAGCATGTGAATTTCAGTCCTGTTCTAGTGGTTGAGATATATAAAGCATTGCCACGCCCAGACAAGTAAAGGAAATCTCTGACATTCCCTTCTTCTGAAATGTGGAGTGGTAGGTCCTAGAACAGTGCCGGCCACAGGAGAACACTTACATAATGATCCCAGGAGGAGGAGCAATGACAAGCATCACTAAAGGGAAAAGGAGGGGGCTTTCTGGTAGAACACAGTGAGTTGGTATCTTGAGGTCTTAAAGGGGTGGGTGGTCTCCATGTGAGGAGGAAGCTACCAACCGCCATTCAAGGCAAAGTGAAATGGCAAGGGACTGATGCTGAGTTGCGATATGCTGCAGCTTCCGTAGTTGCAAGTTTTCAACTGGACAGAAGAGTGTGGAGATATGTGCTTTACCTCTGAGCAGCTACAAGTCACTGGGCATCCATATCTTTTTCTGTAAATTGAGGAAGGTGACAAAGATCACCTCTGAGTTCTCTCTTCATAGACAGTGTGTGTCTCTGGGCTCTGAATGGATAAAGTGTATGTCTTAAGATCACCAGTAGTATCTACCATCAACATCCCCTACGGCACAGTCAGTCAGCTCCATAACAGCAGGCATTTCCCAGGGGCACCAGTATTCACAGCTCATAGCTCACAGCCCAGAACTTGGGACAGTATCAAAAGTAGGCTCAGCATAAGATTTGAATGGGCATTTCTCCAAAGAATGTCTATGAACGACTAATAAGTGTATGAAAAGATATTCAGCATCATTAGTAGGAAATTTAAATCAAAACTACAATAATACCACTTCACACCCCCTAGAGCAGCTTTACTCAAAAAGACAGACAATAAAATGTTGAAAAATTAGATTGTAATGATGGTTGCATAGTTCTATAAATGCTGCATGTGTGAAATTACTAAATTTCTTTTACTGGGCAGAAAGGAAGTACGTGGATGAGGAAATAAACTATTAAATTGCTCTTATGTGGCTTTGGGGACTTATCTCTTGCAGGAATTTGTGGCTGCAGCATTAAATGTCCCAAGGAATAGAATTGGCTGTCACATGAAAAGAGCTGGAGGAGCATTTGGGGGGAAATTGACCAAGCCCAGTCTGCTAGGAGCTGTCAGTGCTGTGGCCGCCAACAAGTAAGAGTTGCAGTGACAGCTATTAATGTCAAAAGTTCTGGCAGGACAAATGCCACCCACATCCTTCCCGCCCTCCACCCCCAGTCTTATTCCACTGGTCACAGCCTTTCATTTCCAAAAGGTGAGATTAGCATGTGGGTGAAAGAACTCTAGACCTGGAGCCAGAGGACCTGTGTTCAAGCCCTACTCTGCCCACTCACCAACAAGGTCACCTTAGGTAAATAGTCTCAGTTTCCTCAGTGGAGAATGTAATACCAACCTGTCTCACAAGATAGTGTGGAGTAAATGTAATCGCCATACATTTTGACAGGTTGCACAGACATAACTATGTATTACTTCTTCATGAACGGCATTGACTTTCACTCTTTAAAATGTTTGTTTTAAATTGTTAAAATAAATCAAGCTGAGGTGGCTGAATGGAGGGAGGGTCAAAGCCCCAACCTTACAAAGGGCACATTTTATCATGAAATACAGCAGGGTCTACTATTGCTTGGGAATGTTCACTTAGCCTCTACATCATCAGGATAGAATAACCAGACATAGGAATAACCATGACTTTTGTGAACCTTTTACCTACCAAAGTTCATTAAATATGTTTAGGAAAAACTTAACTTATACCAGGCTATAGCTACAAAAAGAAAAACTGCGAACGTCTTCATTCATTGGCAACAATAGCAAAGATGGTCCAATAAGCACAGGTGTGCAGGCACTGTGAGCACCCTCCCCGAGGCCAGAAGAGTTTGTGAGCACTTTATGAAAGGGGAGTCTGCATGAAAGGGGGATAGAGCTCAACAGGATATTGGTTCTCAATCCTTTCAGCATCAACATTCCCCTTATGGCAATCATTTCAATGCCCCCTTTAATACCCAAAGTGAAAATCATAATACTAGAACCTACTATACACATAACTGCAAAACATTCATACAATCCCTTAATATAATATAAAAAAGAAATAAAAGTAACATAACTAAATAATATATCATTTCAACATCAAAATTCTTAAGCATGACTAAATCAGAATGATAATAGTAATAGGTTTTGGTTTTGTTTTACATCTTAATGTCCCCACAAACTTCCAAAATGTTGTTTAAGGTATGTTACTACCCTTATTGAAAGCCACTAAACCAGATTATTTCCAGTCCCTTTTGCCATCTCCATGTTTCTACAACTCTATGAAGCATCCAGCATACTAACAGCGTCTCTTTCTACAGGACTGGCCGCCCAATTCGGTTTATTCTAGAGCGTGGTGATGACATGCTGATAACTGCTGGTCGTCATCCAATCCTCGGAAAATACAAAGTGAGTGAGAGCAAATATTTTAGGAAACTACCTAAAACATTGTCCAGTGACAAACAATCAATAGTAAAGATAACTACTAAATTCCATACCAATTGAAAGGGGTATTTGGATGATCCCCAAAACTAATCAGAACTTTCTGTTGGGATTATTTGGTCAACCTGGGCACCATCCTCAGTTTTCCTCTGATGACGGTCATATCAAATCATGATCACAAGCTGGATCTGGATTGACAACTGTGATCATATGTGTTTATGTCCGGCATGGTCTGGTTGTAAAGAACTACTGAGACAATGGTTCTCTTATATCACTTTGCAGATTGGATTCATGAACAATGGTGTGATCAAAGCTGCTGATGTTGAATATTACTTGAATGGCGGGTGCACTCTTGATCTGTCTGCTACGGTAAGTAACAAACATGCCATTACCTTAGGTTACCAGTTGAGCTGCATGTGCCACACTTTATTTGCATGAATATTTGTCTTACAAATTAGATAAGTTCTGTAAAGTGTTTGTGTTAGAGATAAAATTTGGATAAGTGGTTTTGAATATTTGATAAATGTAAAGTTTTGTTTTGTTTTAATTCAGGTGGTAGAGATGATTGTGCTGAACTCTGAAAGTACATATGATATTCCTAACTTTCGGTGCCGGAGTAGGGCTTGCAAAACATATCTGCCATCCAACACTGCCTTTCGAGGATTTAGCTTTGTCCAGATTGCAGTGGTAGTTGAAAATTACATAACTGCTGTGGCATCTCAATGTAACTTACTCGCTGAAGAGGTAGGTAATCAGTCGGAATCTCCTAACAAAACTCTAACATCATTGGTTCAAATATATCTTGAGCACCTACATATAGCATTATGTTAGCTTTTAAGATTCAAAGAAAGTACATTGTCTACGTATCAGTAAGCTTTTACTGTGTAGCAAGTCTATTAAAACAGTGGATTAAAACAACAAATAGCATTTCTTCTGATTCTGTGGGTCAACTGCTAGATAGCTCTTCTGGTCTGGGTCAGCTTTACTGGAGTTTTATGGTCTAAGACAGATTCACTTCCAAATCTAATGGTCATTGATTGATTAGTCTAAGCGATGTCTCAGCTGGGAAGGCTCATCTCTGCTCCACGGGGTCTCTCATCCTCCAGTAGGCTAGCCCAGATTAGTTCTCATAGTGCTCCATAGATTTTTCAGGAGTAGTAAGAACATGGTAAGCCCTAATGCACAAGCACTTTTCAAGTTTCTGCCTGCATTACTTATGTGTTTTTCCATTGTCCAAAGTTAGTCACATGGCCAATCCCAGAATCTGTGTGAAATCACCCAAGGGCATGAATGAAGAGATTGGCATTATTACAGCCATTTGTGCAAACATTCTACAATAGTCCAGATTTTGAGGAGCTAATCTGAGAACAGTTAAGAATAAATATTGTGCAGAAGTAAAAGTATTTTGAGTCAAGAGAAATTTGTCTCACCACCAACAAAACTTGTCACAGGACTCATAATATGCCTACTATTTCTAAGTTATTGTAAAGTTAATCGAGATCATACACTTAGCCTGCAGCCTGGAACATATAAAGTGTTCATTTAGTAGTTCCTATTGTTAGTATCACTGTTAGTATCATTATTGTTATTATGTTTATATATTTACATTTACATGTGCATATTTATAGCCATTTAAATAGTTGTTTCTTTTTTTAGAAAGACTTTCTTCTCGTCAGGTATATAGCAAAAACACGTTTCACATATGGAATAGCATGTATCCTTAAAATGCTTTTTTTCTTTTCTTTCAGGTAAAAGAAATAAACATGTATAAGAGAATTATCAAAACAGCCTATAAGCAGACATTTAATCCAGAGCCCTTGCGAAAATGCTGGAAGGAGTGTTTGGAGAAATCTTCATTCTATGCTAGGAAAATGAATGCTGAGGAATTTAACAAAAATAATTACTGGAAGAAGAGGGGGCTTGCTGTGGTCCCCATGAAATTTACCATTGGGTCCCCCGAGACCTACCTAAATCAGGTGAGGTTGGGAGAGATGTCTTTTCAACAAAAGTCCTTTTCCACATGACTAGCTGTCTGAAAAAGACAGTAATGAGCCACTACCAGACATGGAAGAAACTGGGACAGTTTTCTATAGAGGAAGCAAAATGGGTTTAGGCAAGCATTGGAGACCACAGTATCAGGGAAGACTTGGTGCGACACAGTACCGGGACCTCAGAAAGCAGTCAACCGTTAAAGTCCAGCGCACAAGGGTCTGGCTTTGCGCAGGGCCCCACAAATGAGTATTCAGGTATGGGGTCAAATTTCAAGTCCATGAATAATTGGAGGGAACAAGAGAATCCCTTTCTCTCTTTCCTGATTTCTTAGTGACAGCAGTAGAGTCACTTGAAGACAGAGTTTTCGAAAACACATGAGAACAGACAGAGCTTCTCCATTCACACAGAAACCTCAATGACTACTGTGCCTTATTTTTAGTTTCACTTTAAACAATTTTTTGTGAAGTTCTGTTTCTGATTCTGACATTTATTTATTTACTTATTTATTTGTTTCTATCCCCCATCAATCTCTGAAATATCCCATAATCAAACCCTTGCAAAGAGAAAACAGATCTCCTCATGGTATGGATGATGGATGTCCGATCTGTCTCTTACCAAAATTACTTTCTGTTCACTCCCTTCCACACAGTCCACTAACAGGATAGAAAGCAAAATAAGAAGGGAGGGGAAGGCCAGGAGCACTGCACACTTGGAGCTGATGATCAGTCCTTCCCCCTACGAAATATTTCTGAAGCCAGAGTAACATGCAGACCCTTTTTGAAGGGAAAAAGTCTATGGACTCTCAACAGTTGCTTGAATTGTTATTTTAATGTTATTTAACTGTGTATGACCACAAACAAAGAAGAAGCTTCTTATAGCTCTTATGCCTTTATAAAACACAAATGAATTTGGAAATTAAATAAAAATAGTACTATAAATACCAGTAATATTCAAAATAGTAACATGAACTTAATGTGGTGGGTGATGTTGCTTTTCCAAAACTAAATCCTCACTCACAAAAGAATAGTGGTGTTGGCTGCTGCTGTGTTTCGAGTCATTTTGAAGTCTTAATCCTAAATGTCTATGTAGGGTGTAATGAGTCATTGTCTCACCTCTTGTCTCTAATATGCCCATCAATTAAAGGAATCCTTCTTGGTGCTTATGCAATCATCAACATAAAATCTAAGATAGGCTCTGAAAGCATGTGGCAATACCCACTGAACATGGTCATCCATTACTCTTGTTAGATGGTCATTAGATGAAAATACTAAGTTTAAAAGTTTCTATAGAGACGTTGATGGTCCTGAGACTACAGTCTCCAATCCAGGAGACTGGCATAACTAAATTAGTTTATATGTTTTTCTTTTTTCTTTTTACTGATTTGAGAAAGAGAGAGAAACATTGATCAGTTCCCTCCCATACGAGGCCCAGCCAGGGATTGAACCCACAACCTAAGTATTTGCCCTGACCAGGAATTGAACCTGCAACTTGTTTTAGTGTACAGGATAACACTACAACAAACTGAGCCACCTGGCCAGGTCGAAATTAATTGAATTAGTTGATATTTTGAATTGGTAGTGATAGGGGCATAAGGATCAACATGAGGATCAAGGTTCCGGGGGGGGGGGGGGCAGGGCTCTAGGCCATGCGCATGAGCACATGATGGGGATTGCTAAAGAAAAAGTCCACCCAACATAGTCCAGCCTCCTCCTTCCCTCCATTCTCTGTCCGGTTCCTGGAGCCACGTGCTGAAGCCCAGAGAAGCACAACAGCGTTTAGTTTGAAGAAGGCAGCACAACATGGGTGTGGAGGACGATGGGCCCAATTTAGGAGTTGTGGGTTCCATTCCTGACTTGACCACAGACTAGGCACCAGATTTGGCCGAACCTCTTCTTCTTAGGCTTCTGTTCCTTCACATAAAAAGTAAAAAATTTGGACTAAACCTATGGATCCCAAACCTTACCAATCATCAAAATCACCTGGAAGCTTTAAAAAAAAAATAGTAAGTATTTGAGTTTTACCTCCAACCTTCAACTGAATTGAAATTGAAATGGACCTTAACCTTCCCCCACCATGATTTTTAAGGTCAGCTGCATTTGGAAACTATTAAAACATTTCAAGGTTATTCCAGCTCCCCTAGTATCCAGTGGAAGCTTTGCCTGGAAATTTACTTATACAGGTTTTATTTTCTTTAAAATTAATTTTTATGTTCAAGGGGAAAGAATAATAAAATATTATACAGGTGGTGCTTTGGAGAGGTAGCTTCCAAGGCAACCACACAAGGCCTCCAGTAGGCAGTAGATAGTGGGAGCGGAGATGAGCCACCATTCATTGATCTACGTGGTGGTTTTCAAGTCTAGGGGTTGTTGAACAGGGTTGTCTATAGCCACCAATAGCAGCTTTCTTCACCAGTATCAACAATGAGAGATTGACTCAATGAAGCAAACCGTTCATGGCAACCTCAGCTAAACTCACTGGCAACATTTGGCCAAAAGGTTTTCCAAACTGGTATTATAATTATTCCCTAACAGGCCGCCGCTCTAGTCCATATCTATTTGGATGGCTCTGTCTTGGTGACTCATGGTGGCTGTGAATTTGGACAAGGCCTCTACACCAAAATGATCCAGGTGAGATAAGTATCCCTTTTCTCCACTATGGAAGACTGTAACACTGTTCAGTCAGTTTAACAACTTTTTTCTTGTTAAGCAGGAGAAATACCATCACACTAAATGCACAGGTCAATTATAAGTCTCACTTTGATATCAGAAACACGAGAATGCAGGGGCCTGATGGAAGTGGGTATTAGAATTCAGAAAATATGTTATATTATTCTTCCTGCATACTAAAGAACCAAGTCCATAGGTCTAAAAAATGTGATTCCAGTTTTCAAAGATAAAGTATTTTTTGGCTTAATGGCAACTGCTCAGATCTATACTGTGTTAATGCAAAGTTTCATTAGAAATGAATGTATTTAATAGGATGAGAAATTATGTTCTTAGAATTCACAGTATACTTAGGAACATCACATGATGGGCTATTATGTATGCTAATTCAAACAAGTCTTTTTAGTACTGTTGAAAAAGCGAGAGATTATTTGCAGTAGAAAAATTTCCCTTTTTTAAACACAAAATAAGAATTTGTTGATGATGAAATTTGAAGATGAAATTTGAATAAACAATGTATGTGGGGGCAATGCTTTTCTCTCAATGAGAAATAGAAGATATTTTCTTTAAGGAAATAATATTACGTAATAGTGTCACAAAAATCCACAGAAACTTCTTTGTATAAATCTTGCTGCTTCTTTTTTTTTTTTTAATCCTCACCTGAGGATATTTTTCTATTTATCTTCAGATAGAGTAGGAGGGAGAGAAAGGGAGAAAGAGAAACATCGACGTGAGAGGGACACATCAACTGGTTGCCTCTCGCATGACACCAACCAGGGCTGGGGACCAACTGTAACCAAGGTCCATGCCCTGGGCCAGAATCAAACCCGGGACTCACTGGTCCAAGGGCCAATGCTCTACTGCTGAGCCAAACCAGCCAAGACAATAGATCTTTCTTCTTTAAAGAAAACCCATATGCCTACAAAATGTCCCATGAAAAAAGCATAATCTGCTACATGTCTATAAACCATGAGAAGAAGATGAAGATAAAACAATAAGACTGAAGAGTGGAACTAAACTAATGTCTCAGAGTGACCATACCGCCGCATGTCTTCTATGGAACTGGCATAAAAGAAAGTACGTGGTTGGCCATATGTCTCAGAAAAGTGATGTATCTTTCACAGCAACACTTAAAACCTTCAAACTCATAATGTACATATAAGACCCAAGATGCTATCTTAAATGTTTGTCCCTAAAGGACAGCTAGGTTTTATACTCAACTCAAAATAGAATTTAAACGTTTTTAGTTTGTGGGGAGGGAGGTTTAGAGTCAATGGAATCAATAGTGTTTTTCTTCTGTTTCTGGCAGGTGGCTAGTCGAGAGCTGAACATCCCCCCATCGTATATACACCTGTCTGAAACAAGCACAGTCACGGTGCCCAATAGTTACTTCACGGCAGGGTCCTTGGGAACGGACGTCAATGGGAAGGCAGTGCAGGTGACTTTTCTTTCATTTCTCAGTTACCCAATGACAGTGCTGGAAATAACCTTGTCCCGCCCTTCTTTTATGGGAACTGAAACTGAGGCCAAGAAAGGTCAAGTGGCTGGTTTTAGGTATGTAATTTTTCTAATCACCCTAAGATAAGTAAAAGCCCATTGATCACTTTTATTTACATAAACCTTCTCATTCAATAATTAAAATGTCCAGTCCAAAATTCCAAAAGGGACTTCAAAGTCCAGTGTCTCTACTACTTCACAGCTTGGGCCAACAGTAGAAATAGGATGGGGTGGTTTCTCTCCTTTTCCCTCCCTGCATTCCCCACCTCTGCACGCTTCCTAGCCTACATGTCAGACCCTGATAAAGTCCAAGAAAGAGATAGCACAGAAGAAAGAGGCAGAACTTTCTTGGCTACCATTGGTGTGACCTGGCCTTGTTATATCTGACTCCTTCCCTTGTGGATGCCATTGTGAGCTCCTTACAGGGTCCCTTCTGATGACTTTAATGTGGGCAATGCTTCCCTGTGGCTTTAATCACGTGTGACTTGCCCCAACCCCACCCTAAGCCCCAGGCCACCTCCAGCCTCTTTCTGCTGAGTCACCTCATCCCTTGCAAGCAGCCCTTGTAGATAGGATCCTTTATAAAACTAGAGATTAGAGAGCTGCAAGGGGTCAGAGTGGCTGGAGCAGAGAGAACACAGGGGAGTGAGGAGGAAGAAGAGGTTAGACAGGTAGCTGGAAGTGAGGTTGGGCTATGTATGCTCATTGTTGAAGCTAGGTAAAGGGTATATGGGGGAATATTATACTATTTTCTCTATTTTTGTGCATTTTGAAATTTTCTCTAATGCAAAGGAAGCCAGAAAAATTGGTAACTGGAACTTGGAACTCCAAAAGTGGGAGGCAACTTTAAGAAATATAAGGTGAAAAAATTCTCCACATATAAAAAGGAGTTCAGATGTCACGAAAGAATGACAAATGTTCTCTGCTATACCTCACACTCTTAAAGGGAAAACTTATCTTAGGAGAACATTAGACCGTTGAGCATAAAGTTATGCACAAGAGTATATGTCAGGTCATAATAAGAGGAAGAACATCTGATATTTGGGCAGGCAGGAACTGTGCAACTTGGGTTTGTCTTGAATGTGTTACTCTTTTGGAAGGGCATCCATTTGTAATAAGGTCAGTGACTGAACACTGAAGGAACTAGTAAAAATAGATTTATGAATGCAGGGTTCTCCCTAATGCATGAGAAGCCAGAGACCATTTCCCAAGGAGGGGAAGACAGAACAGAAGGAACAGAAACCAAGAAAGGGCATGAGAAGTATTCTGAGGCTGAGGTTAACGGCACACATGTAAACAGATCTGTATTTGAATTAAGAGAGGAAGCCACACTGGGGCCCACTAACACACAGAGGTCTGCAGATATCATCTCAAGGGGTCAAGATTTTACTTGATAGTTTTGATTTTCATTTTATTTCAATAAAAACAAGCACATTTGCATCCTCAGACTGACTATAAGTGAAGTACTGCCATGAAATCTCTGTGCCTGCCTTTGCAACCAAGAAGTATACTTCGTGTTGAGGCAATAAGAGCAGAATTTCATATGTAAATGATGTTTTCTTGAAGAGCAGATGATGACAAGGTATAAGGTGCATATGAAAACCTAATGGCAACAAGAGTGAAGAGAAACGGATCCTTTAACTGGCACGCAGTAGGCGTTCTGAACTCCGAACCATGTGTGCCATAACAGCTGTGACTTTTTCCACGTTCCAAGCAGCAATTTAGCTTCAGGAAAACATCATTATCAATCAACTAAATTAATGCTGTTATTTTAAGTTTTATTGGTATATAGATTGGTCTGCCACACTATGTCATTTTGGTATTTGCTTCATAGTCATCAAAGAGCTATAACTCTAAGAAGGCTCTACCTAACTTTATGTTAGAATGTATTTAAACAACATTATAATAAAAATAATTTTAACGCTGTAGGCAGGATCCACAGGAATATTTGTTTCATTCAAAGGGGTTCCATACATTGCTCAAGTTTAAGAAGCTCTGCCTAGAGGACTAGGAAGCAGGTTCACAAACTGACGGTCTACATTTGAATTGATTTCAATATTGAACATTTTGCTATTCCCTGTGCCTTTTATTTCTGATGTCATTTCAAATATTTATTTTTAGAACGCTTGCCAAATTCTTATGGCCCGTCTTCAGCCAATCATCAGGAAGAACCCAAAGGGAAGATGGGAGGACTGGGTGAGTGTTCTCCTTATTACCCTGCCAGAAGGCGATACATCCAGGTAGCTACAAGTCCTGAGTGCGCAGGCTGGTTGGTAGTGCCCATTCAAGAAACAAAGCATTTATTAGCATTTACTTCTGCTTTTCCAAAAGAGTGAAAGAGAGGTCTGGGTTCATTACCTGGCCTTATTTAAGAGCCTAATTTCTCACAGCATGGTAACAGCATAGGCTCCAAGTGAAACACTTGGCGCACAGCCCCTGCTTGGTCACTGCACCTGCAAGACAGGTCCCTCTGGCCTCAGGGCCTTGGTTTTCTCACCAGAGCAATGGAGGTAATAGTCCTAACAGCAAAAGATTGCTCTGTTTTAAATGATAATGATTACAATGATCATTAATATTATTATTCCCAGCTCTACCAAGTTTACTCCAGCAGAGAAGCTGACATAATATGCTGAGGCAGCCAATCAAATACTTTGAAAAAAAAAAAAAGCAGGGTAAAAATACATATGTACACACACACATACACATATATACATGTATATCTGTGTACACACACACACACACACACACATACCTGTGTACGTGCCCAGGTACATAAGTACATGAATATGACCTAGCCTCGTCCTAATTTAAAAAGCCAAAAAGGGTGAAAACATAATCAACTTTACACTATGCAACTCCAATAACTAGAGGGTCCCAAAGCACAGCTAGCAGCTGCCTTTAAGCACCTCCCTTGAAAAGCATCACCTGGGGCTTGTACAAAGCGTCCATCTCACTGGAGGTGAAATTGCAGAGGCTGGTGCGAACAAAAGGAGGCAAGCCGCGCATGGAATTTTTCACCACTTTCCCTACACTCACGTTTCTCTGTACTGATCATTTCTTTCAGGTTGCAAAAGCCTACAGAGAATCCATCAGCCTGTCAACTACGGGATATTTCAGGTAAAGGACGTTTTTACATTGGTTTAGATTATACTTGCTGGGGATTGGCATATGGTCATCAATCTGAACAGATATCTGCGGAGCACGGGAGCTCTGCTTTGCCCAGTGTTAACCTTTCAGTCATGGGCAGGGGGTGCGGAAGGAGATCTGGGGGAGGGCCAGGGACTCCTTGGGGCCGTAGGAGGGACACACTCTCATCCATCCCAATAACTGCGTGCTAGAGGGTAGGGCTCAGACAGTAACAGACACCCCCCGCCCCGTGTCTGCACTGCTATTCCTGCAAATCTGATCGCCAAGACCCCCCTTGTAGGAGAAGGTAAGAGGGGCCTCCAGCCTTGGGGTGAGCGCTCTGGACATCTCCAGGACCCAGACCACCACAGGTGATCGGACCACTAGGGGGGAAGGTGTCTTTTCTTTCACTCCTGATTTCTCTTCTCAGAGGCTACCACACGTACATGGACTGGGAGAAGGAGGAAGGTGAACCTCAAGCATACTGTGTTTTTGGAGCATCCTGTTCTGAGGTTGAAATCGACTGTCTGACTGGGGCTTACAAGGTAAAGAGGGACACTGGTGTTCCCCATCTTCATACAATGAACAGGAACATGGATGAATTTTCTATGCTGTAAATAATGATCAACCTGACCCTCTCAGCGGGAGAACCAGGGTCAGGTATATAATTGTAGTAAAGATCTATTTTTAAAATAATATTTTCCATTATGTTTTATCTTGGCACAGCTCCTTAGGACTGACATCTTCCTGGATATTGCTTTCAGCATAAATCCAGCCCTGGACGTTGGGCAGGTACGTGGTACCAGACCACCCCACGGGGACTTTTGATCAATTCCATTCAGAATATTATTTCCCAGAGTTCTCCAGATGTTTATGGCTGGTGCAAGTAGTCTGCAATATATATCATATATTACACACACAAAATAGATTAAAAATTGAAATAAAATTCAAGAAAAAGTTATCAATTGTTGTCTTTATGTGGCAGAAATACATGTGATTTATCCTGTTTTACAATTCTCCGTGCCTTCTCATTTTTCTTCAATGACAATTAATTAATGTTTATAATTAGGAATATTATATAAATGCATAACAATAAAGCTCCATTAGTATTCATATTAATGTTGAATTTAAATAGACTGAACAATTTAAAGAAATATAAGGGGAAAAAATGCTTAAAAACAATTGTTTTCCTCTTGCTGAATTTCTGATTTTTATCTCACAAGTAAATAAATTAAAGCACCCAAAATCTTTTTAAACTTTAAGTTAAACCTTTCCAGCTGTTGGTGTAGCTTTGCCTTTTTTTCATAGCCTTATTACTCAAAGTGAGGCCAATGGGCCAACCACATCAGCTCACCCGGTCCTGCCAACCGGTTCCCCAGTGAGGTGAGGCAGCTGGTCCACAGTCTAGACCTGAGTAGCTGGACAGATTGAGCAGCTTGGCATGAAACCCTACAGACATTTGGTTTCATCTGCCAACAGCTTCCTGCCTTCCTAAATCCTAAGGAACTGGTTTACCTAGATTGACCAATGGGCTTTCTAAGGAACGATTTAATTGGTCCCTCGGTGTTTCTCAAAGTGTGGTCCTCAGAATCTGCAACAAAAGCACCTACAGTGTTTATTGGAAATGTGGGTTCCTGTGCCCACTCAGGCCCAGATTTCTAGGCTCGGCTGGGACATGTAATCTGCACATTTAACCTGCACCTGAAAATCATCTTAAGTCTGTAAAGTTTGACCACCACAGCTCTCCTTAGGCCCCATCTCCCCTTCCCCTTCCTACCTGCTCCTACCATCTGGGTCTTGCCTCTTAACTGCTTAAGCAAAAACAAAAAGGGAAATGTTATAATCAGGAAAACCCTATACTTGTCCCATTAGGAAAGGAAAGAAAAAATCAGAAGTGTGTCAGACTGGAACTCTTGGGCTTTAATCTTTCCCTTTAGGGACATTTAGAAATATCCAAATTTAGCATTTAAATTTGTTTACTTTATTCTATAATTTTACAATGCAATAAAATGCGACATGTAACTCACCTTCAATTTTTTAACCTTGAGACAGATACTCCCTTTAAATAGAACTTTAAACCTTTTGTACTAAAAGCATAATGGTTTGAACATAGAACTCAACATGGCTTTTAATAAAAAATATCTTCCAACCCACCTTGTTTAAGATTGATCTACTCTCCAGAATAATTTATAAAAGGAAGTTAAAAAAAAAATCCAGATACTATAATAAACATAGTGTCCCAGTTCCACTTACTCTAGTTCACATTCTTCTAACATTAGCTTCTTTTTCATATAACTCAACAGACATTTATTGAGAATTTATGTACCAGGCACCATGCTAAGAACAGAATACAAGAAGGCCAGACCCCAGCATGCTTATAAACCAGTGAGAGACCAAGTGAAGTGAGAGAGACACAGAGACAGAGAGGTGAACAAGGAAAATACCTTCTGAGTGCCACCCTGATGGGGATTCAAATGCAGTGAGTCTGGAGGAAATAGTTCCTAAATCCACCCAGGGGGATGATGGAGATTTAGTTATTCTTCAGCTGGAACTTGGAGGATGAATGGGAGTTTGCCAAGTGGACAAGCTGAGGTGAGGAGCAGTGAAGAGTCAGGAGAATCTGCCTTTACAAAGAAGCAGTTCTGAATGAATCTGGTGGGCTTGGAGCATTACCCAGAACTTGACAAGTGTTGAATCCTTGGAAATGTGGCGTACCTGGGCAAGAAGAGCTAAGGATGGGGTCAGGCAGGATGGCAAGCACCAAATCCTGAAATAACCTTTGTTCACCACAGTGTTTTCAAGAATGGCTTACTATAGTTCAGAGCACCACTTTCAATCACATTGAAATTTTTTTTCAACCATCATAAGCTTATAAACTGTGAAATTTTTGCCTATAGGTTGAAGGAGCATTTGCCCAAGGCGTAGGATTATATACCAGGGAAGAATTGAAATACTCCCCAGAAGGCGTACTTTATTCTCGGAGTCCAGAAGACTACAAAATCCCCACTGTCACTGAAATACCAGAAGAGTTCTATATCACTTTGGTGCGTTCCCGAAATCCCATAGCCATCTACTCATCCAAGGTAAGAACTCAACACTTCTCTATTCGTCTGTTAGAGCGACCATGACAAAATACCAGATGGGGTGGCTTAAACAACAGAGATATATTTGCTCACAGTTCTGGAGGCTGGAAGTGTGAGATCAAGGTCTGATTTCTTCAGAGGCTGCTCTCTGGATTGCAGATGGCCATTCTCGCTGTATCCTCACATAATCATCCTGTGCATGTACCTGTCAGGTGTCTCTCTCTCTCCCCCTCTCTGTCCTAATTTCCTTTTCTTATAAGCACACCCTAAAGACCTCATTTGAACTATATTACCTCTCTAAAGACCTTGCCTTCAAATACAGTCACATACTGAGGTACTAGGGTTAGGACTTCAACAAATGAATTGGAGAGGAGCACAGTTCAACCCACAACAACCTACCCCTTTAAGAAATAATGAAACAGCCCTGGCTGGTTTGGCTCAGCGGTTAGAGCGTCGGCCTGCGGTCCTGAGAGACCCGGGTTCGGTTCCCGCTAAGGGCGCGTGCCTCCGTTGCAGTTTGTCCCCGGCCCTGGTTGGTCGTGCGGGTGGCAGCCACTCGATGTGTCCCTTTCACGTCGATGTTTCTCTCTCTCTCTCTGTTCCTCTCCCTCCCGCTCTACCTGAACAAAAAAAATGGAAAAATGTCCTCAGGTGAGGATTGAAAAAAAAAAAGAAATAATGAAACAGGTTATCCCATGCACAGAAAGAAAGAGAATAAGAAGTCTCCTGAATTTGCTTACTCCTTGGAATTGCACATCCCAAAGGGAAATGGGGTTGTGGAGGCAAACTCATGGCAGAGTAGTGCTCTCAAGCAATCTTTACTCTTGAGAGACATCATGAAACATATGTAAATAAAACACGAAGTCAAACATCTTGGTTCATGAGGCTACGTGCCACCGTGAGATAAAACTGAAGTTGTAGGCAAATTTCACCAGCCCAGAGCCTTCTTTTCTGTACCTTTCTCACATTTCCTCCAAACTCAATTCTTTCTTGCTGACACTGCCTCTCCCCACACCTTCCCAAGTCAGAATGAACTTTCAAACAAGTCTCTCCCTGAGGACGATTTGCTCTGAGGTGTTAATAGCCACTGATGTAAGAAATATTGACCCACGCTCCCTGGCCATGGGGTCTAATGGCCCATATAGACTTATGATAAAGATTCTCAAGCACAAGTGTACAAAATCACTTCTCCAACATAAGTGCTATTCTGAGCCCACATCTGGGCAGACACATGGCAACTTTAACCTTGGATTTTCAGGAAATTACCTATGTTTCTTAGGAGTAGGTCAAAGTTGAGAGGAAGGTGAGACTTTTTGTATGAATAGCCTCTGTCTCCACTTCTGCACCCAGCTTTGCCAGAGATATTTCTAAAGGCTGTCTTGACACAACCCTGCCTCTTGGGATCTAGCCCCCTCCCAGTTCTGCTCCAAATAGGGCACAAGACCCCTCTGCTTTATCCCCCCAACATCAGAGGAAACCCCTTCTTTTGCCAGCTGCACCTTTTCCTCCACATTTGCTTCAGATTAAAAACCACAGCCTGGCACAGTCTTTATCTGCTTTGGGCCCTTTGTTTCATCTCTCTTCTAAAGTCCTGGACACAGACCAAGGACCAGACTACTCTGAAGGAAAAAAGAAGAAAAATCAGTCCAAGAGCATTGGTGAATTATTCAAAATCGAATGCCCTCACACTGTTCATTCAAAAGCTTCCATCACATGCCAGGGAAGTCCGCACATATGAAAACTTCAGCTGTCCACTCTTCTTTCAAGCTCAGCTACAATGATTGTGATTCTTTTGTTGTGGGTTTGAGTTAAACACAAATGGTCCAGAGCAGCGATTTTCCATGTGGCATACCAGATGAAAATCGCTAATCTACAGGTCAAGTTGGAGTACCCTCGAGGGCACCAAGGGCTTTGGTCTTCTTGATCTGGGCAGGGGAACAGGAGTTTTTAGCTGCCTGCTATCCTGGTGTCCTAGGCATTTTCACTGGCTTCTGTGAGGAGAAGCCCACACACAGATCAGCATGGGGAGAGTAGGTTCTGGCAGTTCAGATGCACTCCACTCTGAGGGTCATAAACCCAGAAGAAGTGAGTGTGTGCATGAGAGTGTGTGAGTGCATGTTTGTGTGTGAACACAAATTAGTAGCCCTAAATGAACCATGCATTTCTAATGAACTTTTGTCCTTCTTCTCAGGGGTTGGGTGAGGTTGGAATGGTCTTGGGATCCTCCGTGTTTTCTGCCATACGTGATGCAGTGACTGCAGCCCGAATTGAGAGGGGATTGACCAAGACCTTCACCCTAAACAGCCCAGCAACTGCGGAGGTGATCAGGATGAATTGTATGGACCAGTTCTCTGACATGGTAAGGGTGGTGTGGAGAGGCTTCTACTGTAATTCTTTTATACTGATGAGATTAAATAGATGCCTGATCTGGTCAATTATTCAGAAAATATCTGTTAAGCAAACTAATACAAATAATTTAAATGAAAATATTATGTCACTGGGCACACATTAAAAGAATATAGTTTTAGCCCTGGCTGGTTTGACTCAAAGGTTAAAGCGTCAGCCCTTGGGCCAAAGGGTCTTGGGTTTGATTCCTAGTCAAGGGAACATGTACCTGAATTGCAGGTTCAAACCCTGGCCCCAGTCAGGATAGTGTGGAAAGCAACCAATTGATGTGTCTCTCTCACATCGATGTTTCTCTCTCTCTTCCTTCCTCCTTCTGTTCCACTCTATCTAAAAATCAAGGGGAAGCCCTGGCCAGTTTGGCTCAGCGGTTAGAGCGTCAGCCTGCGGTCCAGAGAGACCCGGGTTCGGTTCCCGCTAAGGGCACGTACTTCGGTTGCAGTTTGTCCCCGGCTCTGGTTGGTCGTGCGGGTGGCAACCACTCGATGTGTCCCTTCAAGACGATGTTTCTCTCTCTCTCCCCCTTCCTCTCTCTCCCTCCCACTCTATCTGTACAAAAAATGGAAAAATATCCTCGGGTGAGGATAAAAATAAATAAAAATAAAAAAATAAATATCAAGGGGAAAATATCCTCAGGTGAGGATTAACAAAAAAAAAACACAAAAAAAAGGACTACCAAAGGATTCCTCACAGAAATTGTCATTAACTTCCAAAACATTTCTCCCTGTCATCAGAGAATCAGAGACCACTACTATATTCCACTGCTTGTTGCAGGCCTAAATGAATCAGGTATAAAATTAGATTGCACTTTATGCCTTTGAAATTATAGGACTTCCAAATAAGGTGGATTTTATCCCAGACATAAACTTACAAGAATGAGGAAATTTATGACTCAAGGTTTGAAAGAAATGTGAAAATTATAAAATTTTGGTAAGAATAAAATGGACATTGACTTGTTCTTTAAAAAAGAAAACAATTTTGCCCTGGCTGGTTTGGCTCAGCGGTTAGAGCATCAGCCCATGGGCCAGAGAGGCCCAGGTTCAGTTCCCACTAAGGGCACATACCTCGGTTGCAGTTTGTCCCTGGCCCCGGTTGGGGTCATGTGGGTGGCAACCACTCAATGTGTCTTTCTCACATCCATGTTTCTCTCTCTCTCTTCCTCCCTCTCTCTCCCTCCTGCTCTATCTGAAGATAATTGCAAAAAAAAACAAAAACAAATGTACTCAGGTGAGGATAAAAACAAAACAAAACAATTTTTCTTCTAAATTACAACGTTTTCATATAACAACATTTTTTTAAACAAAAAAGAAACTTAGTTTTCTGAAACAAAAAAGAAGTTATGGAGCCCAGGGCAGTCCAATGATGCCATCAGGACCCAGGCTGCTTCCGTGTTCCAGCTCCCATTTCCTGGGTGTGTGGCTTTCAGTCTCGTGGTTGCAGGATGTGGCTGCACCTCGGATGTCATGACTGTTTCAGACAAGACAGAGGGACAGAGACAAAAAGCTAGATGGACACACCAGCAGAATTCAGACTTCTTTTTATTTTAGTGGCTCTGAATCTCAGCTTTCATTTTATTGCAGTAATTAAACAGATTTTCTTCTTTGACCTATTTGATGTTTTTTGTTTTATTTAATTGCTGTTGACATTCAATAATATTAGTTTCAGGTGCATAGTATAGTAGTTAGACATTTATATATCTTGCAAAGTGATCCCCATAAGTCTAGTTCCCACCTGACACCATACATCATTATTACAATATTATTGACTCTATTCCCTATGCTGTACTTTACATCCTCATGACTACTTTGTAACTGCCAATTTGGACTTCTTAATCCCTTTACCTTTTTCACCCAGCGCTCAAGCCTCTTCCTATCTGACAGTCATCAGTTTGTTCTCTGTATCTATTAGTCTGTTTCTGTTTTGTTTGTTCAATATAACATTGTATTAATAGCTATTTTTCTTCTTTTGATCTTTTTTCAGATTCCCAGAGATGATCCTTCAACATTTACACCTTGGTCCATCCATGTGTCCTAATCTTATGTTTTCCATAGAAAATGAAAGAGTCTATGATTGACCTTAAAACTTTCAAACCAGAGCAATATGTAAGGTGTCTCCCAAATGTCAACGATAATTTTAGCATCTTTTTTTTTCTCCCATCCTCACTGGAGGATATGTCTTATTGATTTTAGAGAGAGAGGGGAAGAGGGAGAGAGAGAAACATCAATTGGTTGCCTTCTGTACACGTCCTTACCTGGGATCAAACTGGCAACCTAGGTATGTGTCCTGACTAGAAATTGAACCTTCAACCTTTTGGTGCATGGGACACGCTCCAACCAACTGAGCCAACTGGCCAGGACAATTTTAGCATTTTTAATTACCCTCTGTAGTTTTGATCACTGCATGATCATGTTTTAGGATGCAAATTTTCACCAAAAATATAATAAAGAATCAAAATTCTTCTTTTCATTTGCATTCTCCTGAAGATCTACAACATCATGGGGGGGGTCTTACCTTAGTTCATTTGGGACTATAACAAAATACCATAGACTATAGGTGATTTATAAAAAACAAGTATTTATTTCTCACGGTTCTAAAGACCAGGAAATCCGAGATCAAGGTGCCAACAGATTTGGTGTCTGGTAAGCACCTGCTTCCTGGTTCACAGACTGTCATCTTCTCACTGTGTTCTGGGTGGAGGGAGGGGCAAAGGAGCTCTCTGCGGTCTCTTTTATAAAGGCACTAATCCTATATATGAGGACTTTGTCCTTATTATCTAGTCACCTCCCAAATGCCCCACTTTGTAATACCATCACCTTGAGGGTTCGAGTTAACATATGAATTTGGGGAAGACACAAACATTCAGACTGTAGCATTCCACGTCTAGCTTCCCCCAGAACTCATGCCCTCGTATATAGGCAAATTGACCTCCAGTGTGAACCTGTGATATCAAACATGTTATGTGCTTCCCAAATGCATGGTGGGACAGGCATAATATACACATTCCCATCCCAAAGGAGCAGTAGGAAAGAGGAAAGGGATGGCAGATCCCAAACAAGTTCAGATTCTTAAGACTTGACCAGATGTCTTGCTCTTCAGGCCTGCTCTTCATACTCACCCAGTCCCAGGGCAGCAAGGGGTCAGGCAACTCATTTGGCCTCCTGACCTCCTGCTCACACCAGTGTCAAACCTGATCCATGCCCCACTCACACCCGAAGGACCAAGCTCTCCTCCAGATTCACAGTTGTCAGGGTGCAAATTTCCAGGCACTGGAAAGGACCTCTTTCCAACACAGCCCAAGGCCTCACTGTACCCAGATTCCCATAACTCCAACTGCCACCTGGCTCAGCAGAGACTGGACAATTAGAGCTGGGAGGGGAGGGAAGAGGCCTCATAGTCAACAAGGTTGGGAATGGAGGGTCTGAAACATGGGCATTTAATGACCAATCCAAGGGTCCTAAAAAGCGCCCCACTCTCGGTCTGCTCCCCCATGTTCCATCTTCGGCTTTTGAATAGCTCACAACAGACAGCTGCACATCAGGGACATGGACATGTGGCCAGGACTTTTCCACTTACATCCACAGGCAGGATTTGTCACAGTTTTCTCCAGAAATAGGTTTCTTTGCATTGTGGGTGAGGGCAGTGTCATTTTCAATATTAATTCTGGCATTGGGTAAAAAGGGTTCTTTGATGTAACTAACTAACTCATAGGCCTTTATTATAACAAATATACAAACCCCTAAGTCAATAGATGGGAGTTTCTCTCATGCACCAGAATAATCCATTTAAAAGTGAAGAAATGCATTCTTCCCTTTTCATTAAAGAAAAGAAAAGAAAAAAAGCAGTGGTTGTTTTTTTCTATTGTCTGGAATAAGATCTGAGAGAAACTCTGGGCGGAGACAGTCTCCTACCTTCACACTGTGGCCAGCCCTCTGTTTACTCTGCAGTGAGGGAGTTTTAGACAGAGTTCCCAGAGCCCTCAGGTTTCTGCAGAGAGAAACCTCCAGGGCTTCAGGCCTCACCCAGGCCCACTCAACTGAGCAGCAACCTTTCTGTTTAATTTGTTCCCACCTCAAAAGTTCCCCTGATGGAAACAAGTTTGAAAACATTCTTGAAAACCACTCAAGGTCCAGTTTCAGTTTCCCAGAAATCAGTGGATTTGGTTCCCCTTGATCTGAATCACTTTTATACCTTATGACCAATACCATAATCTGATTTTAGAACTCTAAAGCTGTTCGTCTACATTACACGCTTACATTTTATGTTGACACTGCAGGATTTCTTCCTATAAATATTGCGAAACACCGTGATCTGTGTTTTTCTTTGGCACCGTTCCTGCTCCTGCCAATGGGAAGCATGTGCTCTTTGTGTTCACTGGTTTCCCCTCTTTTAAGGGGCAAAGTGAGATAGTAAAGAGATTGTGGACCCTTCAAAACATTCCCTGCAAGCAGCCACAAGAAAGGCCTTTGTCTCCACTCTCTTCTTCCCCAGCCTGCCTTCCCCTTATTCCCAGTTCTCACAGAATCAACTCTTACAGTCTTTCAAACCTAGCTGTCCCTTCCTCAGGACTTCCCTGTTCCCTTTCCCCGAAACAAAGCTCATCTCCCGGTTTTATGCTTCTCACAATGGTAAATACTTAATCTCATGTTCATTTTCTCTCTAATTAACCATTAACTTCTTAGAGGAAGAAGACTTGTTTGTCAGTCTTGTTTTTCACTGTGCCTCTACTACTTACCATACTGGTGGTAGGTGGATGCTCAATATCTACTGGGTGAGCAAATGAATGAATGAATGAATGATGCCTTCTTCATTTAAAGTCGTTTAAGTCATCAGTCAAGCATTTATTAACTCCTGCAAAGAACAAGTTGTCATTTGTGCTGATCATTGTGGAAAATACAACTAACTAGTCTAACCTCCAGGAGCACATTACCTAACTGGGAAAATGAGACACAAACATTGAAAAGATAACCAACTATTAGTGGCAGATAAGAGACTAGTTTCTTGGTTCCTGGTTTATTAAATGAAAAGTAAAAAAAGTGATTGTTTGGATCTTCAGGTGTTTTTGGAATTGAGAAAAAGGACAGAAGGGAGGTTTGATGCTGGTTTTTGATGGTAGATAAGGAGAGAAGATGGGAGGGAGGGGAGGAAGAAGGACAATCACAGCAGGACAGGAATAGAGTTGTTATCTTTGCAGACATGGAATAGCCTCTTCAGTCATTCAACACATACTTATTGGGCATTTACTCTGTGGTAGGCACCATTCTAGGCCCAGGGATACAGTGGCCTTTCTGCCCTCATGGAGCTTGCATTCTAGTGGAGAAGGCAAAGAAGAAGAAGAAGAATCCACATCGGGTAATAATGAGAGCTGTGGAGAAAAGGAAATGGGGTGGTAGAAGACAGCGTGCCGGAGGTGCAACTTCAGACTGGGTGGTCAACAAAGAGCTCAGACCCAAATAATACGAAGGCACCAGCCATGCCAAAATCTGAGACAAAAGAAGTCGAGGCAGAATACATAACATGCACCAAGAGCTTGAGACAGAAAAGAATTTAGCACATTCAAGAAACGGGAAAGGGCCAATGTGCACAGATTATAAACAAGGGAGAAAGTGGTTGAAGATGTGCTCAGAGAAGGGGGCGGAGCCAGTCATAAGGGGCTCCATGGGAAGCTTGAGGGTGATGGGAGGCCAGTGGAAGGTTCAAGTGTAAGAATGGTTTAGGCAGAGCAATGATGAGAAGAGTCGTTTGGCTGGAGCAGAAGATTGCTTTGGAAGAGAAAAGAGTCTGAGACCAGAAACAGGCACAGATTTGGAGGACTTTGCACACTGGGCCAAGGAGTTTGGTCCTCATGCTGGAGGCCTCAGAGAGCTACTGGAGTTATTTTTAGCAGTAGTAGCATGATCAAAAAATCTGACCCGATGTCCTACCTTATTCACATTGTCATCTCCAACTTCTCCTCTCATAACTCTATTGTGGATTTATTCAGCAACTTTATAACAGGTATGAAATATCCACATACATACTCAAACATGTGCACATGTGTGTAAACCCTTATTTCCACAGGTGCACAAATGGGAATGCCTGGGGCCTAGGCATTAGAATTATAAAGTTGGAAGCTTCCAACTACATTTGATTAGGAATGTTTCTGGACTAGCTCTGTGGTGGGAAGGATTCTGAAGCCACACCCGGACCAAGTGGGAAAGAAGTTCTTCTTGAGTTAGTCAGGTCAAGAGGATGCCAGATGTTTGCTGCCTCTGGCCTGAGGCACTGTCACACAGTGAATTCACATTAAGACAAAGGGTTGACTCTAATGAGAGTATGCCAGGGATCCACGCACTCACGACGGGAGTGTTGGTGGACAGAGAGGACTTGCCTCCTCTTGCTGAATCAGACCACTTGAACAGCTACCTGCTTCACACATATGTGAGGCCAAGTCCTAGGCATTGCTTCAGTTGAAAGAATAAGAACTGCTTGATTTAACTACAGATATCTGACTGGTGCTATTTAGAAAGATCAGAAATGATGCCCTGGCCAGTTTGGCTCAGCGGTTAGAGCGTCCGCCTGCGGTCCGGAGAGACCCGGGTTCGGTTCCCGCTAGGGGCATGTACCTCGGTTGCAGTTTGTCCCCGGCCCTGGTTGGTTGTGCGGGTGGCAGCCACTCGATGTGTCCCTTTCACATCGATGTTTCCCTCTCTCTCTCTTCCTCTCTCTCCCTCCCACTCTATCTGTACAAAAAATGGAAAAATGTCCTCGGGCGAGGATTAAAAAAATAAAAAAAAATAGAAAGATCAGAAATGATATTTTTTCTTTTCATGAAGGAATCTCTCTACACACCCACAGGTATTGAAATCCAGGAGATTTGGTTTTAGTTCCCATTTTGCAACATACTTTTTGAATGGTCCTGAGCTACTGATCTTACCTATCTGAGCCTCTATTTATTTATCTGTAAAGTGGTTGCCTTGACTAGATCATTATTTTCCAATGGACCAATCATGTGTGTGGGGAGGAAGTAGGAAGGGTATAGAGGGGCTGGGTGGATGCAACATCCCACACCTCCACTTTAGGGCACAGACTGGAATTGTCCATATGATTTCTTTCCTACAAGGAAACATTTCTGTAACTAGAGTAAGATAAGAGTTGAGAAAAGTGAGAGGTCCACTTCTAATTCTCTTTGAGAAGACTGAAATCCATCCACTATATATTCCTGGGGCTGAGGCAGTGTAAAAAGTGGATTTAAGCTTAAATCGTTGTTTATGGTTTTCACACTGAGGCCCTCCAACTTCAGAAAAAACAACAAGAGGTGTGGGCCATGCAAAGAGCAAGCTTTGAAGCCAGGATTGGTGGAAGGCAGAGTGAGGCACAAGCTAAGAGGCGGGACCACACAGGTGCCCCAGACTTGAAAGGCCACGAAGCCAAGGAGTCTCCACTTCCTACCCTGCTCTCTGGAACTCCAACTGCCAGCCTCCACACAAGAAAGGATCGCAGTGCTTGGACCTAAATCCTCTGTGCTCAGTCCTGTGGCTGGTGCCAACGAGCATTCCCACCTAGAGTTGTAAGGCGAAACCTATTTACAGGCACAATGCTTTCCCTGTCAAGATCGGATGAGTTGGTTTTCTTTGTGAATGGGAGGAAGGTAAGTGTTGGGTGTTACTACCATAGCTCCAGACTGCAGGAAACCACTAGCTTGAGGGGAGCCTTTGTGGCCCATATGGATTGAAACCCCTCCAGTCAGGGACAAGAAGCCAGGGACTGGACTTATACTAATTTGGCCTGTTCCCCACTCAGCCACGGCTCAGCCTCTGGGATGTGGGGGTGACAGTAAAACATTGGGGTTAATGGCATGTGCTTTGGTGTCAGAGAGTCTTGTTTCCAATCCAGCTCTGCCATTTACTGTATAAACTTATGCGAGTTACTTCTCTGCCCTGGGCCTCAGCCTACTCATCCTCAGAATCCACTTCCTCCGGTGATCGTGAAGACTAAAAGAGGGATGCTTCTTTCACCGATGAGGAATCCCCTCAATGCCTGTGAATCACTTACCACTGCACCTGATATACCAAAAGCACTTTATCTACTAGCATATCTTGATCCTCAAACTCAAGAGACAAAACAGAGCTTTCTTTATCAATTTCATTTTTCTGTTGAGTCTCCATTATACAGAATTGGTTACAATGTAATTGCAGTCGATTTCAAGTCCCCTCTTTCCCTGGGTCGTGGCTAAGGTCCAAGAGAGGAGGGGGCTCTCCCTTTGTCAGGCTCCCTGGCATTCTCCTCTCCAGTCCTCACCATCAACCCACAAGGCCACTAGTCAACCCTCAGTGACCTCTGCCAGGGCCCCTCCTCTCCTGAGTCCCTACCTCTCTCTCTCTTTTTTTTATCTTCACCTGAGGACATTTTTGCATTTATCGTCAGATAGAGCAGGAAGGAAAGGGGGAGGAAGAGAGAGAGAGAAACATCGACGTGAGAGAGACACATCAGGTGGCTGCCACCCACACAACACCAACCGGGGCCGGGGACAAACTGCAACCGAGGTACGTGCCCTTAGTGGGAACCGAACCCAGGACTCTCTGGTTTGCAGGCCAACGCTCTAACTGCTGAACCAAACCGGCCAGGGCCCTACCTGTCTCTTAATGGAACCATTCTGTAGCTCTCAAGGCAGATGGTTCCTCTGGAGTCTCACCACCTGTTCTTCAGGGCCCCCTGCCCTCCAATCCCACAAACCTAATCGAGATTTGGTTTTGTCCACCCACCGCTCACCCCAGGGCTTGGCCTAAGAAAGGAGGTAGGACATAGAACTAAATTCTCGTTTTCCTTCTAACTCTCCTGTATCCCGTCTCCACAGCCAGCAACCACATACATTCTTCCAAAACGATCACTTATGAGCTGACTTCTTACTCACTTGTTCCATTGTCCTAGATTTCAGAGGTGCTTCTTCTATTTTCTGTTCCATACCCTCTGTGAGTCATAAGCCCAAAATGAGGTGGCTGCAACTAGAATAGGGAATAAGTCAAGACTCGGAAAACATACAAATGAATGTGGTAGGGGTTGGAATCAGCTAGATAATAAAAGTAGCATCCAACCACGTTCTCAAGAAATGTTTTTAAAAGACCTGGGGTGGAGTAAAGGCTGGCAGAGAGGGCTTCTTCTTTTGTTGCTTAGAAGCCCCTTAGAGATCCGGAGAGCAGTTGAATTTTAATGTCTCCACTTGGAAGCATCTTCCTGTAGTATTTTATTCTTTGAGGTCTACACTAGCTCATGTTTCCTTCTGGGGAGAATGGAAGAACCTAACATGATTAGCTGTATCTGTCCTCTGATGCAAGAGAATGGCTGGAGGTGTTTGCAGGACACCCAAAGACACAGTCATTGAAAATAGCTCCAAATAAGCAAATGGGAAAGGAACACCAAACAAGGCCCCTCTGTGGCTTTTAGGGCTAAATCCCCTGCTTTTTAAGGGGAGGGAGGGAGGGAGGAAGAAATTCTAGTGTTCCACCAAAGCCACCCTGGGGTCCTGCGCTAGGGCACCAAGGCTCACCATCAGCCACTCTGCCCCACCGGCACACTCCAGGGCCTCTCCAGGATGACAGAGACTCTCTCTACCTCCCCTTTCTGCCACCAAATCTTAAAATCCCTGATGTTATCAAATGTACCCTCCAGAGGTGGCTCAGAGGTGCCAGGATAGAAACTCTCTCTACCCAGCTTTTTTCTCTCCAGGACCCTTCATCACACACACACACACACACACACACACACACACACACACACGGCATCCAATTCTCTCCACAGTTTGAGATATGTCAAGGGTACAAAAGACTGGGTAGGAAGATCCCACAAAAATACACAGCGTAGCACACAGGAGGACACAGCTCCCAGGGCACCTTTGCACAGCAGTGGATCCCAGCTCTCATCACTTGGAAGAACATAGTTGCCACACCTGCTTGGTGAGTCTCCTGCTCCATAAAATGTACATGAAGGTTGTTTGGCCTCAGATAACAAAAAAGCAGGGAAAAATGAAATCCGGCCTAATCTTTTACCCCAATCTCTAAATCAAGCAGGCCACGATAGACATCCATCCCACTGGGTCACTGATTCAGTCCCCATAATAATCTCTTTTCTGTTTTCAACACAGGTGATAGAGAGAAATGCGGACCCAGAAGTCACTCTGCTGACCTTCCTACGAAAGAACTGGACCCTTTCTGTCAAAGTCTTGGCCGTGTCTATGTTTGCCTTAAAACTCAGGCCTACTGTGATTATGAGAATGAATCAAACTCTCCATCCCCAAACAGTCCGCCCCTTTGGCCCTTGCTCTCCCTTTGCTATTGGCAATGGTTTGAAGGATATTAAGTTAACTGGGCTATTTACAGAGGATGAAGTTTCTCCAGAGTTTCGTATAGCTTGATTTCATAGCAGTGAAATAGAAGCTAAGCTCTTTACCCAGCACTAATTACTCCTTGAAGGGCCTTCCAGATCCCAGGAGGCTGGTTATGTAACAGAGGCTTGTGTTTCATGTGCCCTTCCCTGGAGAGAAACCAGATTGTCCAGATTCAGGAAGAACACGTATCATAAAAAAAAGATCTCCTTTTCCTACATGTGTTTCCTTCCAGCAAATATTCCCTCACCATTCTATATTCTGAGATTTAGATCTTCATCGTGGCAAACTTATTTTAACTGATAAATCTGATGGATCGTTCAGGGAAGCCAAAAAGAGACAGAAATTACAAATTGGGGAAATCAGCCAATAAACAAGTGTTGGTTGAAAGCCCACATGGTTTTCAATTCATTGCCAAGGTTTGAAAATTAGGAAATCTCATGATTTTAAGAGACGAGATTTTTAGCTTCTCATGAAAAATGGAGAAATAGTCATTTCTGTGTGGCAGCAGTCTTGCTTAGAGGTGAATGGGGACTGTCCCTAGTCCCCTATGTGAAGTGTGGTGTGAGCTCTCCGGTTACACCCGGCCCACTCCACACATAACCTCTCTCATAAGCATTTGAGGTTAATACTTAATTTAAATGAATAAGCCCTATGGCTTTTTTTTTTTAAGTCAGTTATTCCAAAGTCTTCTTAGCCAATCTAGTTAACTACATCCAATTCCCTAAGTTTTGAGGAGATGGCCCACGGTTAAGGAGAAGCCTGACTGAAGAAAGGGAGCAGGGGCTGCTCCTAGACCTAGAGGTGAGCCTGGACCAAGTGGGAGCAGGGCGACCCTGGAGCTGGCACATGAAAATAGGGGTGGGAGCTTTCTCCGAAGGCTCTGTCACTCGCATTCAAACGCAATACAAATTACTGGGCAAAACTGGCAACATGCTGAACTGCTAAAAATAAGTTCTCTTCCAATTACATGATTAGAACCCCGAAGAATACCTATAATGAAATCGACTTTTTCAAAGGGCTTTTACCTTCACATCCATTATCCCATGAGATGCTTAGGACAAGCATGTGAAGATGAAGCGGGTATTCCAGTCCCTCTTTGCAAGGGAGCAAACAGGCAGGGAGAGGTTGAAACAACCAGTGAGTCACAGCTGGCCAGGCATGGAGTGGTCTTTACTGAGACCTGGAGGCGAATGACTTCTCAGACCTGAACCCCCACCCCCAAGGAGACTTTCCTCACTAGCGATACCTTAGGGAGGTAGCTGTAAGGGAGGCCACCTGCCCACCTTGGCATCTTTTCCTTGACCACCTCCTTCCAGTAGGCCTCCCAGGAACCAAGGACGCCTGTGGAGTAGGAGGCTGTGGCGCCTGCACCGTGATGGTGTCTAAGTGTGACCCTGTGTCCAAGAAGATAAGGTAACCTACCCAGGAACCCCACGCCTGGTGACACAAGTCCATCCCTATTGAGTCCAGACTCAGGTCGTCTGCTCTGGGCTTCCAAAGTTTTTCTGAAGTTCAGAATGCCCATATTTCCCCTGAGGATTCCCACTTCTTACAGCTAGCACGGAGCCAGCAGAGGGGACTCTGAATCTGCCCCCTTTCAGCTCCCCCCAGCTCCCCATCTCCAGGATGAATGACAGGCCTGGGGGGTTCCTGCTGCCCATCTTGGTTCCCAGGTTCCCCATGAGGCAGCACTGTGTCATTCTCCTTGATTTTGCTTGTCCTTCTCCCATAAAGACACGTCTCCGTCACCGCGTGCCTGGTTCCCATCTGCTCCCTGTACGGAGCTGCTGTCACCACTGTGGAAGGTGTGGGAAGCATCGGAACCAAGCTTCACCCCGTGCAGGTAAGAACATATGTTAATATTCTCACTTCCTTCTCTTTGTAACCAATGCTGAATTGACCACTGCCTGGGGCTTCTGGGTTGTGGTCAGGTAAGATCTCTGGCTGCATATTGATCAAGATAATAATAATAATATCTCTTAAATTATTTAAAAGAAAACTGGAAACCCATCCACATTTTCTTAATGATCATCTTTTTTCTTACTTTTTCTACTTGAATGATAAATAAGATTATATCTATTGGACTATGATGTGGAAGAAATAATAAACATCTCTGAAGCTAACAGGATAAAATTCAGGAGTATTCCCTGTGGCACAGAGGTCTTGGGAGGAAAATCAGAACTGAGGGTAACCGCACCAGAGCTGAGGACAGTCATTTCTCCAAAGCTTAACTTGAATCTGGGACACAGAGGCTGTTTCTAGGCGTGCTGTGACCTGTGTTGGCAGAAACACACTGATTCTTCTGTCATTGTTGCAGGGGTTTGGAGAGTCCTAGGTCCACTAATACAACGAGTCATTCCAGAGTTCATAGAAAGGAGGAGCCTGAGTTTAGCCATGTGAAAGTCGATTCCAGGAGGTCAGCCAAGGCAAAGGACCTACCAGGGTTCATAGACTCTCTGAGAGGGTCAGAGAGGATGTTTACACCAAAGTTGATAATCCCGACTCCTAGGATTGTATTGCATTGTGAAATCAGGAGCATAGCTTCCCAAACTTTAATGTGCCTAAGAATCAGCTGGGAGCTATTTAAAATGCAAACAGCCCAAGTGTCCATCAGTAGATGAATGGATAAAAAAGCTGTAGTACATATACACAATGGAGTACTATGCAGCTGTAAGAAAGAAAGATCTCTTATCCTTTGAGATGACATGGAGGGACCAGGAAAGTATTATCCTAAGTGAAACAAGCCAAACAGAAAAAGACAAATACCACGTGATCTCACTTATTTATGGAATATAATGAACCTAACAGTCTGAGGAATAGGGTAGACCCAGAAACATGGAAGTAGGGTACAGACTGACAACCCTCAGAAGAGGGGGTGCTGGGGGGAGGAAAGAGATAAACCACAGAACTTATATGCATGTATGCATAACTAATGGACATGGACAGCAAAGCCGGGGACAGGGCGGGGGAATGGGGAGGAAGGTGTCAATGGGGTAAAAAAGGAGAAACATCTGTAACAAAAATTAAATTTAAAAGAAAAAAAAAAGTAAATGCAAAAACAAAAAATAATAAAATGCAAATTCTGAGTCAAAAGGTTTGGAGCAGAGGCCAGAGGTCCTACATTTCCTACAAGCTCCCAGGTCCACGGACTACATTCTAAAGACCAAACATCTGGAACATAGACCGAAGTCTTGGACCTTTGAAACGAGAGCTCCTTTTGAGCCCATACAAACGAATTTAAAGAAAGTACCATGAGGTCAACAGTAGATAGTCTCCAAGTTCATCAAAAACAGATGACCCTATGGTCAGAACTAAATTGGCCAAGATGTAGAGGAGTTCAAGAAAACTGTTTTTAAAACTTATACACAATTTCCTTATAATGACTGACTTCTGGAGAAGTTTTCTCACTCTGGGAATAGAGGCTGCATGCTGCTAATTCCCAACGAGAAGGATCTGGGCGTTTGAGCTTGAGAAGTGATTATAATGCTAGAAAGTGGCTTCTGAGTCACTTCTTCCAGGAGCAGACGAGGCAAGGGGGGTGCACTGCTTAGGGAAGGGGTTCCACCCTGGGAAGGGGGTGCAGGATGTGGACCCTGGTGAGAGGTGCTGGCAGCAGGAAGGCAGGGCCCGTGACCACGTATGTGTGCTTTCAGGAGAGGATCGCCAAGAGCCACGGCACGCAGTGCGGGTTCTGCACTCCGGGGATGGTGATGTCCATGTACACGCTGCTCAGGAACCACCCACAGCCCTCAGAGGCGCAGCTCATGGAAGCCCTGGGGGGTAGGTTTGACACAGAGAATACTCACCACCCTCAAGGTCAGGTGGGAAGCATGCCTCAGGCTGCTCCACCACACCCACAATATCACCCCAGCCCCACGCAAGGGACCCACAGGGTTGTTTCTCAAGTAACTGCAAGTCACCCAGGAGAGAAGAACGTCCAGCTATACCTTGCTTACGGGAGCATTTGCCGAAGCCACCTGCACAGAACTAGCACAGTGCCCATGAACCACACCCCGTCCTGACACCCACGTGTCTGCCCCGTGACTCATTTGGCTGCCTTCATTAGGGCTGTCATAACGAAGTGCCACAAACTGGGTGGGTTAAAGCTACAGGAACTTATTCTCTCCCAGTTCTGGAAGCTGTGAGTCTGAAATCAAGTATAAGGGCTCTAGAGGAGAATTCTTTCCGGCCTCTTCCTACTTTCTGGTGGTTGAGATCCATCCGGACTTATAGACTCATCACTCCAGCCTCTGCCCCATTTTTCATGGCCATCCGCCCTGTGTGTCAGTGTCCCTCTTCTTATAAGGACACCGGTCGCTGGGTTGGGGCACACTCTAATATAGTGTGACCTCAATTTAACCTGAGTACACCTGCAGACACCCTATTCCCAAATAAGGTCACATTTACAGATTCCAGGGGTTAGGACCTCAATATATCTTTTGAGGGGACACAATTCAAGTCACAGCAGCCCTTCACATATCAAAGGATCCTTTAAAATTTGGAACGGGTTTAAGATACGAAAGAGGAGTTCATAAGCATGTCCCTTTTGCAGGATTAATAAACATCATGCTCCAGAGTTAATCCTTAAACTAGTCATTTGTTAGGCACACAAATTCTTACACTGAGGCCTAAAGGGTGAGCACAGACACTCCCTTAATCTGCCAGTTGTTAGGGGAATTCCTTTCCTCTCTCTGCTCTGTCACAGAAAACTAGATCAAGTCATCTCAATCCTCCACCTTCCGTGGGTGAGGTCTTTCAACAGCTCCTCCGCCCTCAGATGTGGCCAGCCTACCCTTACCCGGCATGCAGAGAAGTCCGCCTTCCTCCTCTGCTACATGACTCTGCTGGCCAGTCTCCCCTTGGCCCCCAATTTCACTTCTGCACCTTTGCTCACGCTGCTCTGTGAACCCTGAATACCCCTCCCCTGCTCTCCACTGACCCATAGCTTGCTCATCCTTCAAGCCCGGGCTTCTCTGTGAACCCTTTCCGCATGAATGTTATTCCATACTGACCCTCTGCACCCCACCTCTGTGCCTTCATCCTTGGAAACCTGAAGTTCTCAAACTTTACCATAAGTTGGGATGGTCCACAGACCTCTTCTATGCAGATTCCTGGGCCCATCTCTGAACATTATGATTCAGGGGCATATTAACAAATAACCCAGGAAATTCTGATGCAATGACTTAAAAAACACCAAGGAGCACTTATGTCCAAGGCATAATACTTTGCTCATATAGTGCCTTAGAAAGGGCCTATAGCCCTGGCCGGTTTGGCTCAGCGGTTAGAGCGTCGGCCTGCGGTCCGGAGAGACCCGGGTTCGGTTCCCGCTAAGGGCACGTACCTCAGTTGCAGTTTGTCCCTGGCCCTGGTTGGTCGTGCGGGTGGCAGCCACTCGATGTGTCCCTTTCACATCGATGTTTCCCTCTCTCTCTCTTCCTCTCTCTCCCTCCTACTCTGTCTGTACAAAAAATGGAAAAATGTCCTCGGATGAGGATTAAAAAAAAAAAAAGAAAGGGCCTATATATTCTCAGTCCATGGAGCGACGCTCAGTCCACTGAGCCCCACCAGCCTGACGGCCTGTATTTCCTGTGTTTTAGGATCCCCATGTCTTTTATAGCTAAGACATGTGTCTAAGATATAGCTGTCAAAAGATACATGTTGAATGAATGAATAAATTAATAGATGGATGCAAATGAAATTGCCAAATAGACTATCATCTTCTTTAAGACAGAGAATAAAACTGGAATTGAGGTGATGGAAAGACAATATTCTAAGAAAAGAGAACAGCTCTGAACAGTCTGGCAGATATTTAAATACTTTTTAAAAATACCTGGGTCCATCTTCCCTTTCCAAAGAAACCAATAAAAATAAAACCTACTGATAATCCTGCTCCTTATTTTATTAGGTAATCTATGCCGCTGCACTGGGTATCGGCCAATTCTCGAGAGTGGAAAGACCTTCTGCATGGTGAGTAGGTGACTATGGAAACACCTTACACAGTAAGAATGACAGTGACAGCTGGTCAAGGCTGGGGACAAAGGAGTCGAATTTGTTAAACCATCCAAACAGACTATAAGGGAGACAAGTGAGTTAGCTCTAACGGACTCACAGGAGTTTTAGCCATTTGTTGAGGACTGGGTAAACGTCACACCACAGGGGGAAGCCAGGTGATCTAACCAAGCATCCAGACATCTTCCATGATAGTTAAGGGAGGCATTAGAACAGGACCAGTGGGAGGGCTCCAGCAAACTCAAAGAGACAAACAAAGGCATGGAATTTGCTTTAGCTTTAGAGAGGCAAGCTTTGTTCCAAGAATCCAGACCAACTGGGAAGTGTGAGCAAATAAAGAAGCCAAATATGCAGAGTAGAATTCAAAATTCATCCCAAGTACAAGAGCACAGGGATCTTCCTCAACAAAATGGGATACCTCACTGGGCTACTGTGAAGATCAAATGGGAAATCATGGCCAAGAATGTAGCCAAGTCTTGCTTGGCACTCAAAAGAGCTCGACAGATAGATACTACTGTTATTGAGGATGTTACTGACACTGCGAATAGAGATTGATGGGGAGACCAGCCAGGCACATCTGATCGCCCTCCTGAGGGCAGGACAGATGTGGGCGGTACCACCCTTAGATCCAAGCAAAGAGGACACCACTTTTTTTTTTTTTAACTTTTTTTTCTCTATTGATTTTAGAGAGAGAAGAAGGGAGTGGGAGAGAGAGATAGAAACATCAATGAGACAGAACATCGATTGGCCGCCTCCTGCATGCCCCCCACTGGGGATCGGGCCCACAGCCTGGGCATGTGCCCTGATCAGGAATCAAACCAGCGACCTCTTGGTGCATGGGCTGATGCTCAACCACTGAGCCACACCAGCCTGGTGAGGACCCCACACTTTGAAGGGCTCCTTGCTGGTCCTCCTTTTAGGCTCTCTCAGGAAGCCAGGGTCCAAGGTGACTTGTTCACCTGAAGCCTTTACCTCTTTTCTCAACCATGATCCAGATATGGTTTTGACTGCATTCCCAGGCCTGACACAAGCCTCTTCCCAAGTCCATCTTCCTAGATCAGATCGTAATAGCCAGTGTGTGCACCCCTAGGTCGAAGGATGACCCATGACTGGCTGTTTGGGGAGGAAATAGATGGAGCTTGGACAGTCAGGCTGGAGTGCTTATACAGGCATTTGAGGTCCCTCACTGCAGATCAGAGCCAGGCTGGGGAGAGAAGGGCCTCCTTTGTTCTCCTGCTGTGGCTCCACAAGTAGTAGATACGGTCCTGGAAGTAAGTCCCAGTTCCCAGAGCCATGCCAGTCCCCTTGCATGCACGCCCCAGACTTCTGCCACAAGGGGGAGCCAAAGTGAACAAGCTGAGAAAATACTAGCTTGTAACCTAATCAAATTGTTGATGTAAATGGAAAAGCAATTGTGAAATACAAATAAAAGAAGTTAAAGGAAACCTCTCTCTCTATGGAAGGTGGATGTCATCCACCTTTCCAGGCGCAGACTCTGGGGATAAAGGCAAAATTGTAGTCAGAGACCCACTCTGCAGCCAGCGGGCCCCAGGCCAGCAGGAACTTAAGGGGTGAGAGGAACGGAGCCCTAGCGGGGCTACTTGAGGCTCTGAGCTACTCAGCCAAGAGAAGACTGGCTGCTTCTGTCATCATAGACTCATGGCCCATCCTGGAAGCTCTCAGAGGGTTGGATAATGAGGAAACACTGCTAGCTTGGCCCAGCTATTCTGCTTCTTGAACAGAATTAGGAAGCTAGTAGCCTGAGACATTTGGACAGAAACAGAGAACTGGGGTATCCGGAAGTATTTCCCTAAATACTTCAGGGAAATTATTTAAGGAAGAGGATATAAGAGGTAAGTTAGGGGAAAATGGTAATAAAAGAGCCGGCAAATGGAAACTTGCTTTAAAATTCACTGACTGTCCATTTATTTTCTATGAGTTTCATGCAGATCCCAAATGTCTGGTTACTGAAATGGTTTTCTTTTTTCATCTTTCTTTATTTTTTCTTTTCTTTTTCTTTCTTTAAGGTCCTAGTATAAATGATAACATTCAGTGCTGTTGACTCTTATATATGCTAAAGAATGGATAAATCGTTATTTCTCTGAAAAGCATCTTGTCAAGTAATTCTACCACTACAATTAGGATTTCATTAAGAAAAACTTCAGAGATATACCCAAAGTTGTATGAGTAATAAACAGAAATGTTTATTGTAATGTTATTTATAGTTATAAAACATAGGCAAGCCCAGCTGGTGTGGCTCAGTGAACTGAGTGTCGTCCCATGGACTGAAAGGTCCCAGTTTGATTCCCCATCAGGGCACATGCCTGGGTTGCGGGCTTGATCCCCAGTGGGGTCATGCAGGAGGCAGCCCATCGATGTTCCTCTCTCACATTGATGTTTCTATCTCTCTCTCCCTTCCTCTCTCTCTAAAAAATATATTAAAAAAATATTTTTTTAAAAAATAGGCAAAACCTAAGTATACATTAATAGCAAATTTTACATATATATTCAAAAAATAGATTATTGTGCAATCAGCAAAGTTATATTTTAAAGGTGTTTGAATGATAATTGAAAAGACTGCCAATATAAATGAACAAATAGGTAAATAAATAGGCAAATAAATAAACCAAAAAGTAAAATAAAAAGTATATTGTTCCTGGCTGGTGTGACTCAGTGGTTGAACATCAACTCATGTACCAAGAGGTTGCTGGTTCAATTCCCAATCATGGCACATGCCCAGGTTGTGGGCCAGATCCCCAGTGGGGGGCATGTAGGAGGTGGCCAATCAATATTCTCTCTCATCGATGTTTCCATCTCTTGCTCCTTCTCCCTTCTTCTCTCTCTAAAATCAATAAAGGAAAAAAAAAATAAGTATATTGTGTTATAAATGTAGTACAAATATATAGTATGTAAAAATATTATCAGTGGAATAGGGTAATGATAGTTTATTTCTTTTATGCTTCTTTATATATTATGGTTTTATACTATATTTTATGGTCTATATTATGATTTTATACCATAATTACATATTTTGTATATCTTCTATATCATAAATGTATATATTCTATATGGATTATTTTACTTTAAAAATAAAGAAGAAAGATCTTGTAATGATCCCTGTTCCAATAGAAACCACCAAAAGTGACGAAAATGTCGTCTCATCTAAACTGCCATACCCATTTACCTATAAAAAGAGTTTTCATCTCGAGGCATTTCACCTCCTAGGAGTCGAATGGCTGTCAACAGAAAGGAACAGGACAGTGCTGCTTGGATCAGGGAGGAAGTGACTCGTCCTCCCACGGCAGGAACAGTGACGTGAGTCCCTTTGCTCGTTTGTTCTTTCCCTGGGAAAACTGCTCGACACTGGCCCAGTGCTGACACTGTGCTCATTAGTTCTGATGGCCGTTCTCTGCTTTGCTTACAAATGTCCAAAGTCCCCACACAAATAAAGCACTTTTCATTTGGGAGGTGGGTGAAAGGGTGATTCAAAGCCCATGCTCTGACTTTCCTCTCGGCTCTCGGGAAGCCTGAAGCAACAAAACAAAAACCCACTCAGAGAAGAGAAAAAGACCCCAGCAATGATGAGTCCCATCCTCGGTGGAAATGGCTGTCTGTGCCTGGCCCCGCGTGCAGAGTTGTCCTCTGTCACTGTCTCCTCCTTTGTACGAAAGGGCGCTGCAGCCTCGGGACGGCTGCCCAGAGTCAGTGCGAGTTCAGGCCCCCAGCTGGGAGCCCAGCCTGAAGCATCCTGTCCCTGGCTTTGCTCTCTCAGAGACACTGGTCTCCAAGAGACCCACTGCCAAGTTCTTAAAGTGATTATTTAGAGAAGGTGGAATACAGGACAAATGAAGTTGGCTCCCTGTGGATGAGGAAATCCAAGAGGATAGAGTTGGCCTTAGAGGAAACTGAACCTATCATCTCCCTCCTGCATGTTTCTGTCCCTCAGACCTACCTTGTCCCATTCTTGGCCTCCCACTGTCACTGCATTTTGGTCTGAAGAAGGTGTGCAGTGTTGCAAAGGAAAATGGGCTGCACCCCCCACCCAGGACCATTTCACAAAGACTTGGTGCCTTGGAGGGGTCAGTACGTTTGAAATTCTGATTCTTGATTTTGTGGCCTTAGGAATTCAACCTGGGCAATGATCGGGCCTGGAAACCACCTGGCTTACTTTAACCAAATTCAAAAAAATATGATGTGTCCTAATATTCCTTTAGAAAGAGAAACACAAATATAAAGTAGATCTTGTGATCACTGAGCCACATGTCTCTTCCCTATAGAAAAACACACACAGGAAGCCACAATTTGAGAAAGTTACTTGGTGAGCTTTCATCTTAAAGGTAACATTATAGCAGACCCCTCTCTTCCTCTAGGGTAGACCTGATGTCTGCCCCCAGACCCTCCCTTCCCTTTAACCTATGTTAGTATCTTCTATTGGGTAACTGTGATGCCTTGTCCCAGCACCTGTCAAGGGGAACTTTTAATTCCTAATTATGTTTGTTTTACAGTTTAATTTTCAGATGCAATCTTATTTCTAGGTTTTAGAAATACACCGCATCATTATTCCTAGGTACTGCCTACACTTCTAATTCCAGCTAACATAAAAATTGATCAGTCAGATACTGGCCTGTAATGCTTCAATCTGGAGTCCTTCTGAGAAACTTTACAAGGAACAATTACAAGTTTTCTTTCTAGATCCTGAGAAGACCTTAGGGAGATAGAAAAATATGAGGAGTGTTAGATAAATGTCAGGCCATTTACCTAATTATCAAAATTATCCTTCAAAGTATGTATTATTTCCATTTAAGCTTTGAAAGGTTAAGTACCTTTTCAAAGGAAAGGTCAGGTCGTAGCCGAGCTGAGAACGAGCCCAGACCTGTCTGCCCCCAATGTCTCCCCATGCTCTGCTCCCTTACACAGATCTCTAGCCCTGCCTCCCACAGGGCTCTCCCAATCTCCCGTACCCCTTCAGGAACGTTTTCTGGGAGTAAGTGTTTCCAAAGCGAAAACATTTTTGATTCAGACAAGACTGCAGTGTGGGTAACTTTTTACTGTGCTTTTGTTTCCTAATCATTAAAATAGAGATGATAATTTACTTTCTTTGTACAGTTGTTGGGAGGATTAAATAAATTACCAATATGTGTAAAGTGCTTGGAGAAGAAGCACTCCATAAGTGTTAACTGTAGTTAGTAAAGTTAGTGGAGTGTGCGTGTGTGCTTACACATGGGCGTGTATGTGTAGAGTCCTTTTTACTTCAGCTACAGGACTTCTCAGAGCTTTTGGCATTTTGAATCCTGACTTGATAGATGAGAGGACAGTGGTTTGACTCCCAAACTTATCTAACCTCCAGTAGTTTTTCACAGACCCTCTTGGTGTTGCACAGGGTACTTTTTGAAGTATCCCATGGAATACCCTTTCTTCAGCATCATCTTAGTGGCAAATCAATGTTTCTCTTACAATAAGAGTCTTAAAACAATTTCACTTGAACTCTTTCCCTGTATAAGAGTAGGAAAGTTATTACTAAGTTCATTTTGCCTAATTAATGTAAATAATCGCAATGCTGTTTCCAGTTGAGCTGGGCTGACAAAACCATCTTCTGCCTTTTATAAAGATTTCCACAGAGTTATTTGCGAAAGACGAGTTCCAGCCCATGGACCCTACCCAGGAGCTCATATTTCCCCCAGAACTCTTGGTAAGACGAATGGGGTGTTTTATGTGCTTGTTTAAATGTCACTGGTTATAAACTCAATTTCCAAAATCACCCTTTCCTTCCTGTGAAATTGTCAAATTATGGAAATACTTGATCAGATCATCATGCTTGTCCCTGGCTGATGCCCTAGACACATTCCCCAAAGCCTCAGCTGAGGCTGTTTTTTAAATGACATCGTCATTGCTCTCATCATTGTCATCTAGGATGTGTTGATTGTCCCAAGCCATACCGTTTTGTTCAACTTCTAACTTGGTCTTTCTGGCCACTCCAGCACACTGGCCCTAAAGAGCACTTTCAGCCTCAACCCCTTTCCTCACCCTTCTGTGAGCATCTCTGTCTTTCTTCTCGGCATCCAGTGGTCATATTCTATAAAATACCCAATTCTGAAGGGATTCTGATGTGTTTATTCATGCATTTAACAAATATTTATTGATTCAACCAAATGCCAGGCACTGTTCTAGGTACTGAATAGATAGCAAGGGACAAACCTACACAAAGACCTCAAGGAGTTTGTGATCTGGTGGGAGAGGCAGACAAGGAGTAAGATAAGGGATAAGAGACATATAGTGCGTTGACGAGTGAGGAGGAAAAAATAAAACAAGAGGGATAGGATGCTCGGGGTTGCAGTTTTAAATATCCAGCAAGAGAAGACTTCTCCAAAAAGGTAACATTTGAACAAAGTCCTAAAGGACGTGAAGGAACCAGCCTAGCTGGGTGGGGTGGGGGACCGACCATACCAGACTTAATAGGTTTTACTCTGTGTGAGATGAGAAGCTGTCAGGGAGGCTGGACAGAGGAGGGGTATGTACCTGTCAACATTGTAATGGGATCTGAAGTCATGCTGGATGCTTGGATGGGAGCAGACTGGGGAGGGGCAAGAGAAGCAGGGAGCCCAGTCAGGACACTGATGCCGTCCCAAGAGATGGTGGTGCTGGACCAGGCTTCCAGAGTTCAGGGAGTGAGGAGCAAATGGAGTCTGGATGTATTTTGGAAGAAGAGCCAACAAGATTTGCTGATGGATGTGATGTGGGGTGTGGGAGAAAGAGAGAAGACAAGGCTGACTCGAGGCTTTGAACAGCTGGGAAGTGGCCATTTAGGCAGGAGGAGACCTCCCAAGGAGCAGGTATTTTTCCTTTTGTAGGATTCTTTTGGGGGGCTTGGAAGGGGATGAAATATGAGGATGTCAGTTTTGAACATGTTAACTTTGAGATGCATATTACATATCTAAGAACAGACATTGAGTACTCACTCATTCAAATAAATAAGTTTGGATTTTAGAGGAAAAGCCAGGCTGAATACATTTATTTAGGAGCATTAGTATAATTATGATTTTTAAATTATGTTAAATTAATCTATACTGAAGGGTCAATGAGAAGTGCCGGTTCATATTGGCACTTGTCTCTGAAGAGCTACATATAAACAAGTCTTAAGCTAAAGGAGTAAATATTTGATTATGGACATTCAGACCAATAGGTGTAGTATCTTTTTGGTCAAGTAGATCTCAGGATGCCTCTACCTGGGACCATGCCTAACCCAGGAAGACAGGTGTGCACATGTGCACACACACTTGTCATTTGCACTTAGAGAATGGCAGAGAACCCGGAAAAAAGAACCCTGACCTTTCATGGAGAAAGGGTTACCTGGATCTCCCCTGGGACCCTCAAGGATCTCCTGGAGCTGAAAGCGAAACACCCCGAAGCCCCTCTGGTCTTGGGCAACACGTCACTGGGTGAGTGATACAATGGTTCTCATGCTCCCGTAATGCCGAGTGTCCTAACACTCCCCCTCCCTGCTCTCGGTCCACAGACTCCACTTCCCAACGATAAATACCTCGTCCTTTAAAATAAAAATATTATAACAGTATATTACAAAATATACTATTGTGTTATATATTAATAATATAAAATTACATATAATTATTTATGTAATTACATATAAACATATAAATATACACATAAATTATATGCAATTGTTTATGTAAACTATACATATATGAATTGTATATAACAATAATATAAAAAGTATAGTGCAAACATTATTTTATTTTATTATAATGGTCTCCAAAGTTGAAGACTCTACGAGTATGCAAGGTAACTCCTTGAGATGTGGAGGGGGAGTATTCAGAGGGTTTTTTTTTTACCATTTATTTTTTCTTGTCCTTTTTTATGTCGTTTTTGCTAAATAGTGAGTAGATAACAGAATTTTATAAAACATGTATGGGCATATTAACAATGCACACCTGGTTCTCACCCCCACCCAGTTTAAGAATGAGAACTTGACCATGAACGTGGAAGGTTCTCTGGGCCCCTCGAACCACGTCCTCTTCCCTTCCTGTCCTCTCAGAGGCCCCCACTAGCCTGAATGTGGTGCTGGTCACTCTTCTTTGTTTTTACAGGTTCACCACATATATTTGAATCCCTAATCAAGAGGTCATTTCGGTTTTTGTGTTTTTGAACTTCACATGAAAAGATTGACCTGTGTGATGTTTCTGCAGTTTGCTTTGTTCACTGAACATTCTTGACTGAGATTCACACACATGGTTGTGTGTCACTGTGCTAGATTCCGTGGTATGACTCTGGCACAACTGACTCATCCCTTCTATTGTTTTGGGGGGAGGGGAGCGTTGTGGGGGTTTTTTGTTAATTCTCACACAAGGACATTTTTTAATTAATGTCTAGATAGAGTGGAAAGGAGAGAGGGAGAAAGAGAGATAAAAATAAATAAATAACCATCGATGTGAGACAGACACATTGACTGGTTGCCTCCTGCAAGATCCCAGCCAGGACTAGGGATCAAACCGCAGCCCAGGTATGTGTCCTTGACTGGGGATTGAACCTGAGACCACTCCGTCCGAGCACCAACCGAACCAGCCAGGGCTCATCAATCCTATAGTTGAAGTACATGGAGTGCCTTACAAGCTTTGACTGTTTCAGATATTCTAATATATGTCTCCTGGTGCCTACATGCAAGAGTTTTCTAAGAACCTCTCATCCATTTTACTTCCTATTTTTATATACATATAGTGAGTGTATAAATAAATACATATACTGGAAGCTATGTGCTATAAATTTACTTGGCTGGGTATATGGCCACTGCTTTCACATCTATGTATACTTATTGTCAATTTTTAAATTTGTATGTGAACATTTTTATGAACAACTTCCAATGCAAAAAAAAAAAAAAAGGCATTGTCTCTTTCCTAACTCTCTCTAAAATACATTTATTTATTTTTCAGGGCCTGCAGTGAAATCTCAGGGACATTTTCACCCAATTCTCCTCTCTCCTGCCAGGATTTCAGAGCTGAGTGTGGTGTCTAAAACAAGCGAGGGTGAGTTCCTGGTGTTCTTGTAAAATATCAATGAACCAATACCTGCACTGAATTTCCACTTGCCAAATAGTTTGAAAACTCCTCATACACTTGTCTTGTCTGGCCTGTTTCCAAGTCATCGTCATTTTTCTGATATGATGTACATCCCACCATGAAACTTTACTATCAAAATCTTTGCACAGAATATGAGGTGTTCAGATGATATCACTCAAGACTTGGTAGTCACCTACAGGATTCTTGCCTGTTAAATGCCATGGTGACCTAGAGGCAATAGAACCGGTGCTATCCATCAATTGGTTGAATGGTCAATTCAGGGACCAAGGATATTTGCAGGAAGAAAGTAGGAGAGACCTTATCTGGCAGTCAAATACTATTTGTCTCATGGAGACAATGGCAAGAGGCCAAGTGGGACAAAGACCTGCCTGGGTGAGCATCCCCAGTCACTTACAACATTTGTGCAGATATCATCAGGCAAGGTGGCAATCACAAAGCAGGAAAGGAACATGCAGGATTTTGCCTTCAAGATGCGTGGTGATCCTTTGACAAAGGGAACTTTATTTTGACTCTTTTCCGCATCCCCTAGAGGTCCTGGCATATAAGTACATGCATTCGAGTTTTGTACATGCACATGACTCAATGGAAAAAGAACAAATGAATGAGCATGTCAGGATCTTGAATTTGGAATGCAGAGGAAAAAAGTAGCTTCCTGAACTTAGGCAACAAGGAGGTTGACTGAACTGAAAGCCAGCTACCGTATGTTTGTGGTGTTCAGTGTGGACAGTGGAGGGGACCTGCCTGGCTGCATCACTGCCATCCAAGAGTCCTAGCTTCCTGGCCTCTACCCATCATCAGCCAAACATAGATTATGCTGCAGACCAGCAAGCTTGCCTTCCCTAGCCTCACCCAGCCCATTTGCAAGGGAAAGGACCCTTCCTGGTTTTGCTCAGCACCATGGCTTCTCAGCTTCAATCTTGGGACACTTCAGGTAGCACGCCTGAATGCCACTCAGAAAATGAGGGGAACATGCTTAGATTTACCTGATATCTTGGTTTGACAGAAAGGAAATGAAAGGAACCGAAGTTTGCCACCCTGTTGGGGGTGGGGGGTGGGTATTGATTTTAAGTTGTTTATTAAGAAGCCAAACTTAGAGGGAGCCTTCAACACCACCCCTTTCCTGCCCAAGAGATCTCTGTTTCAGGCAGAGAAACATGCTTCCCAAAAGAGATCTTAGGATACTGCCTGAGCCTAATTAGAATTAGGTATGACAAACAGAGGCCCTCAGACAGTGGCCTGTTAGCTAGATCCCCTGTGTCTCCGTGTTTCTGAGTCTTCCTCAACCACCTGTAAATTGCCCATTCTCACTTCTGAAATCTAAAATCCCCTTCTCCCCCTTTTCTCCTCTGTCCCAGTGTCTTGTATACAGTGTTGCCTCGTCATCTTTGAATTTTTCATGCCTATGTGAATTCTCCATCTGCATGTATTAAAACTTGCTTTTCTCCTGTTAATCTGCCTCTGTTAATTTAATTATTAGCCCAGCCTAGAAAAATTAGAAGATGAGAAACAAAAGTGTTCGTTTCTTTTTTTGCCCTTACAGAGAAAGAAAATAGTCAAATGGGTGGATGGGGAGTTTAGACAACCAGCTGAAGCAGAAGATTCGGGTAGAAAGCCCTTCCCCTCATCTTCACCCCAGGCATCATTTAGCCCGAGTTTTTCAAACTTCTTTTTAGCACCACAACCCTGACCTCAAATAAATCTGAACTAAAATAAGTATATGAAAATAAGCTGCTCTGTTTGAAAAAGGGGAAAGCTTTCCAGCATCCCCCCATCCCTGAGCCCCTTATACCTGCCCTTGAGAGTCTGTTCAAGGCACAGCTCACAGTCCTCGATGTAACTCCAGTACCTCAGTTTATAGATAAGGAAGCCAAAGGCAGACGGAAAGTGGACTTGCCCAGGGTCTCTAAACTGGCTGGTGGCCAGGTCACCAAGCCTCACATGTCCCACTTCCAAATCAGAGCTCCTTTGTTACTGCCATTCTTTGTCCCCAAGGCCCACCCCAAGGCCTGTGCAACTGGCTATTTGAACGGACCGCTCAGTTTGGATTCTGCAGGCAAAGCAGAGCCAGATTCTGAAATCTAAGGAAACAAACCTGAGCCTTTCTTGAGGTCTCTTAAAATTAAAGTTTGCGCGCCCTCTAGTGGCCTCCAGGGATGTTTCCCAGGATCTCAACCTTTTCCTAAGGCCAAGTGCAGGACACTGGCGAGGCAGCGGTGCCAGATGTGCCCCCACCCCTCTAGTACCCCCACAGAAAATAAATTTCTGTGATGGCATATATTTGTCCAAAGTTTGCATGCTAATATATATCATGTGTATGTTTAGCTCACTATACATTTTTCCCCCTCAAAATCTTTAGAACAGAAAGTCGTATCTTTCTCACAGACCCATGAACTCTGAGAAGCATGGAGTTAGAATAAAATCCACATTCTGAGAATCAAACCAAGTTCAATCTCTTTTCTACTCCACTAAAATACAAGCTAGGCTTTTTGACCAAAGATGGACTAAAATATGAATAGAAGTACAGTAAAGAGAATTTTCTCAGTAGAGCGGTGTCACGTGTAGCGCAAAGCGAGGGGGTAAAGTGAGCAATGGGAATGGCCAAACCAAAGCCCCAGGGGATGGTCGGGGCCTTTCCTGAGTTTGAAATCTGTAGGTATGAGGACTCAGGCAGTAGAGCAGACAGCTACCCTTCTGCCTGTGTCACCTAAGAGATGGTCCTGCTGGTCTGTGTGATGCTTCTGACCTAAAAAGATAATTGTCTTTTTGTTTCTGGTTTCTTTTCTACTAATAAGACTCTGGGTAGGAGAAATTGTATGAAACAAGCTTGGTCTTCCTATCTCTCTCGTTGGCAAAGATAAAGCCAGGACTTCTGCAGAAGTTAAAAGACTCAGCTCCAGTGGAACCTGCAGAGATAGGAAGCAACAGACCACAGCTGATCGGTCTGGGATGGACCCCATGTTATGGAGCGCCTTTTATGAGACACTGAAACAGAAGCGGGGTGAGGACCCTAGGTGGAGACAGTCCAGGGAGGGGGAGCGGTTTAGATTTGCTTACGGGGAGGATAATAAGGAGCACGAGTGGTTTCCATAATCAGTTTGGTGAGCTGCGACAGTTGAAGCAGGGGTTGTTGTGTGGTTATGCTGACAGAGGTGAGGAAAATATTGTGCTAGTACGTTCTAACTTTTGATCAAAAATAAAGCTGTGTTGGAGGTGTGCAAAATATTTTAAAAGATTAACCCACCAAAGAAAAATCAAAGTCCGGCCTGCAGCCTGCAGCCTGCAACCTGCAGTTAGAACCCAGCCCTGGAAGTGATCAAGTCAGACTCTCCGTGTTAGCGATTCAATCTGCAAACCCCAGAGAAGTGAAGGATTAATTTTTTTTAATGACCAAGTAGACTTTATGTCAAGAATACAAGAAAGATTTTACCATTTGGTTTATCATATTAACATAGTAAAAGAGAAAAATCTTGTAATCACTTAAATAGATGGGGAAAAGCATTTAATAAAAATTCAACACGCATTTGTAATAGAAACTCGAGCAAACTAGGAATATAAAGAAACATTCTGAACCTGTTAGTGAGTGAAGGATTAATTTTAAATGGCTGACTAAGTCAATTTTTGATGGTTTGGGTGACTTTTTTTTTTTTTGGTACGTGCCTCTAGTGGAAACCGAACCCAGGACTGTCTGGTCCACAGGCCGAAGCTCCAACCGCTGAGCCAAACCGGCCAGGGCTTAGGTGACTTCCTCACTCTCAAAGATTGATCTGAACCCTTCACATCTCTGCAATAGCAAACCCCAAAGCCAGCACTAATATCCTGCCAATAATCACAAGTATGGCTGCAATGGTTGTTAAAATTATGAATTACTTCCTTGCCAGGTAGCAAATAGCACTGCTCCAATCTTTCTGGATGCTCTTCCATTGCTGCTGCTTCCCTGGCCCCTCTCTGGGGACTCCCCAATATCACCACACCAAACAACACCCAACATAACACCTGGGGCAGCCCCTAGCATGGGCTGTGTTCATTCTGATTGTCCAGAGCCATCTCATGCAACTGATTGTTGAAGATTTTGAGTATCAAGACTAGCTGTAGTCAAAGCATTATTGATTTTAGATAATGACCTAGGCAATTCAAAGACCTTTGCCTTTTTTTTTTTTACATTATTTTATTAATTTATTTTTGTTACAGATGTTTCTTCTTTATCCCTCATTGACACCCTCCTCCCCACTCCACCCCCACCAGCATTGTTGTCTGTGTCCATTGGTTATGCATACATGCATATAAGTTCTTTGGTTTATCTCTTCCCTCCACCCCACCCCCACCCCGAGGACTGTCAGTCTGATCCCTACTTCTGTGTCTTTGGATCTATTTTGTTCATCACCTTATTTTGTTCATTATATCCCACAAATAAGTGAGATCATGTGATATTTGTCTTTCTCTGATTGGCTTATTTTACTTAGCATAATACTCTCTAGGTCCCTCCATGTCATCTCAAAGGATAAGAGATCTTTCTTTCTTACAGCTTCATAGTACTCCATTGTGTATATGTACCACAGCTTTTTTATCCACTCATCTATTGATGAACGCTTGGACGGTTTCCAGATCTTAGCAATTGTAAATAGTGCTGCTATGAACATAAGGGTACATAATTCTTTCTGATTGGTGTTTCAGGCTTCTTAGGATATATTCCTAGAAGTGGAATCACTGGGTCAAATGGCAGTTCAATTTTTAATTTTTTGAAGAAACACTATATTGTTTTCCATAGTGGCAGCATCAGTCTACATTCCCTCCAGCAGTGTACTACAGCCCCTTTTCTCCACACCCTCGCCAGCACTTGTTTGAGGATTTGTTGATGGCAGCCATTCTGGCAGGTGTGAGGTGATACCTCATAGTCATTTTAATTTGCATCTCTCTGATGATTAGTGACGTTGAGCATTTCTTCATAT